AAAAAACACAAAAACACAGTTACAAATATTGAATATTATAAAGATATTCTTCAGTCAAAGTATATCTAAAGTGAAATTTTCAATACAGTTAGGCCATCGATCACCCCCTTCTTCTTTGAAGAAAAGAACTATGCCGGTGAAACAGTCCAGGTTACTTGTTTTGTCGCCAAAGGTGATTCGCCTTTGAAAATTAGTTGGAATTTTCATGGTGAAGATCTGTCTTCACATTTGGGAATGTCTACATCAAGAATTTCAGAAAGAACAAGTCTACTAACAATTGAATCACTGATGGCGGCCCATTCTGGCAACTATACGTGTTCAGCAGAAAACCCTGCAGGATCTTCCTCATACACAGCTAATTTACTCGTTTCTGGTTAGAGATGGTTAAAAATGTAAAAAACAAAACAGCATGATGTTCATATTGTGGTAGTATCCTGGTAAATAGTAATCCTTTTGTTATTTACTGGAACCCAAGTGATCTTGAGAAGCGTAGTTTGTTATATTAATTAGATTGTCATTTACTGTAAACTACATATTTGCTTTATTAATTTATGTTGAAAATAATTTTAATTTTTGACCTACAGTACTTCCCCATATTATGCCATTTGGTATCGACGAAGAGGTAAATAACGGCGACAGTGTGCAACTTACTTGTCATGTATCAAAAGGGGATACACCTTTAGTTATTACTTGGAGTTTTCATGGTGAAGAGCTTTCTTCACATTTGGGAATTGTAACAGCAAAAATTGGAAGTCGAACTAGTCTTTTAACTATAGAATCAGCAATGGCTGCCCATTCTGGAAACTATACTTGTGCAGCCTTTAACTTGGCTGGTGCAGTGAATTACACTGCAGCAGTGCGGGTTAATGGTATTTATTTACAATAAAAAATACTATTAGAGAATTCCAATTCTACTTGCTTGATTAGATGTTTTTTTTAAATTACTAATATAGCAATGTTTTCTTTATGTTTAAACAATTATCCTTTTTCTTGTACAGTTTGCTACACCATATTGGATGGTTTGTTAATTATTTGTGGCATTTAACACACAGCAATTGTTTCCAGGATACAAAAATGTGTTTCCAGTGGATTAAAAAAAAAACTAATTATATTTGTCAATAATATTAGCTTACTCATGTAGGTATTTATTCAATATATAGGGCTAATTTTTATCGGGTTCAGTAAACTTTAGACTATACCACTACCAATTGTTTTACCCATTTCCTAATTAATTTTTAAATTTGCTTGTTGTTCTTACTCAACACTGATACTTCTACTTTGAATAAGAAATTGTACGTTATTTACATATCTCATTTTTCGAACTTTCCATCTTTCGACTTCTTATTTTCAATCTAGGAATATATGAAACATTGAGATAAAAAGTCTGGGAGAGTTTTCTTGCACATACCTTTCTCATATTATGGCATATCTACACATATTATCTGAAATATTTATAAACATAAACAAATAAAACATAAACAAATAAAATACAAAATCAACTTTGTTGGATTACAGTAAGGCCCCAACTTCAGCCATTTAGTTTTGGCCAAAAACCTATGAACACTGGGAAATTTGTAAATTTAGTCTGCAGTATCGCTGAGGGTGATCGACCAGTTACACTTCAGTGGCTTTTAAATGGAATGGAGATAACCCACGATTTAGGAGTTAACATTGTCGAACTGAATGAAGGATCTTCCTTACTTTCAATAAAATATGTTAGTGAAAAACATGCTGGAAATTATTCATGTATTGCTAAAAATCTAGCAGGAATGGATTTGTATTCATCAACCCTTGTGGTCAACGGTACCAAACAAATAAAAGTTCTAATGTTAGATATTTATGCGTAGTTTTGGAAAGTTACTTTTCTTACATTTACTGTACTTTTTTTACTGTACGTTTTTCGTATTGCCATTATTTTTCAAATAGGGGCTCATTTTATTTACAAAAATGAACACTAAGAAACTTTTGCTTTTTATTTATGTTATAATTATTATTACGCACTTTTGTCTTTTTAGTGTCTCCTAAAGTAGCATCTTTTACCTTTGGTGAAATACCATACGAAGCCGAACAATTTGTGTCAGTTATGTGCTCGGTTCTGCAAGGAGATCTCCCAATCAGAATAACATGGGAATTGAACAAACAGCCATTGTTTTCAAACAACGAAATTGTTATAGTTCAAACAAGCAAAAGAACAAGTGCATTATCTATTGAATCGGTATCAGAAAAACATGTTGGAAATTATTCATGTATAGGAATGAATGAAGCTGGATATGATGTACACACAGCATCACTTCTTGTCAATGGTTTGAATAATTTAATAATTTTGGACTTGTACGGCATTTAGCATCTTGAAGAACTAAACAATTTTTTTCTTAAAAATTCAAATTATTTTCCTTCTTTGCATTTTTTAAAATTGTGAATTGATTCCAAACAATGTACTTTGAATCTTCCATAGAAAATTACAACAGCAAGTATTGTGAAAATTTTTATTTTTTATTTTATTGTTTAATAACAATAATGATTTCCATGTTATGGGGCAATATAAATAATGGTTGGATGAAAAACAATTTTTTTTCTAAATAAAGAAACTGCAATGTTTTTTCAGTTACTCCAAAAGTATCACCATTTTCTTTTGGCACTGAACCTTATGAGGAAAACCAATTTGTCTCTATTCAATGTTCTATTGTCCAAGGAGACTTTCCTATTCTTATATCTTGGCTTTTTAATAATGAGACAGTTGTCCCTAATGATCAAGTGTCTATCACTTATACTGGGAAAAGGATGAGCACTTTGTCGATCGAATCTGTAACTGAACACCATGTTGGGAATTATACTTGTATTGGTAAAAATGAGGCAGGATATGGTTCCCACTCTTCACAACTTTTGGTCAATGGTCAGTCTTTGTGCATGTGATCATAAGGTATCATTAGAGTACACTGTGATTGCTGTGCAAGCTAATATTTCACTTAGGAATTAATTTGAATTCACCTTAGTATATTTGATGTTACTTTATTTGCTTGCATCTTTGTTTAGTGCCTCCAAAAATGCTTCCTTTTACTTTTGGTGATGAACCCTATGAGGAGGGTGAAAGTGTTTCAATCCAATGTTCCGTTTCGACTGGTGACCTTCCAATTAACATTACGTGGTATTTTAATCATCAAGCAATCACCTCGGCTGATATATTCCTTTCGAGAATAGGCCGGCGAGCAAGTGCTCTAAGCATTGATCAAGTCAGTTGGAAACATGTCGGGAATTATACCTGCATTGGCACAAACAAAGCTGGATCATCTTCATTCTCTGCAGAACTTTTAGTTAATGGTTATTTTCTTTCTAAATACTACATGTTTTTATTTCCAAGTTAGTGTAGATTTTGAATGATTTGTTTTGTAGCAGTTGAAAAATTTTATTATTATTTATTAAAAAAATATATTCGAATTTAGGGCGAGTTGGACACTTTATTTACTATTTTTTGGTTTTAAAAGTTTTTCACACTAAAACTCCATCCTTATCCCATTTCAATTTATTTATTAGAAAATTTCAGGCTTTTACTCCTACATTTTCTCTGTTTACATACAAAAAATATGAATAATGTTATAAATTGAGCATTTATAATTTTTCTTTCAGTTGTTCCCAAAGTTGCTCCGTTTTCATTTGGTGATGAACCCTATGAAGCATTTCAATTTGTGTCAGTCACTTGTTCAATAGTTAAAGGAGATATTCCTATTATTATTTCTTGGCTTTTTAATAACGAAAGTATTGAAGCTAGTGATGAATTTACAATTAATCACAGTGGAAAACGTATGAGCACCTTGTCTATTGACTCTGTTTCTGAAAAACATGTTGGCAATTATTCATGCATTGGCAAAAACGAAGCTGGATATGATATCCACACTGCAGAACTCTTGGTTAACGGTCAGTTGTAGATTTGTTTAATGGTTGTTTTTTATGGATAATGCATCGTGTCAGGAAATATTTTACCATTTTTAATTAGCATATCTTTGCATTTTTACTATGTATGTTCAAATGTTTATGTTTAGTGCCACCAAAAATCCTACCCTTTCAATTCGGGGAAGAACCATTTGCAGAGGGAGAAGGTGTGTCTGTCCAGTGCACTATCTCAACTGGAGACCTTCCTATAAATATAACTTGGCATTTCAATAAGGAGCCCTTAACTTTTGATGATGTTTATATTTCACCTTTGGGAAGACGATCTAGTGCAATTAATATCGAGCAGGTGTCTTGGAAGCATGCTGGGAATTATACTTGCTCTGCCATGAATAATGCAGGGTATACAATCTTCTCCTCGGAACTACTTGTCAATGGTTAATTTCAGGAAATAGATTTTAGTGGCCTCTTATAGCAGGCATTATTGTTGCTGCATTTTAGTTTTTATAAATTGAAAGTGCATTTTAAAATTTGTTACTTTCCTTGAAGACAATATAGTTTCATCCTTTTATTCCCTGATTGTAAACTTTTTATGGTACATATTTTTCTGAAGTAGCTATTTTAGATATCTTTCTGTATATTACTTAATCATTCTATTTAAATTACATTTTTAATGGGTTTTTAATCCTTTAACTACAAAAAAGTTGAAATTAATTTATTAAACTTTTAATTTCAACACTGTTTAGTTAGTTTCAACAAGCTATAATTTAACCATCCTGTTTATTCTAAGATTTTTTTTGTTGCAAAGAAACTTCACTAAAATAGGATTTACAATTGTATGTTTTATAAGTTGTTAGCCTCCCGTTTCCCTTGTATAAGGTCCCATTTCCCTTGTAGAACGGCATAGATTACATCTAGAAATTTTTAGTCAGGACAAGAAATTTTTGTATCAGTTTGGAAAGAATAGTACAACTTCATCTCATTCTATTTAGTGACTATTTATTTCACACTAAATAATATTTGATGGTGTAGATCTAGTTAAAAAAGAAACAGTTAAGAACTTGTTATGATAAATATCATTTAATGATCGATTCTGTATTTCTAATTTCATTTAGTGCCTCCTAAGATCCTAGCATTTGATTTTGGCGATGAACCATTCGCTGAAGGAGATGGCGTGTCCATTCAATGCATGGTCTCCACTGGAGACCTGCCAATCAACATAACATGGTGGTTTAACGACATGCCCTTGAATTATGACGATGTGTCTATTGGACCAATGGGTAGAAGAGGGAGTTCGCTAAGTATAGATCAAGTATCGTGGAAACATGTTGGAAATTATACTTGCATCGCGTCAAATAAAGCAGGGCTTTCAACACATTCAGCCGAACTATTTGTCAATGGTTACTTTTTTATTGTTTTATGTAGCACTCTTTGTTTCTAGTAATTGTGCCTGCTTTGATTATTTTTTTTATTTATCTGGATGAAGGCAAAAAATTAATGTAAATTGTTCTTTTTATTTTATTAGTTTATGTCAATTAAAACATTTTTGTTTAATTAACCAGCCATTTATCTTAAAACCAGCTAATCAAATTTTCCTTGTGTGACTTAAATGTCCTAAAAAAAAACTTTTTTTATGTCCATCTATTTACATTTCAAATGTATAGATATAGGGGCTTTTTTAAACAGCAATAAAAACAACAAGAGATTAGTGGACATTTTTTAAGCACTTAACAGATTTGTATCCATAGAATTTTTTTAAAAATCATTAATAATTTTGTTATCATAATTTATAGTTCTTCCAAAAATATTGCCATTCAATTTTGGTGATGAGCCTTTTGCTGAAGGAGAAGGAGTTTCAATGCAGTGTATGGTGTCAACTGGTGACCTTCCCATAAACATAACTTGGTGGTTTAATGATGAACCGATTAAATTTGATGATATTTCCATTGCACCGTTGGGAAGAAGAGGAAGTGCATTGAGTATTGACCAGGTTTCTTGGAAACATGTAGGAAATTACACTTGTATTGGTTCAAATAAAGCAGGGAATTCAACTCATACATCAGAACTTCTTGTCAACGGTTACTTTTTTCTCAATTAAATTGCAACGAATACAAAATTATTATTGAAAGTGCATATGATTGCCTTTTGGTTTTTGGAATTTTGTCAGAATCCACATATGGTTTATTTTTTGTTAAAACTAAACATTCCTTTAGCCTAGCCGGAGTTCCTAAAACAAACTTCTAAATAACTTTAGATTTTAATAATTTTGTAATAATTTCTTCAGTTCCTCCAAAAATTCTGCCGTTTCATTTTGGGGATGAACCATTTGCTGAAGGTGAAAGTGTTTCAATGCAGTGCTCTGTTTCTACCGGAGATCTCCCGATTAATATTACTTGGCAGTTTAACAACAAATCTTTGAATTTTGATGACGTTTCTGTATCCCCATTCGGGAAAAAAGCCAGTGCAATCAGCATAGATCAAGTAACCTGGAAACACGTAGGCAACTACACTTGTCTTGGATCCAATAGGGCAGGACAGTCATCACATACTGCTGAATTACTTGTTAATGGTTATTTTCTTTCTATCTTCAACACTGTTGTATTAGTGCTATGGTGCAGTTTTTATTTATTTTCGCAATTAATGAATTGAAAGTGCATTTTTCCTTATATCTAGGATTTATTTATTAAATATATGTTTTATAACTGCTGTGTACTTTTTGATTAATTAAGTTTAATTTGATTATGCTTTTAAAATACCAATGTGAAGGAACATGAAAGTTTTTATGTAATATTTCAATTTTTAGTCCCTCCTGAAATATTTCCAATGCTACCGGAAATCACATCAAGCATAGGGGAACAGATACAATTTAGTTGTATTGCTGCCAAGGGTGACAACCCTTATGAGATAGTATGGTTTTTCAACGGTGTACAAAGAATGCCTCCAGGAGTTGCTTTGCTCAAAATTGGAAAGCATCCAAACATTCTTCTTATTACTGTGGCTTCTTATCTACACACTGGAAATTATACCTGTCGAATTTCAAATGTGGCTGGAAGTGTGCAACAGTCTACATATGTTCTTGTCAATGGCATGTAGATTTTTTTTCTGGTTTTATTGTGAAAGGGGTTTATCATCGTACTAATTTCATTCCTAACACTATTCATAAAATATGTGTACTAATAACTTCATTTCAGTTCATGCTAAGCACTTGTACAGGCATTATTTATAGACATTAATTACTTTATTTGTGCTTATAAAAACATAATGACACTAGTCTGGTAAAAGTTACTTTTTTTATAATTGTTTGTTGACAGTATTACCTAGAATTTTACCTTTCTCTATTGGAGATGATCCTATTTTTGCTGGACAGTCGGTTCAGGTGGCTTGCTTTGTTACTGAAGGGGACCTTCCTTTAGACATTAGTTGGACCTTTCAAGGGAAAGAGATATTGTTCGATGAACTAAAGATATCTACAGCTAATGTAGGGAAAAAAACCAGTTTACTCTCCATAGATTCTGTTAGTGCAAGACACACAGGGAACTATAGTTGCACAGCTAGTAACAAAGCTGGGACTTCTCAGTTGACGACCTTTCTTAAAATAAATGGTAAAATGGTATTAAGAGATTGATTGGGCACTGAGTAGTTTCTATATGATCCTTTTAGAGTTGAACCTTATTCTTCACCATACATAATGTATTTCATTTAAATATTAAGCTTATTTTAAATTTGCTTACTGTGCTTTGTAAAGATGTGATGCTCAGAACATTACCTTCATCCCTTGCAAAAACAACTACACAGTTTTAAGTTCTATAAAAAAAACCATCACACGATTAAGTAAGATTTGGTTCTTGTCCTTAGTTCTACCAAAAATTATTCCGTTTGGTTTTGGTGGACCAACTTTTGCCGGCCAACCCGTTCAAGTTACTTGCTTGGTTGTGGAAGGCGATTTTCCTTTGAGCATTGACTGGAGTTTTGAGGGAGCGGAAGTGTCAGCTGAATCAGACATAACAACAATAAGAATTGGGGACAAGGGCAGCATGTTGCTTATAAATTTTGCCAAATCCCATCATTCGGGATCGTATACCTGCACTGTAAAAAATCCAGCAGGGATCGCTTCTTTTACTGCCAATCTTGAAATAAATGGTACGAAAGCTTTACATAATACTAACGAAAAATTAGAAAGCTCAACAATCTTGTCTTATGGATTTGCACTTCTATTCCATCCCCTCCGTTCCAAAAAAAACAACTTTATATTATATAATGCCACAATATTATGGCTCAAAAATAAACATGTTTTTGTATTTTTCCCAAATGGTGACAACATTCTAGCATTCCTCATAATCTGATATATTATATATACATACATTTATTACGTAAAGCATGAATTTTTGTTTTCACATTGTGCTACTAAAGTATACTCAAAGTCCTACAGATTCCAAAAATGATGACAACGATCTGAAATTTTACACACTTGAAATATATTGTGTAACCTGCCACCAGCTAAATTTAGCACTTTTTTTTTGTATTTTATTACTACAAAGATTTATTAAAAGACTCATTCTTCATTAAAATATTTTTCAAATTAAAGCAATTGAATCGTAGCAATCGTTTGAATCAACCTTAACTAACTAATATAATGATTATTTATAACAATGTTGCTCATTTTCCTAAATAATTTTAAAAACTTACTAACCTAAACATTATACACGATCATTACACACGATTAACACACAAAATGATTTACAGTTCTCCCAAAAATAGTACCATTCAGTTTTGGTGAATCTCCAATGTTTGCTGGGCAAGCTGCACAAGTCACTTGCCTGCTATCAGAAGGAGATTCCCCATTGTCGATATCATGGGAATTTAGTGGTGGTTCAAACTTTGATGAGTTGGGAATATACACTAATAAACTTGGAAAGAAAGGGTCTACACTGTTGATTGAATACATTACTTCTGAACATCAAGGGAATTACACATGTATCGCAAAAAATTCTGGTGGAACCATTTCATATTCCTCATACTTAGAAATTCATGGTAAAAATTAATATAACAACACAAATGTGTCTGCATTAATATTGTATCATGTCCTTTTTATTTCTTCCAATCCCTTATAATTTTTTTTAAGTTAAAGTTTTATTAATGAAATATATTTGAATTAGTTCTGCCTCGGATCGATCCTTTTTCGTTTGGGGAGTCTCCAATATATGCGGGTGAATCTACTCAGGTGACCTGTTTTGTTTCTCAAGGAGATTTGCCAATGACAATTAAATGGAGCCTAGAAGACTCGAATAGTGTAAAATTAAATTCCGACCAACTGATTAAGAAGGGCGGAGTAACAATAATGTCTGCTGGAAAAAGAGGATCAATGCTAGTTATTGACTCTGTTACATCAGAGAACAGAGGAAAATATAAATGTACTGCTACAAATTTAGCAGGCTCAAGTTATCGTTCTGCTTATCTTGAAATTCATGGTAATAATTTCTACAGTTGATTACTTGTATTGGAGCCCTTAAATTGATAACATATTATTTGAAAAATTTTATTTACTTTTTTATTTATTTATTATTTTTAGAAAGGCAATCCTTAACCAATGAAATGTCACTTTTGAGTGGGGTCTGTAACTTGTATATTAGTACACTTACATCACTTTATATTTTTGTTTAACTTTGATTATCTGTTTTTGGTAGTGTTATTTATTACTAGAGAGTCTTTATGAATGCTCATTCCACAGATTCACCACAAATTGAGCCTTTTGCATTTAATAAAAATGGTGTAAGTGGTGGGACATCAGTTCGTGCTATGTGCACAGTGATTGCTGGTGATTTTCCAATGGAAGTTTCTTGGTTCAAAGATGGAAACTCAATTTATGATTCTAAAAATAGAAGAATACAGCACATTGATGAAGCGACAGTTATTTTGTCCCTTACACAATTAAATCTTAATGATTCTGGGAATTATACTTGCATTGCTGAAAACATTGCTGGAAATACCTCACATACTGCTGAACTTTTTGTGAAGGGTGCTTTACCATACTTTTGTACTGCATGTCTAGGGCTGTATTGTTGTTAGAAATGGCTCTCCCATAATTATATTTTAAAGTTGAAAATTGTTATTTTTTTCATGCAAATTGCGGCAATATAATGCAAGAATTTTAATTATTTAATATTCCTTAATTTTGAATCACACCAGGGCTTCCTTAATATCTACTTTAAAACTAATATCACATGAAATGTTTAAAAGAATGTTGGCTTCAAATTATTTTTAAATTAATTATCGTTATAATAGTCCAATCAAACAAATTGTTTTAATTTTGTTTAATGTCTAAAAATAAAGGGCACTTGACATGCTATTATCTTTTTTCTTAACACATTTTATTAAATCATCGTTTTTATTATTGGGCTGTTAGAGGAAATATTTTAGGACATCTGGCAAATCCTTCTCATTCCTTGAACCATTTCCATTTTTGCCAGAAACTAGGCTAGGAAACTGACCAATTCGACCTTTCCCAGTTCCCATTAATTTATGCACTTTCAATTTTAATTTATGCATGTATTAGCAGCATGAAAATGTTAAATGAAATTTGAAAATTAAATGCATATTTAACAATTTTAAATAAAACAATAAATTAATTTATTGCTTTTTTTAAATTATATAATGCATGAGTATGTTGGTGTTGGTAGTTGTGTCTTAATATACAATATGTATTAACCCTAAAGAATGTGTTTCAACTATAGGTGGAAATAATTTTTTTAGAAAACTATTCCAAAAAAAAAAAAAAGGCAACATTTAAACAATGAATTTTATGATTTATTATCCATATTATATTTTAAAAGATATGACTGGCATTTGCCAACAAGCCACATGGCCGAGATGGAAGAAGTCCTAAGATCTAACTTCTTCCATTTTGGCAATGCAGCTTGTACAAAAAAACCACATGGAAATGTTTTCTAACAAACCAAAAAATGTTAACATTGCTAATAATTATAACAATGATTACTTTGTTTCATTTGATACACATACACAGCACAAGAATTAATTTAAATGTTTACTATGGTTGAAACCTGTTCTTTTTTTATTTGAGATGATCTAACATTAGTACTTGATGGTCAATGTTATTCTGATAAAAACTTTTATGTACTGTTTCAAAGTGCTTCTTTTTAAGTTGGTATGGTTATGATTGTTAAGTAATGACAATACAAATAAAATTAAATGAAAATACCTTTCTAAAATTAACTTTTATGTGATAAGTATTTAATTAGAGGTAGTTAACACATGCATTGACCATTTAGTACTTATTAAGAAAAACCATGATTTGGCTAGTTTATATTTTGAGTCATTTAAAAGAAAAAGTTCAAATAGTGTTTCAATTTTATGTCACTAAGCCATATCATGGAATTTAACGTTCTATGTGTTTAGACCTGAGTATTAAAAAATTAACAATTTAGTATACAGTATTTATTTCGTTGTGAAACTGAATTAAGCCTGCTGCATAATTGTGTTGTTCCTTGTTTTGTAAATGTTTTTTAAACAAATTTAATTTCTTATTTAACTCCATAGTAATTTATGCTTGCTAAGTTCAGTTTTACAACAAGACAAATTAAGCATTTCATAGATTACTAACAAAAGTATCTTTCAAAATTGTAGTTCCTCCTCGTTGGATAATTGAACCAACCGATAAAGCATTTGCTCAAGGCAGTGATGCTAAGGTTGAATGTAAGGCTGATGGCTTTCCAAAACCATCTGTTACTTGGAAGAGAGCCTCAGGTATTTATGTTTGACATTATTTTTCCTATCTTTTGTATATTTTCTATTTGTATATTTTATTATTCTATAGGTGACTCCCCTGGAGATTATAAAGATCTTAAACCTAATAATCCCGATGTAAAAGTGGACGATGGTACTCTTTACATTCATAACATTCAGAAAACAAATGAGGGTTATTATTTATGCGAAGCTGTTAATGGTATTGGATCTGGTTTATCTGCTGTCATCATGATTAGCGTTCAAGGTAAATATTTATTGAATACAGATTTTAATAAACATTCATCATGTAGTCATGAAAATTATTGGGAATTATCTGAAAAGTTCAAATAATTTTTTCATTTTTGACTACTATAAATGGTACATTTTTAATTTTACTTTTATTAGCTCCACCACAGTTTGAAACTAAAATGAAGAACCAAACTGCAAGGATCGATGAATCGACTGTTTTACAATGTGAAGCCAAAGGAGAAAAACCAATTGGAATTTTGTGGAATATGAACAACAAAAGGCTTGATCCCAAGAGTGATATCAGGTCTGATTTTAAAATTTTTTAAAATAAATTAAGTACACATGAAATTATAATCCAATTTTCTAAAATAGGTATACAATCCGAGAAGAAATTCTTCCTCACGGTGTCGTATCTGACCTTAGCATTAGGACTACTGGAAGAGAAGATTCAGCTCTTTTTACTTGCGTTGCTACAAACTCTTTTGGAAGTGATGACACTAGCATCAATCTTATTGTTCAAGGTTTTTACTATAAATTAGTCTAAAAAAGTTTTATATTGAACATACATTGACTAGTGTTTTTTTTAAAGAAATACCTGAAGCACCTCATGCTCTAAAAGTACTCGATAAATCAGGGCGTACTGTCCAATTAGCTTGGGCTGCACCTTATGATGGCAACTCACCTATCACTCGTTATGTGATTGAATATAAAGTATCAAAAGGTCAGTAGTTACTTGAAATTAATCTTTTATCACAAGAAATTGAATTATATTTTTTAATAATTGCATAATTTTTTTTTCTCTCTAACAGGTACATGGGATGCAGATGTTGTCCGTGTAGACGTTCCTGGACAACAAACAACATCAGGAGTCTTCAGTTTAAACCCTGCTACTACATACCATATGCGAGTTGTTGCTGAAAATGAAGTAGGAACATCAGAACATTCCGAACCTGTGACTATCATTACTGCTGAAGAAGGTATGTGAATCTTTAAACCCAATAGATTCTCTTCATTTATACTGTGATGTTTACAGCACCCAGTGGTTCTCCGACAAATATTAAAGTGGAAGCAGTAGATCAAGTAACTCTTAAAGTAACATGGAGCCCACCAGAAAGAGATTCCTGGAATGGAGAAATTCAGGGTTATTATGTTGGTTACAAACTCTCTGATTCTGACAAACCGTACCTATTTGAGACAGTTGAATTCAGCAAAGAAGAAGGAAAGCAACACCATCTTATGATTTCTAATCTGAAGTAAGAACATCTGGCTAAAATTAAAATGCAAGCAATTTATTGTAATTTACCTCTGCTTGTAGGACTTACACACAATATTCAGTCGTTGTACAAGCTTTTAATAAACTTGGAGCAGGTCCAATGAGTGAAGAAACCAAACAATATACTGCTGAAGGTATTCCAGACGAACCCCCGCATGAAGTCACTTGCACAACATTGACATCTCAAACTATTAGAATCTCATGGGTATCACCTGCACCAGAAACAGCCAATGGAATTATTAAAGGGTACAAAGTAATTTATGGGCCTAGTGATACTTGGTATGGTGAGTATTTTTTCTTTCTTTCTTTATTTTTTGCATCACAACAAATTATATTATTCTAACAATAAATATTTGTTTTTAAGATGAAAAGTCAAAAGATTCTAAGATTACAGCATCCAGTGAAACAATTATTCATGGATTGAAGAAATACACAAATTATAGTATGCAGGTTTTGGCCTTCACATCAGGAGGAGATGGTGTTAAGAGTACCCCTATTCATTGTCAAACAGAACAAGATGGTATGAAAATTTAAGCTCAGTTTGTAGTCGTATATTTTAAACAAATATCGATGTTTTAGTCCCTGATTCTCCAACGGCCGTCAAAGCTTTAGCAATGTCTGATGAGTCTATTCTCATTTCCTGGAAACCTCCGTCACAACCAAATGGAATAATTTCTCAATATACTGTGTATTTCAAGGAAGATCCTGATAGTGGAAATGCTGTTAGTTATTTCTATATTACAATTTTAACTTGACGATTATTAATATATATTATATACTAATTCTAGGTACCTAAAAGTCAAAAAATGCCAGCATTCCAAATGACATATGAAGCTTCTGGACTGAACAAAGATGGAAAATACGAATTTTGGGTCACCGCTTCTACCAACATCGGCGAAGGGCAGCCTTCAAAGTCAGTTATATTGTCTCCAAGCGTTAAAGGTATTTTTTTAAATTAAAAAAGGATGTAATAAATTTATGAATCGACATTAATAGGTATTGTGATTGATTTTGGAATTTAGTACCAGCAAGAATTGCCTCATTTGATGGAAAATTTACCGCGACTTACAAGGAAGACGTTAAATTGCCCTGCCTTGCTGTTGGAAAGCCTACTCCTGATATCAAATGGAAAGTGAAGGGGATCAGTTTTGAGACTAATGACAGAATGCAACAACTGCCAGAAGGTTCACTCTTGATCAAATCTGTAACAAGGGCTGATGCAGGTGAATATTCATGCACTGTGGAAAACAACTTCGGTCAGGATTCTGTTACTCATCATCTAATCATCCTTGGTTTGTACTTCATAATTACATTGTATTTAAAGTAAATTTTATAATTTTTTTCATAATCTCTGTAGCTCCTCCTCATATGCCTCAAGTTACTTTACAATCGACTACAACTAATTCAATCACAATGAAGATCAAGCCTAATGCTGCCGACACTGAGCCTATTCATGGATATACAGTTAAGTACAAACCAGAATTTGGAGATTGGGAAACCATGCAGCTTTTACCTACAATCCATAAATTTACTCTTGAAAATCTCTGGTGTGGATCAAGATATATGGTTTCTGTGACTGCTTACAACAGGTACATGTTCATTAAATATTTTATTCATCCAGTATTTTAATCCAACTGTATATATGATAGCATTGGCACCGGTGATGAATCTGACATTTTGAACACAAGAACTAAAGGGTCAAAGCCCATAATACCAGAAGCAAGCCGGTTTATTGAAGTTTCTACTAACAGCATCACTTTACATCTGAGCACATGGTCTGATGGTGGCTGCCCCATGTTGTACTTTGTTGTTGAACATAAGAAGAAGTATGTAACAGTTAAAATTTATTTGTTGAAAAGAATATTAAGGAAAAGTCTTTTAACATGGTTTTTTTTTTTAGGATGTCCACAGAATGGAATCAGGTATCGAATAATGTTAAACCAGGAGGAAATTTCGTCGTTTTAGATTTGGACCCTGCTTCGTGGTATAACTTGAGAGTCACAGCTCACAATAATGCTGGTTTTGCTGTTGCTGAATATGAATTCGCTACTTTAACAATTACCGGAGGTAATAGTCATAATTAAAAANTCTCCCTCCCTCTCTCCCCCTTCTCTCTCCCTCTCTCCCCCTTCTCTCTCTCACTCTCTCTCGTCCTCTCTCTCTCCCTCTCTCTCCCCCTTCTCTCTCTCTTTCTTCCTTTCTTTCTTTCGATATTTTTTTAATTATCCATTTAATGTTATAGAACCTCATTCGTCATTCTTATGTCATTATCATAACGACCTATTCTGTGCTTAGTCTATTAGATAGTTCGTAATTCACCATTTTAGTGCCTTAAACTAAAATAATTGATAAAAAATTATAAGCTTTATGTTTTAGTTAGTCCTAGTTTACAAAATTTAATTTTTTAAATTGATTTATAAATTTTATGTAAAGTGTGGTTGAACTGAAAAATTGTGTCACAAGCACGAATCCATGACCTCCGGCTCTTTACCCGCTACTCTAACCACTTGAGCTATCGTACTTCACTTTTCTGAGCCACAATTCATCAACTCAACATACAAGTTTTTTCAAATTTCCCTCTTTCTGGCATATATTCAAATTCGTGTAATCATTATTGTTGAGGAATTCTTAAACTTTAAAAATGTATTTTTGGTGTTCAGTGATAACTATACTATTTTCTTTAGCGGCTTTTAAAATAGCTTTACCTTATAACTTTTTATCAATAGACCACCAATGCCGTATACCAATGGGGGTCTCCATTATCCCCACTTTGTGCTGAAATATTCATAGCTAACTTGGAAAATTTTTTTTACAAATCTAATAACAAATTAATTAAATCTGTCATTTTTCAGAAAAGCTATGTAGATGATATTTGATGTATATAGACAATTATGTATATGAACACTGGAGGATCTATAAGGATGCCTGCAATTAATTAATTCTTTACAGCCTGGTATAAGTTATATTACATTGAAAATAAATAAAAATGGTTATTTAAACTTTTTAAACTCAAAACTGGTCATAATAAGGAACCTACTTGAAATAGATGAAAAACCCACAACTACAAACATCATGATACGAGCACTCTCTTCCCACCCATGGACCCAAAAGGCTGCAGGATTCATTTCGCTCATAGACTCCCATTAACACCCGCTGATTATAATAAAAATACAAATAATAAAAACATTGGATAACAAGAAATATTTATCGATAGGTTGCTAGAAAATGAATTTAAAAAATTAACTTTAAAATAAGAAACAATCTGACTCGGCTACCCCACCAAAAATGAATTATTAGGTTTTCATTGCTTGTCAAATATTGGTGAACTATCAGAAAAAATATGTAAAGTTCTTAAACAACAAAGATTTAGAATAGCTTTTTGAGGTATGTGTTCACTTAGAAAAGAACGTCTGATAACCTAAAGACAAGTTGACAACTTGTCAAAAAGCGAGATTTACCAACTTAATTGTAAGGATTTTATTCTGGCTTTTGGTCTGTGAGTCAGTGAACTCATGCTGAACGGGCCACTTACTGGGCAAAGATGAAGGGAATGTATTTCTCAAAAGCTTGACAAAGTAAGTGTTACACCCCCTTCAAATAGGCCTTATCCCTGACTTTTTACTACTAAAGGCGGATATCGATTATATCAGATAACTTACTGTGATACTGTGGACTTCATTTAAAGCTCCTAACTTCTGTGTTTTTGGTATTAAATCTTTTTGCCTATTTTTATGGCAGCTGATAACCAAATGTACTTGGTCAGGAATTAGCAGGACATCACAATAAAACAATTCGCTTTTAGAGGTGCTTTTAATTAATGTGTTTAATATTAGGGTTTATTTGATGTTTGGATCACACTTAAGTACATACATTTAAACTAGTTTTAAATGCCTCAGCACCACTCAAAGCAAGCTTGTCAATTATTATTTGACTTTTTTCTATTATTTTGTTGTGGTTTTTTTGTTGCTATTTTTATAATGAAGTCTTTGCAAATTGTTATTATAAGTAAGAAAATTAATAATAAGTAAAAATTTACACGGTAAAGTGACATTTGCTTGGGTGGTGTTGCAGGTACAATTGCTCCTGCTCGTGAAGTGCCTGACTCAGGATATGGCCCAGATTCTCCTCTGCGAATCCTTCTAGCAAACTTAAATCTTGTCGTCCCAGTTATATCCGCCTTGCTAGTGATAATTGTAGCCATAATTGTTGTATGCTTTCTTCGAGGAAAAGGAACTCAACACAAAGGTAATTTATTAAATAGACTTTTTTTTTGTTTTTAATTTAAGGAACTGTCTCACCACCAAAGAGAGGCGTGCAGGATGTACACCATTACTTCCCGTGGATACCAAAGTGGATCGACTTGAACGTAGTAGTACCAGCAGGGGCAACCATTATTGTAATTTTTGTAGGAATTATTGTTATTTGTGTCGCCCTTGCTAGACGTTCTCGTGGGCCTCCATCTACTAGGCTCAGAGGTAATGAGTAATATTCAATGGATTTCAGTTCAGAAAGATAACCACTTCTTTCATAAGCTTATTTTGAGATTATCAGCACAACATTTATATGTATTGGCAAAATATAATTAAATTAATTCCTATTATATTTATACTTAGTAATTACTTTTTACCAAATATTTTACGCTAAGTTTACTTGAATGGCCAATTAATGCAGGTTTTATTTAAACAATTATAAGATCTACTATTCAAAATTGTTCATAGTGTTAATATTTAAATCAAAATCTGTTTTTATTCTTTCTGATTTATTATAACACCAATTAATTACTTACTTTTTCCTTTGAAATAGGAATTTTGAATGTTGGCCAATCACTGTAAAATAATTTGTTTTAATTATTAAAATCATGTAGCACATTATTAAACTCTCTTAATAATATACTAGTATTTGTGATTTTTTAATAATTTGCAGATGATATTGTATACAATCAGTCCATGGTTGGCGGAAATACAATTGACAAAAGATGTCCTGATTTGCATGATGAACTTGGCTATATACCACCACCAAACCGAAAGCTGCCACCCGTTCCTGGATCTAATTATAACACATGTGAAAGGATTAAGCGAGGTACAGGCATAAGTAAGACGATATTTATTATTAAGCTTGTTAATCAATGTAGTCACACCCTCCGTATTTTGATATACGCCTCGAGTTGTACACATTTAACCTGGCCTAATTTGAATTTTTATTTTACACAATTAAGTTTAAATTTATTATTTTGGTTTTATTTATTTACTTTTTATTTGGGAATTCTTGTTTTTTTTGTTTGTGCTGAATGACTTTTTGTTTTTTTTACCAAACAATTGCCGAAGTGAAACAAGGTTTCCCAAAGTTTTCCTTTCCTTTTTTTTTACGTTTTGGAACAATTGACAATATAGGAAGAGCAGGTCTGTGCAGTGGTCATTCAACATGGGATCCTAGGAGACATATGTATGAAGAATTAGCCTCACATACTCCATGTAGGGGCAGATTGCCAAGGTGCCCTGGATCGGATGAAACAATGTACCATAGAGCAGGTAATTCCAGATTTGTATAATAGTCTCGCCTGTGCATCTGGGTGCTGGTCTTCTATACTGTAACAATTCACCATCAAACTATTTTAAAAACAAGGAGAAGAAAGAAAAGAAAACTAACAATTTACTGGGTTGTTACATTTCTATGCGACATTCGGTGTAAATTCATGTCAGTCTGTAGCTTCCAACTTGCCTTCTCAACTTTACACAAGCTCAGAAATTCAGGCAACTAAAAGCCCCACCATCTTCGTACATTATCTGCAAAAGCTATTAAAGCAATTTGGTGGAAACTAGACAAAGTTATCTAAATAATAATGTTAGAACGTTAAAACTTCTTGAAATTCTTTTTAATTTATGTATTAAATTTCAATAATAAAAAATAAATAATTAAAAAAGTGACTTTTGTTATTCTGATTATATAATTTTTATACAAAATTATCCAAATTCATCATGCTGAATTTGAATTTACGACATTTTATTAAGTACATTGGTCATTAGAAGATGTTGCAGATTAACCAGGTATGATTTTATACTTGTGAAATGTACATCCTAAAGGCATGTAGAAATCCTAAACCTAGATCAACTTTTTATTTATCCCTTTTTACAACACCATAAATTTCATAATTTGTTTTTATCTGTTATCGCATTTATTATTACAAAGCTTTTTTTACACAAAATATATCTTCCTTTTTTTATATAAATTATACATATATTAAATTGACTGTTTTCAGAATTTACTTCTACAAAGTCACAATCAGAAGAGTGGTGGAAACTTTATTAGATTGTAAAGTTGAGAATCATCAAGTATTCTGCCACAGATATAATTTAATTTATTAACATTATATCCCATTAAGTTGTTTATCAGTGCAGAGCAAGTCGTGTTCCATTGTTTTTATTTTGCATTTACTGGCGCAGCTAAAGTGAAGTTAATTTTAACTAGCTGGATTGTTAGTTAAACAGCCTGCATCTTACGTCCCTTGCTTATACTGTTATTTTTTTATACATTTTCACATCCAGCTACTTGTTGAATGTCATCACAAGAAGTCATACTACTTTGCAATACTTTTATTAAAATGGAATTCCAAAGGGTTTGATGGGATTTGAAGCCAGAACCACTAGTATGGCCAATTTTAAGTCTTAACTACTAGGCCTCCACAGGTCCTTTCGTAATGTAATACCAATTTATTAAATTTGATCTTCACTATTTAACATAATATTGTTTAAAAAAAATATTTAAACAACCATGTTAATTACATTAACTTAAGTAGCTAGGAACAAGGGTGATTCAGTACTGAATTAATATGTTTATTTTCTTCCATACCAAAACATTGGTTCAGAAATATTTTTTAACTATTTGACGTTACCAACTAGTATGTTTATAATTATATATTTTGACATTTGTGTTTTAATATACTTTACACAATATTACATTAATATTTATCTATATGCAATAATCTATTTAATTTAATGATCCAGCTAAGTTATACTTTAACTGCAACTCTTATTAAATTGACTTGCTTTTCACAGTTACTTAACCAAATTTAATTATAATATTAATAATGCACATATCTGTAGATCATGGTTTAGATTGATTGTGGCTTAAATAAGAATCAGTTTTGTTATGTTTTTTAATAAAATATTTTAGCTGCAACAAGTGAGTGATTAATTGTTGTAGAAGCCTTGCGGTGTGTGTTTGTTTCAAATTTCTGTTGCACCTTTTTTATTTATTTATTTATTTTAGCTGTGTTTATTAGGTCATGCCCCACTATAAACAGTCTGTGTAACATTGTTTTTGATCCATTTTAGGTATGGATGATGACATATGCCCGTATGCTACATTCCATCTCCTTGGCTTCCGGGAAGAAATGGACCCCTCAAAGGCAATGCAGTTTCAAACTTTCCCTCATCAAAATGGCCACTGTGGCACTCTAGGACCTGGAGGAGTTGGAACTAACGTACATCACCGATCAGGATCTCAGTCTATGGTCAGTAACACTGAGTCTAATTTACTGTGATCATTTTAACAACCTTATTGATTTTAGCCACGAAATGGAAGATATTCAAGGGTTGGTCCGAATTCAACTTTCTCCCCAGAATATGATGATCCAGCAAACTGTACAGAAGACGATCCCTATGGTTCCCAGTATACACCTTATGGAGCACCTTACGATCACTACAGTAGCAGAAACTCTCTTGGAAGGAGGAGCGTTGGTCTGTATATAATTGTTAACTGCCAGAATTATGATATATTAATTAATATAATTATAAGCTTCCTGTTACTAACAATAAATTTATAAAAATATATATTGGAACATTGAATAGGATCAGCTCGTAATTTAACATTGGCAGGGAGTCCTGAGCCTCCACCACCACCTCCAAGGAACCACGATGCCAACTCTTCTGCTAATGATAGCAAAGAAAGTAATGAAATGTCTGAGGCTGAATGTGATAGGGATATGGCAAACAGAAACTACCAAGGTATGAACAATAAAGAAAATATTTAATAAATTATATGGAGAAAAGATGTGAAACAAGCAACAAACTATAAAGGTAAATTGGTGGGTAAAGTTTGTTTATGAATGATGAGATTATTTTTCACAACCCTGTTCATCTCATTTCAGTCGAATCAAACATTCATTGCACATTTTTCAAAACTGTTAGATTTTCATCGTTCCATAATCTTCTCATTTCATATCTCATTGTTTCTGTTTTTAGTGATGAAGTACACATTGTGCACCATGAAAAAAAAAGCTTGTGCAGTTTGGTTGATTGCATGGTTTTTGTTTTATAGTTTCTTTTTCTCTTCCTTTCTTTCAGTATAATTATTTTATTTCATTGTTATTATTTGTTTTTAAATATACATTTATACATTCATCCTCATTACATTCTCATGCATAAAATCCCAAAATTTAATTGAAACTTATATTATGTTTACTATTTATTTATGTATAATTTGAAACTTTATACATAAATATACATTATTTAGCATTTTGTCATATAATATATATATTAATAATCATTAAAAAATAAATAAATAAAGTTTGTAATTTTAAGATTTGGAATTAAACAACTTTAGAATCAGTTAAAGTTGTTCATATACTTGTAAATGGATATGCAATAATTTTGTTTGATTATTTTTTTTATAGCATCACAACCTATTAACGTATATTGTCTATTAGAAATATTCAACTTGATGAAAAATGCATGACAAATTAAGGAACCTAAATTTAAGAAAAAGCCATAAAAACTAAACAACTGATATACTATTTAATAAAAACTGATAGAATATTTTTTTTCATTGTAGAATCTTGTAGTCCCTTTATTAACTCATTAGATGAAAGCTTAGATTAATTTTTTAATTTCCTAGTTTGAAAAAATTTTATTATTTAAAAAGTTGTTTACTTTTATTGCACGTGCATGCAAAATTGGCTTGTGTTGCATCATTTGTATTTGGATTTTCTGTTTTTCATCAGGGTTGCGGGCATCATCTAGGAAGGGTATCATTGTCTAATTTAAGGTAATTTTTTTGTTTGTTTTTAACTTATCTAAGAAAAATTACAATAGAGGGGGTCGTGTTTATTTATTTCACAATGAAGAATTTTTTATAACGAGAATTTTTCTGTTTCACCAGCAAGTAAAATCGTAAGGTCAATTAACAGAATATGTCCGATATTTATTAATAGTTCATTAACTGTATTTTCAGTGTCAACGCGCAACAACTCCAAGGATGGCATGACCACCGAGGAAATGCGCAAACTGATAGAAAGGTGAGTCAAATGATACTGAACTACTTAAAATTAAAAGCAAAGAAACTTATATAAAATCCAATAAAATTAACTGAAAAACTATCTTAATCCTTCACAAAACAATAACACAATCCAAAACTTTATACCTAAAAATCACACGTGGCCCATTAAAGGTGAACCTTTCTCTAATTATTTTAATCAAATGACTTTACTTTCACACTTAAATTTGTAAGTAGATTTGAATTTTAAATGGTTAGATGTGTGATTAATTTTTTAAGTAGATATGTGTGATTTTTGTCAATGTTGATTTGTTTGCAGCACAGTAGACAAATTATAGATTCATATGTATCACATTCCTGCCTGATGTTTTTTTTTTTAATTTTGTTGTTTCATTATAATTTTAATGCACACTTTGTTTGTTACATGAATTGCAAATACAGGAATACGTAAGTGTTTTCCAAGTAGGCCACAAACATAGTAGCACAAATTGTATAATTACAACTTCTTACATATGCTTGCTGTTAAAAAAATATTTTTAGAACTTTAAGCTTTCAGTTCTAATAGATTTAAGAGATCAAAAATAAGAATGATTATGGAATATTGTATTGTTTAATTACAAAGTATTTTTGCTAAAAAAATACTTTTTGTATGTATAATTATTTGTAAACTTTAGAATTTTTATACTAAAATTGGATAATTTAATTTTCTACAAGATGATGTTGCTTACCTTTATGCTTTACTTCATTAATTCTTATATACATATCTTTGTAATAAATTAAATTTATAGTCTTAATTTTTTTTTCAACTTTCAGAAACGAAGGAGGGCCCCAACAATTCCAAAACGGAGGGCTCACAGCATACGATACTGTGGCAGTGTAACCTCTAGTCTTCTGTGCCATAGTCGAGGAACAACAAAAATCAAGTTGGTTTTTCCTGCATCAATTCATTTTATCTACGGTGCTAAAACACGACTCCAAACCTTTTCTTTTTGCATCTTAAGAAAATAGTAATTTCCAATTGTTGCGCATAAAACAACATTACTTTTCTGGTCATAATGATTTTTCATAATATTATAAATATTCAATGTTGATGTTATTTAATGATATTATTGTGCTTGCCCTTCCTTTAAACTTGTGGTTGTGGACTACCTATAAGTCTTATATTATATTGGATTTACTAGATGTAATTGTTGTCCAAAAAAGCTGTTTAGATGTATTTACTTATGAACTACAGAAATTTATGCTATTAACATTTTATCTAATAACAGATTTATATAATTACCTATATAAGCTCAACAGATTTATGTAAATTACTTCCTTAGTTTATTATTATTTTTTTGCAATTTTGTTGGTTTTATAATGGTATACTAAATTTATATGCTATGTTCATTAATATTTAGCTAAGGATATATAACTATATTCTTTCATATGAATTTTAACTAAATGTACCTTAGCTATGTGTGATACCCAGGAAATATCTTCGCTAGAATTTATAAACATAATAAAATTATTACTTTAATTATAAATTTTCCATTGTAATATAAATCTAAATGTATCGATTTTACCACATTATCTCCTAGGGTTATAAAAACGTTTTAATGTAAGCAAAAAGAAATCATCGAACGATTTCATAGGCTAGGTCTAGTTTATAAGATAATGTGATGTAGAAGCTTCTGTTATTTTTGGTTTTAAAAAATTAAATCCTTTGCTCTCGTACCATTATAAGGATGCTTTTGTAAATATGTTTGTGACATTATCTTTTGTTTATAAATTATATTTGTATAGCTGTATTATGCAGAATACTTTGAAACTCCTACATTTATTATAACGCTAGTTTAGTTCTCATCTTATTAAATATTTTTCTACTCAGATGGTCAAAAGATGTGTTGTTTTTTGTTTATTGATGTCTTCAAAATTAGTTTTCTGTTTATGTTTTTTGATATGATATTTGAGCTGTTAGCAACGTGAAAGAAAGGCTTTGTGTTTCATGACAATGTGAAAATTATTCCACATTGCAGTCTTGTGAGTGTGTTTGTCCCAGTGACAGTCTTCTAATATTTGTGTGGTTTTTCATGTTTATAATAATGACTGATTATTTAGAACAATTATAATTATTGCTCTAAGATTATTTAAAATATTTTGTGTATATGAATTTCTTAGTCAAAATTGATTGTATTTAAAAAATTTAAAAAGGGAAGGAAAGTGCCACTCGCATTATGTCAAAAATTTCCTCTATTTTGTATTCATTTGTTTTATATTATAATTGCATTTCATGGCCCTTCAGATTCATTTGCTGATACATAAGTAGTTTATTCAAATTCATAGAGCTAAGCTATTTGTACCAAAGGTAAATAGAATTTATGTTAATAGAATTTCACATTTTATACTTGTTTTTTTTTTTTCAAAATCCCTTTATCAAAAGTTGTTATACTTTTATAAACAAGTTATTAAATAGCATTAAGGAGCATCTGTGGCCACAACAATCAAGGGGTTGACGCAGCGACACTTCACTATAAGGGGCTCGATCCAGATCTCAGCAGCCCTGAATTACAGATGGGCTTTTGGGAGTTAATAATGACCTCTGCTATTGTTGCTTAATTAAAACAAATGTAAAGAATCAATATGAAAAAAAAAAAAGGTAAGCTACATTGAAAGAAATCTTCCTATTGCCACAAACTACCAAGAATAAGTTCAATGTCATGATATAATAGAGCTTTTAGACCTTTAATATTTAATTACCAAGGTTGTAGTGCCAAATTGGATGAAGAAAAATTCTTTGTCAAGCACCTACCCACCATCTTCATGTTGCACACCGACATTCATAATCGTCTACAGACAATTAAGTCGAACAAGACTCAATTAATTACTCCTTTACCTCTTTCTCTTCCTCCTAAAGCCTTCCGACATTAAACATGTAATCAGTTATCTCCCGCTCAAAAAGAGTCCTATAAACGATTATAGATTAAATTCAAACCACAAGTCACATCAATTGAGCACATCTTCATTATCCCATTATGATTAAATCCTATTAAATGTGAAAATCAGTGCTTTGCCAAAATAATGAATTTTTATATATGCTGTACACATTTTTTTATTTAATGGTGGTATTGAGATTTACCATTGTATTGGTTTTTACATACTGAGAAATCATCTTAATTGATTTTGAATATAACATTTTTTATATGCATAACTCACACATCGAATATCTCATATTTGTTAGTTTGCAGCAGTCCCAAACTATTATCAGGGACAAAAAAAAAGTGGATGTACATATTGATGCTTTCAGAGAGTACTACATGCATAGAATGTTCATGTTTGATTATTGATACTTTATCAAAGGCTTTTTTTTTCTTTTTGGTTGCCCATTTTCAAGAATAACTGGATAGAACAGAATTTAAAAATCAAACAAATAAAAACAACAATTTATCACAGTAACTCTTGACAGTAAGTTAGTAATTACAAAAATATTTACCAATTTCGTATTTCTCCTGGATGTTTTTATTTAAATTATAAAAATTCACAAGTTCACAAATTTATTTACATATAATGTACACATATCTGATACATTTTCTTTGATTTATGCTTAAAATATAAATTAAGAACAAAATATAATTAAATTTCAAAACATCAATCATAAAAGAGTAAATTAATTTAACACCGACTTCTAAATTTTGGCACAATAAAATTCTGCCGTTATAAATTATATAAATTAACAATTTGTAAATAAACTAGATTTCAAAGAAATTTATGGCCATAAAGAATAGAAAATTGTCGGTTTTTTAAATTGTATAAAAATATCAAATTATCTATTCTGAAGTTCTATTTTTATAGTTTTCTAATTTCACTTAATATACAATAAATTAACTAAAAGCAAAACAGTGGTTTTGAAGATCACAGCATTAAAACTTAAATTCCATTTAGTAGGCAGGTCTCTTGTACTGATCACATCATTGTAATAATTTAAAATGTTGCAAACAATTCTGATTAATTTGTAAATAACTAAATAAATGTAATGGTATGTAATTATCTCTATGGTGCATAATTTATCATTTTTAACATATTAAGGCCTAGAAGTGTACATCGCAAAAGTTAAAAGAAAGCTACAACTTAATCTTCCAACTCTGCTTATTGGTAATTGAAAAAAAAATATTGAATTTATGTAAGGTTGTGATAAATTAAATTATTAACAGTTGTATTCTATTTGATCATCTCCAACATAGTCATATATTGTTAATAGATGCAAGTGGAAACTGCAAATATAACCAACTTAGTCTGTCAATATCATTAATTTTCAAAATGATAGGTTATTAAACAAGAATGAACCATGAACAATTTAGTTTTGATTCAGCCACTGATATTACAGTTCTTTGAATATATTGTTGTTTGGAATAAACTTGTGGTAATAAATAATAGTTTGTACATGCATCTAATCTTGAAGGTGGGTAATGAAATACAAAATTTATTTTTAATTGATTTTCACCTAGAGATTATTATCATAATTATGTTAGTTTTACTTGGCCTACAATAGTTTATTATTCTGTTTTTAAATTATAAATTTTCTAACCTCAGTATATCACCACAATTTACTCTTTTCTGTGCAGAAGTTTTAAAATATTTCTCTGTTATAATCTTATGTTAAATACAAAATTATAAGTGAAAATCAAATATATACAATTTATTATAGAATAATAGGATAGTATGTTACTATAATATATCCATTTTAATGTCTAGCCATTATACACGAACAGAAAAATGTTTCAGAAAGTATTAAAGAACTATAAATTATATAATAAAAGACTGGTAGGCTCTCAGCCAGATTAGTCCTAATGAACTCTAAATTACAAAAAACAATACAATATAATTTACAAATTTTGAGATATTCATATCTTTCTGGGAAGTGCTGAGAATGATGAATTTCTGCAACCTGTTTTTGTTTACCACAATTTTATGTAAATTTCTTTTACAGCTATGCATTTTGGGACCATTTTTTCCAGCTCCCCTCTCCAAGGCGACCTTCAGGGAGTTTATATACAACTCATGTAGTCAAAACTGACCCCAAAATGCATAGCTGTAAAATAAATGTACATAAAATAAAGGAAAAGAAAAACAGTAGATCATCACTTCTAAAAAATAAAAAGGAAAAACAACCAAAAAAGGAAAGAAATGTAACTATTCATATCTTGCTGAAAACCTGAACTAGGCTACAAAATCGTTTTTAATTTACCAAGTCGTAGTTATGGCTTATGAAAATGCTCTAATCCCACAAATCAGTACATGTTATGAGGAAAAGAGGTTTACCTTAACTGTACAAATATTGTTTAGAAAAACGCGTACACAAACTCAAATTTAACACTATCTTTTTGCATTTTCTTTTGCCTCTTTGATAGTTTTAGCTTTCTGTAAACATGATCAGTCAAGAGAGATCCAATCATGGGGGAAACGAAGACAATTTTAAAACAAATACACTTGTGCATTTCACGCAGCAACAATATATATTAAATATTACAAAAGGAACTCTCAATTCATAGAATCAAAAATTTAACTCTAACAAAAAATAAAAATCAATCATTAAGTACTAAACAAAAATAAATAATGACTCCTCCAATTATTTTAAAAATCATTTGTAGTTAACAAAAGCTCACAAAATGAGGATACTGATATTTTTCAAGACTAGCAATCAAATAGACATCCTTATGTTTTACCTTAATTATTTTTATTGCATTTTTGACAACTCAAACCTAGTAGTCATTATTTCCTAAAAATACAACAGAATGTGTTAATATTACGCCTAAAACTACATTTTAAAAAAATGTTAAATTACCTCATCAGAATCCAAAATTGGTAGGGCTCTAAAAGCAAATATTTTATTTTTAATTATTAAAAACAACTTGCCTTCCAAAAAACTGAATAATGAAATAACTTATACTTACGTATCAGCCAATGATGCAGGTATATTTTCTTCTACCCATTTCAAATCTTCATCCTGTAAATAACAATCCTATTAACAATATCAAATAGCAACAACAATTTCATATTATATGAATCATCTGGTTAGTTACCGCATTAGAATTATTTTTCAACTTGGGTGATGCTGCCCCAGTTCCTTGGCTCCTCATTTTTACACCTAAAATATATCCATTATGTTTTTTTTTTGTTTTTTTATGATATTATTTAAAAACAGGTATATTGAGGACAAAAATGTTTAATTTACAAAATAACATACATTTATTTTGAAAATTCAAATATAACTTACAAGGGGATCACCAACTTTAAGTGTTTTTGTATTACTAGAACGAAAAATAGTAGACAAGCATATGAGCATTCTTGTCAATTGACCATTGGAGCCGAGAAATAAAATATCTCAAGTAATTTAAAAAAATGTGCTTTCCTACCTTTAATGAAGAACTGTTATTATATATCCATCAATTAAGATAAGAAAATAATAAGCAGGATCCTAATACATGAGAATAAAGATAAAAAATGATACAAAAACCAAAAGATGACAAAACAATTCAGATTTGTTTTAAGCACCCTTTACATACAAATTTTCATTGTGATTTAAAAAAAAAAATAAAAAAATCCACTCACAAAGTATTTCAATATCCGATGACCGAATAACAATACCTATTATGGCTTGCTGCTAAATACTATTTTGACATAGTGACTGAGCATTTTTGTAACTTTTGACAGTTTTAATCTCGTTTGATACAAACCTGCCTATTTTCTTAACCTAGGTAAAAAAAGAAGGAACTAATCAATAAATATTCTGGAGTCCATTGGCAAGAATGTATGGAGGCATGTCTAATATTTTTCAACCAAGAGACTAAAAAACATATTAAATCGGGGATCCCTCATCTTGTTATATGACAAAAAAAGTTATAATGTTGGAAATTTGTCATAAAACCATTACCATATGCATCATTTACAAATTGCTCTTCTTCCTCATCATCATCATCTTCAGGTGCATCTAAAAGAGGGGAAAATGCATACCTGAAAAATAAATTCATTATATATTGTTCTAAAAATTTTTATTTAGTTTGCTGTACCTCTGGTTATTATTTGTAGGTCTCCATAGAATCATTATAACTACTAAAATTATAGTGAACAGCAATTTCCAATACGCATCATCGACCCAAAGCTGTTTCCAATCCTGAAATTGATTGAAAACAAAGTGATTTAATTTATTTGTTAATAATTAATATTTATCAAAATTATATATTTATAATGTATATTTATAATTTATTTAATACACTGATAGGGGAAAAAAGTTGTCACCCTTAATATTTTTAATTATCTCTTAGACAATCCTCCATTAATTATCTCATAACAATATTTGGTCCATTTTAAAGGATTAGGGGTAAATAAAACTTTAAATAGTCAATTTCTTTTTTGTTGGTTTTCTGTAAAGCTTGTTTCTAATATTTTCCGATGGTTTGAGTTCTTTAAGTTGTACCATTTTTAAGTTTCAAATTCGTTTGAGTGATGGTTTTAAGTGATACAGATTCAGCTAGAGTCTTAGCATTGTTGTGTGAAGGAGTCAAGCATATCTGACTGTCATATCTCATAAAGATGATCGTTTTATTGTTTCGAATGTCTCCGTAATAAACATTATACCATTATACAATTTTTGTAAAAAAATTTTAGTTTAATTTGTTATTTTATTTGATTTTTTTAAAAGATCAAGTAAACTCTACAATAAGAAGAAATAAAAAATGGGTGGCCACTTTTTGGCCTCTCAGTGCATATTTATAATTGTATCACCTACTTACTGTGAAGCATATAGTCAAATGATGAGCTTTAATAGAATACAGCATGAATATTACAGAAGCGACCACAGCAAAAATTAAAACATTAGTAAAATGCCGGTATAGTGTTAATTTCACCAAGTTTCTACAATTTACAAAATATTTCATTAATAGTAATTTATTCACTCAGTTGACAAATATATTTTTAAGTAAAATATACCTTCTAAGTCGAAGGGTTCTTGTTGTTTGAGCTAAACTAATAAATATCCACCAACAAATGGCGGAATCTAATACTGCAAGTGGAACTGTTGCTATCACAAATTGATTGGCAGGATCATTCTTTGGTTTTATCACTCTCATGTATGATACAGTGACAGCTAAAAGGAAATAAAGAATTCCTACACCAAACACTCTGTGGAGCATGGGCCCTAATCTCGGCCTGAACAAAAAGTTAGAAATCAATTAAATATATTTATGAACAGTGTGTTAAAGAACATACTTAACAATTCCATAGCCAAGGCTGACTATTATAACAAGCATTCTTGCTATAGCTCTTTTTCCGCACGAGACTAATTCAGCAAGAAGTATAACGTTTGGCATCGAGTCTCCTGTTAAATTGAAACTGGAATATTCAGCATAAAATGCTGCCATTTCAAGCATTCCGTGAAATATAACGCCACCAATCCAAAATTGGATTCTTAAAAGATCTCGCCACTGGAGGAAAGAGACCAAAAGCCAAATTAGGCCTAAAGTGACATACACCAAACACATTATGCCATAAAACTGGAAAAAATAAAATCAAGCAATTTAAATTTATGGAAAATTTAAAAAAAAAATTGATATTTACTGGTAACAGAGGCCAATTGGCAGCAGATAGATATCCACCATCTTTTCCTTTCATTTCAATATGAACCTTAACTTCAAACTCATTTCCATTAGATTCTTCTATGTGAATATCTAATTTATAAAATCCATCTTTTGTTATTGTAAACACAGGATGTTTTGAGTACTAAAAAATAAATCAAACTTAAAATTTATTTAACTAACTCAATGTCTGAGTAAACCTACTGAATGGGGTTCATTTAATGTTTGCTGTTCACTTGAGTACACAGGAGTTGAAGAGGTAGGTGAATATTTTTCATCGGGAAGTGTTTCGAGATCCTTAACCAGTATTTCTTTCTATAAAAAACAAAAAAATAAATAAAATAAATAAAAAAATAATACAAACATTTAAAAATGATTTGAATGTTTTGAGTATTCAAATATTACCAAATGTATAAAATCCCGACAAGAATACTCCTTATCATTTGTTTTAAATATGACAGTAGTGCTATTGTCAAATCCATCAGGAAGGCCTTCGTAATCTGAAGGCTGAAAATTTTAACATTGTAAAATGGTATGAGGACATAAATGTAAAATAATCACGATTATGATGATACCTGACCAAACTGTTGGTAGTCCTGCCAACAAGCCGACTCTCGGAGGGACCATCTTATTTTCAACTTGACATCCTGATTTTCACAGAATACTGAAAATGGTTTAACAGTAAATTATTAAATTATTTACACCATAATATGGACAATATTTTTTAAATAATAATATGAATCATATATATAAAGAACGCTTACCCCGAATGAATATTTTCGAGTCTTTAAATAGACTTTTGACGACAGTCATATCTTTGGCAATCTGTAAAAATATGTCCATAGTTTTATTTTTTTTTTAAAGTACAAATAAGAAATCATTTGTTTATTGGAAGCAATTTCAATATGTAATCAATTGTATATGTGATATAATAATTGATCCAATTAAATAAGGATTAAATAAGAAATTAATGTTACAATGTTTTTCTTTGTCTCATCCATATACAACCAATGTCTATTTGGGGTTTATAACACAATTTTGAAGATAGGTGGCTGTTTATTCCTCCTCATCACATAATCTACATCACTGAATATGCCCAGGATTTTTTTTTTTAAATAAATTGCATTTAAATTAATTAGAAATTGTTTTTTACTAAATGAAAATTTAATTAAGGGATTTTGAAAAATAACAAAAAAAAAGTTTTAATTCCATAATTGTTTATTGGACACAATAATTTTTTTAAACAATTAATACCGTGTATAATGTCCTGTTAGCTAAAACCTCTGTGCACCAGGCATTCTGTTAATAAGGTTGTCACTAATTTCATAAGAATTTAACTCCATAGATATTACAATGCTGCACTCAGTTGTTACTGTGGATGGTGATCGAAAAGCCTTCCCTGCAACGCATCCCACAAGTGCTCAATAGGATTGAGGTCTGGAGACATGGGGGAAGGAGCAGGTTCCCAATTCCCAAGGTGATTCCCAGGTTTTCTAAACAATGATGGACAACTCTGCCTCTATGAGGTCTGGCATTGTCCAAATCCAAAATCCCTGACAATGAGGTTTGAGAGATGTATTTTTCAATAATTTCTTGGACATAGCGGACTGTGGTGAGGTTCTCTTCAACAATATGGAGTCCAGTTCGTCCTCCAGTGTAAATCCCAGCCCAGACCGTTACACCGCCTCCTCCAAACTGCACTGAAGGGAGCACAAACAGGGGCATTGTTTTCATCCCTTGTTCTCGATAGACTCTTCAGCACCTGCTACCACTATACAGACAGAAACGCGACTCATCAATAACATAACATCGTTCCAATTGGTGCTCTTTTCTAGGCACTCACTGCACTATATTCTCCTGAGTTGTGGTGGTGGGCTGTTGTTGCAAATCATACGAAAGGGGCATACGATGTGAAGCCAACGATTCTCAATCATTTGTGTTGATTAAGGCTTTGCAAAAACATCTTCTACTTCATTTAGGATCTAGTGGGCACTATGGAAAGGGCCCTGTCTTGCAGCAATGACAATATTTCTGTCCTCCCTTGGCGTCGTAATGTGCTGAGATCCACTACCAGGTCTTCTATTGGCACTTCCAGTCTCTCGGAATCGGGTTAAAGCCTGGGAGACCACGGTCTGAGAAATGCCAACTGCCTCTGCGATATCCACTAGCCGGTGACCTCGATGACTCATTATTCTCACAATAATATTCTTCTGGTTCAAGATGATGTCTTCCCATGGTTAAAGAGAATACAACGGGATTAAAATGTAGAAAAAACAAGAAAAGGGGATTGTTTACAAAATAAGTAATTTTCATGTTTGCTATACTTAAGTAAATCCGTTACTAGAAATGAGGATTCACATTTGTTCGTTTTTGTTTTGTGTTTTCTATTTTGTTTTACCCAACTAACAAGAATATATCGGTTAATTTAATTAGAATTAGTAGAATAAGTATAAATTACAAATATCCTTATTCATTTTTTAGCAGTTTACATTGTGTGCCATATTATTGTGTTATATTACTGTGTGCCTGAAATTTTATGTTCCCATCCAGTTTGATTGTTGGAGCCATACTGAGCTTTTCCTAGCATAAATATTTCCAATGGAGGTAGTTTAGCAATTGAGGTTGTTCACCATATGGATGACATAATAAGCTAGATATTTTCCTTGAAAAGATATCTTTGTTTTAAATAATTAATAGGGGGTAAAGTTAAGATTTGGAAGGAAGTAAAAGAGCGGAAATGAACGCGAGTCTGATAAAGGGAAAAAACTGAAACGTAGACAGGTCGAAACGGGCCGAGCCGGCAGCGGACCCCCGTCCAAACCGAAATATACGATTATCCTGCCTTCCTTTTTGAAATTATATATAATATACTTTTATATTTTTTACCTGGTTGAATGTAAAATCCCATTTTCCCTGTTCGGGAAACGCCGAGGCGAACTTGAAAAAGGCAAAACACAAAATCAAAAACCTCATTTTGGGCCTCGTCCCGTCAGTTATTGTGCATTTGAAACACACCAGGGCCGAAAATCGAATTCCGCACCCTTTTTAAGAATACGAATTAAAAACGGAACACGGTTCAAATTTATATTAAATTGAAAATAAAAAATAGTCGTAGATAAAATACATGTCAAGATATGTTTATAAACACTGGAGAGGTTTCAGAAGCCCATTGAGCAGAGGGGGTGATAAGGGCGACGGTGTGAAACTGATTAAAATATTGATAAACGTTTTATTCTCATAACACAAGTAAGTAAATAAATATAATTACAAAATAACAAACTATGACTGTTTTTTCTAAAATATTTTTATCTAATATTGTAAAGAAAGGTGTTTCGCCATTCACTCGTGTTTATAAACAAAACATAGTTCAAATTTATAAGATATACACTCAGTAAAATAAGTCTCTCTAAACCCTCCCCCATCACAAATATCAACATGCCCACCAAAAAGGAAAATCCTGTGAATCAGCTCTACATCAGATAACTATACAAGTAGTAGATTCACTGAACAACCAAGAAATACATTAGGAACTTTCTTGGACATTAAATGATCATTTAATAACACTCATTGGAAGCAATGGTTCCTACGCTGAAACAGCAAGGAACTGATCAAACCTGCAATAGATGGATGGTATGGTAATAAGGGTACTAGAAAGCAGGGTTTGTGGTCCCCAAGCACTGCAGCCTTCTGGCTTATTGTACCTTCCTAGTTCCTTAATTCAATTCAATAGACTCAATCCTTTTCCTTATAAGCATCAGGTCATTGACTGACGCTGCTACAATTTCATTCCCTATGTTTTTTCATATATTAGGTTGTCTCCATTGAGCTGTTGCGTCGCATTCGAAGATATGGGTGGCTGTTTCCTCCTCCTCATTACATAATCTGAAGATGGGATCATCATTGTATATGCCCATGTTGTGTAGATGTTTTCTCAGATGCCAGTGACCGGTTAGTAGTGCTATCACTACTCTGAGTTTAGCCCTTGCAATGCAGGGGCAGCAGTGATTTTGTCAGTCTTGGTGAGGGTTGTTTCATCATAAGTTCACTGTATTTAGCACCGCTCTAGACACAGTAAACTTTTGCTAAAACAACCTTCACCAAGACTGGCAAATGTGATCAGACCGTCACTGGAATTTGAGAAAACTTATAACCAAATTAAGCATATTCATTGATAATCCATATCATTTTTGAATATGAAGCAATGGCTCAATGCATAAATAGTTTGAAGAAGACAAGAATACTCCTAGCAAAAAAAGGGAACATAAGCAGAAGGGCCAAGTTGATTGCACTGAATTAAGGAACTAGGAAATTACAACAAGCCAGGAGGCTGCAGTGCTCAGGGAACAAAACCCAACTCTTAATACTCATCATCATCAGTAAGATAAGTCTCCAAACACCTTCCATGAAAAACAAGTAAAGCTTTTAAATTAATATTGAGCTAAATTGATGAACAACTTAAATTTTTGTAACTATAAACTTTAATCAACAACAAAAACTGTATAACAGGTAATAGTATTCAATACGTATAAATTAAACAATATACATATATAGAGTTATATGTTTCAAGCAAAAAATTCTCTGAAAACATCATTTTTCATTTGTTTATTTATTAACACTTATATAAATTTTATCTCAGTAATCTGTAGGTATCGTAATTTTTATTACCACTAATAAACAATTTTTATTGATAGAACAAGTAAGTTAGCCTCCTGTTCAGACAAATTGCTAATAGATTTTTTTCATGATTTTGCTTAGGAACCGTGTACAAGCAAAATGGTTGTCAGCTGGTCTCCGGAGCCTTCCAAATGTATGGACGGTGGAGTGTTTTCTCTCAGAGAAAATCACATTAATTTGGATACAGAAGACAGTGAAGATGAAGCGATTGCAACTCCTTATTTTGGATATGAACTTTTACCTCATGAGTCTTCAAACATAAACAATGTATTATTTCTTTTCAGTAACAAAGTTTCAGGCGTTTTGATTTATTTGTACATTTTTTACAGGGAGATGGGGAAACTCACTCTGATGGAGACAGCTCAGAGCCGGAAGAAGCTACAATCCACAGTATTGAACAGTCCATAACTATCAACAATCTTTCAGATGTAGGAATTTTAAAAAAAACTTATGAAACTTTTTTACAATTTTTGTTTGCTTTGTTTTAGGAATCATCTGGGGAAGAAACCATCAGATCGGATATTGAAATTAATCCTGAAGAAGTGAGGTCGATAATGAGTAACATTACACTTCCTCCCTCTTCATTTCCAACTTGGGCTTGCAACATTCCGGAATCACAATGGACGTCCTATCTTGTCTCTAGGATAACCAACATGCAAAATGAAAATAAAGAAAAGTAAATCTTTACTGTTTAAAATTTATCACTTGTTGGTGATAACTGTGCAGATAATTTATTGAAATAGAAATTTGATAAGATTATTTATTAACAGAAAAGAAAGGGGGCCTTAATGTTTTACTCACTATATTTGTAGAAATAGTGCATAAACAATAAAATTATTTAAAAAAGATTGCATGCCTCACAAAATTAACATTATTATCTCAGCTCTTCCTCAATGTTATAAAAACATACTTATGTACTGATTATAAAAATAAAATAAACTTTGCAAGTGCTAATATAATAATTATTTCTATTTCACATCTTCAATCATTTTCCAGGTTTTACCCATTTATTTCGTTTTGTTTTTATATATTCATCTTGATAAGTAATCTGTAGTACTTTCTAATATTAAAAAATAGGAATATCAAGTATATTTTTTAAGATTTCTTGTTTAATTTTGTGCTGATAAACCTGTAGTTTGGTAATTTTTTGATCTGTTGGATGCATTTCTTCTTTCAAAAATAGCAGGGATGAGCAGACAAAAAAAATTCAGAAACTTATGCAATAAATTACATTTCTTTATTTATGTTTATATAAAATCATAATATTTTAACTGCTATGTTAGCAGTAAATTTGCCAAAATATCATAAGATAAACCAATTTTCTTGCCTACTTTAACCCTGTCGGTTATACCTATAAAACAATGTCAATTGTATTATATATATTATTACAAAAAAAAAGTTTTAAAATTATTTATTTATTTCAATGGCCTTATAAGCTTGCAAATTAGCCAGAGTAAGATTCTGTTGATTGTTTTGGATGTTTATTGACCTGCAGCAAATTAAGTTTGAGTGATGAGATCGTGTTTAGGGGTCATGTGGAGTCTCCATATGACCTCTAGAGAAGATCTCATCACCAAAACTTTAATCGGTTGATTATTTTATCATATATAATAGGGTATGGAAGGGTTGTGTGAAAAAAAGGGCCAGGGGTAATGGTGGTAATGGAACTTCGACCTAGGGGTCTATTAGCCGAGATTCTATCTCTCTACTGTGGTCCCCAATTTTTAAAAATTGTTTTTATTCATAGATAAAACTGTAACATCAAAACGTTTAATAAAAAAGTAAAAAGCAATTATCTTTTTATACTTTGGTTGTTTCTAATCAACCTGGGCTGCATATTACTGTTGTAATATTGCCTCTCAGATGTGCTTCAGCAATAGGCCACCTTCAGTGCCAACCCACAAACTTTTTTTTACAATAAATTTTCTTATAGTTAATTTGTTATAAAAGTGTGAAGAAACAGCTACAGTCAAGTTATTTATTTTAATGAGATGGGCCACCAGTGGGTCAACCATTCGATTTGTCAAAAACCGCACAATCTTAGGTTCAATACTTACCTTAATCTCTGTAATTCTCCTTCAAACTAATTACTATTATAATCATTGAAAAATTCCTTTAAAATTGCTTGGATATAAAATTTATACAGATAAACATATATTAGCAATTTTAATGTATCATACATGGTGACATGGTGAATTTTTCATAATTATTTAATTACTGAGCTTTTCCAAAAACAATTATACGTTTATGAATAGTGATTTTATTTATGATTTAACAAACGTAACAACAGTAATGTTATTTTGACTTCTTTCCCACCATGATTCCACACCCTTGAGTCATTTGATAATTCGCCATTTAAAGCATTCAGTGATAAAATTAAAATCATTCAGTGCACAATTTCAGTAGTAAGTAAACTATGAAACAATTGGAGGTTTGTAAACTAAGTATTATATTTGAATAAATCATTAACAATAATTTTTTTTTAAATTTAATCTTATGGATCTATGCTCATCATGAGCGGTGAAAACATACTTTAGTGTTACTCATGGAACTTAGTTTAAATTCAGTGAAATCTAGGTAAAATACAAAGGTTAATTTAGCATGCAAATGAAAAAAAAATTCCTTCTTAATTTTCAAATATAATCTTCTTAATTAATCAAGTTTGACCATGGAGGAACTTAATGTTCCTTCTAATCTACAAAATATACAGCATTTATTGCTCTATTTTCTCTTTTTTTTTTGGGGGGGGGGTGCAAAAAACCACTAAAGATCTAACTGCCTTGAAAATTTGTCGACTGCATCTCATGATTTCAAAATAATCATTAATTAACGATCACTAAACACCACACATTATTAAAATATGTTTAACAATGATTATTTCTTCGCATTCTGGACACACTGGAACAGGCTCTTGGGACATTAAGTAACCATGTGTCAATCGACAGTGCCCTATCCTCAGTCTAGCAAAAGTTGTTTCTTCTTTCCTGGGTTTTCGTAAGGATCTGTCCCACTCTGACAGAGCCCTTAATTTCCCTAAGTTTGTTATTCCTCACTCTCTGCCACTCAATTTCCCATTGTGACCATATAACTTTTTTAGTAAATGAATTAAAATCTTCGTAAGGTACTTCGATTACTTTATGCCCTTCTGTTATAGCTTTCTTTGCTGCGTGGTCAGCTTCTTCATTCCCAATTATGCTACTATGACTCGGGATCTATAAGAAGCACCCAGACTGATTTGCTATCATAAGAAAAATATCTTGTACTCTAGGATTAGTCGTGAAGAGGTTTTAAAGGGTTCAGATGGCAGAGAGAGAATTGGAACAAACTATTACATTAGGGGGCTTGTGGTCTCCCACACTGAGACATTTAATTATGGCTAGTAGTTCAGCTGTAAAATTACTACAGACTGTTGACAAAGAGAACATCATTTTCCTATTGTTACAGACGAATGCGGCACCAACGCCATCATTTCCTTTTGACTCATATGTACTGCAGCATGATGCAATACATTCCTCCTTTTCCAATGTAGATGCAATATTTAATATTCTTTCTATGAAATCTTACAAAAAATATTGAAAACAATCATATAAGTAATAAAATGCCATTTCATATAAAAATGAGAATAGAAGGCTCATAAACTTGTTGCATTGGTAAAAAACTGTTATATCTGTTGTGATTTGTTATTACTTAATTTAATTTCTTGAAGTATTTGTATTATGTATAATCACTAGCTCAGTAATCTTAAAGTTTAAAGTATACATCTTAAATCAAAATTTCATTAAATTATTGATCTTAAATCAAAATTACTTCCAATAAAATAAGCCTAGCTGACCAAACCAGTGATGATTTGATGACCTGGATGATGGGAATGTAAAACTACAACTTAAATATAAGCGAAATGTGCTTTCTTGATATTTCCAAAAGTTAATACGAAACTTGTTGAAACAATTTAATTTTTTGTATTAACATCATGGATTTTGTTACAGATAGTTTTTACATTTCTTGGAATATGAAATATTTTAATACATTTTGTATCCTTCTAGTCATTTTATCAGTTTCAAATTGTGGTAACTCACTTGCCCATCATGTATATATAGAAGAGTTTAGTTTATTTTAAGTCTTTGCAGGACATACAACTTCACAATTTTTCCAAAAGGTGCTTGGAGGGATATCAAAAAGCTATGAAAGGTTTAGCAATTGGGTTTATGCAAAACATGCATCTACACATTGTTTTCATTTATTTACAAGGTGAATAAATTTATTATGAACAAATACATAATTCAGAATTGAAATACAATTTTCAACAGAAAATAATGAAATTGAATTTAGAAATAATAAATACTATTGTAGTTTTGACGAAATTTATTGGAATAATGCATATTTCAGAGACAATTTAAATAACTCTGATGTTTATGAGGTAAATGTTACAAATAATGGAGAACTATTTAAAAAATTTAATCCAAAGAATCCAACAAAGATTCTAATTCATGGTTGGAGGGGGTCTGTGGAATCTACCTTTTGCACACTATTGAAGGACAGTAAGAAATTATTAAGAAATTTTTATTATAAATGTTATTTTATGCAAAATAATATAGTTTTTTTGTATATTGTACAGCATATCTAGATGTTGGTGACTACAATATTATTATTTTTGATTGGAGTAATGATGCAAATAAATCTTATAGATTTGCCAAAACTGCTGTTACAAAAGCAGGAAAAATTGTTGCAAGTTTCATTGACTCACTAGTGAAAAAGCACAAGGTGAAATCTGAAGATTTACATTTGATCGGTCATAGTTTAGGGGCTCATGTATCAGGAGTGGCTGGTTATTTTACCACAACAGGACAAATTGGACGAATAACAGGTGAAAACAAAATAACACAATGTTTAATTTCAGTACTGTTTTAATTCAATGACAGGTCTCGATCCATCTTTACCATTGTATTTAAATGTTCCTGAAAGTGAGAAACTGTCTAACAAATCAGCGAATTTTGTTGATATTATTCATACGTGCGCTTTATACCTTGGTATTTGGTCCAACATTGGACATGCAGATTTTTATCCTAATAAAGGAACGTTTATTCAGCCTGGTTGTGGCTTTGATGCTTTAGGTAAAACATTGCAATGTAATTTATTAGAAATTAATGAAACTATAAACTGTTTACAGATTTTATTCATACTTTCAGGTAAATGCAGTCATAATAGATCATATTATTACTTTATGGAATCAATAGAAAACCCTTCATCATTCATAGCAACAAAATGCGATAACTGGTATAAATTTGCTAACAAAGGATGTTCAAACGAAACAAAAGTAGTTATGGGTGAACACTGTCTTAGCAGGTTTGTGCTGTGCTCAATACTAAATACTTTCTGTAGTATTCTAAATTATGGAATGGAAGGCAAGATGAATAGTTTGCATCTTGAGCAGGGCCAAACCCACAAGTTCTGAATGTTTGTGTTTTTAATGTGAACACCTGAAAGTCTCATAGATAACTTTTCATCTACCTTCTTTTCCACAATTTAGTCTACTATAAAATATAATACTTATGATAAGTATAATTAAAATGACTTTCTTCAACGTTGTAAAACAGTACTGGATTTCAGCACTCAAGGAATTTACTATCTGGTGACTGCAGATAATCCACCATTTGGAAAGAAAGAAAACTCATCTGAAATTGAACCATCAATTCAACAGTTGAATACAAATTGGTATTACAAGCATTTTTAATTTTATCGGTTATCAAAATTATGGAAAACTTTATTATTTACAATGTTAAACAGTCTATGTAGCATTGAAAAATTATTATATTAAAATATATTAATATTTGTGGTAATTAAATAAAATTTTCATTACAACACTTCACCACCAACTCTTTTGTACTACACACACATTCACACAAACAAATATTTTCTCATAAAACAGTTAACACAAAATATATCTTTCAACCTAACTTTGTAATATATGATAACAAGGTTAAATGTAATTTAAAAAAATCTGTGTATGTGTAAGCTGTCAAAGTGTGATAGTGCAAATCTATGTATTTGTGCTTAAGGAAGTAAAGTTTTAAACTTAACTCTAGGTTATTCTTTACTAAACTAAGAACCCCCAATCATACATTATATACAAAAATACCCCTGTTTCCTCCTAAAATCGGAAAAGTAAGGAATTGCTGCCAAGTACACTTCTCATATCATTTGATGTTTCTATTCGCTCCCTATATATGGAGCCAAGGAATGGTAGTGTCAATAAAATAACTCCACTTGTATTTCATTTTATTTACAGAGCAATTTTGTACAGACATAGTAAAATTAAAAGAACAATCTCACCCTTGTTGTCCTTTTAACAATTTTTCATTAATTTTTTTTCAGTTCTGAATTTATGATTCACACAGATTTGCATATTAATCAGACAACTGACAAAGTAACGCTACTCCCCTCATGATCCAATGATCCCCCGGCTTTTTCGAAGGTAGAAGCATTGCAATGACAAAATTTGTCGAGTGTCCTGTGGTTGACAAAACACCTCTTCTCTCGGTTGTTTTGTAAACAGGACAAATATATCTTCCACCAACATTAAGCTCAGTTTTTCGCGTTGGTTTTAAAAGCATCTACAAATTATTTTTTTTAAATCACTTATTTCAGATATTAATGATTTATTTAAATATAAAAAAAGAAGTTCAATAATTAATAATTAATATAAAAATGGGCACTTACAATGGGCATACTTTCATAAAGTACTTTAGGTAAAGACTCAAATAAACACATATTTTCTCTATTAAATCGAGCACCTTCTAAGAACAGACCATCAGTATACACTCCATCTTCAGGTGGAGAATACATTGTAGTTGCCTTTTGAACCTATTTTCAAAATAAAATATATGAATACCTCAATGAACACATTTTGTTCAGACTGACATACAAAAAAATCAAAACCCAATAAATCAATGGGAATTTTATGTTTCCTAGCAAAATTCTGTTGAGCACCAGTGAGAAATGCTTGAGTGAAGAAGAATCCTGATAGCCAGAAGACAACGGGAGGACCATTTTCATACCATTTCTTGATTAAAGACAATTAAAATCAATATAAATGTTTAAAATTAGCTTATTATCAATTAATTATCAAATGAAAACCTGAAGAAAATCTAATCTTTGAAGCAGGTCGGTTATGTAGCTTCCTAAAGGTTTAAGTGAAGGATACGAAGCTTTGGCCCAAAATGCAGGAATTTTCCCAATGACAACACTTTTGTATATACTTTCCAATTCATTTGACATAACAACTAAACCTGTGCGAAAACAAAATTATTAGCACTTTTTTCTAAAAGAAATATTCCAAAAGTTATCCGTGATCACCATTACCTTTAATAGCCTTTTGCAAATTAGTTAAGCTGTTTGTAATATTTTTTATTAGGTTATTGAATCTATTCATCTCCTGGACAAGTACTGTATTCATTGATTGGGAGTATGAAGTCGGGTATTTTTCCATGGCCAGTCCAATATCAAAAAGCTGGGGAATTTTTTGAAGGATATCTTTTGCCACATCATAAACAAGCTGATCTGTTCCTTCTCCAGATTGGGATTCATTTGATGATTCCTGTTGAAAAATAAAGTACATTAATCTGTTATTCTCACATTACGATTTAAGGTTGAGGACATGAAAAAACATGCATAATAAAATATTAACACAAATATGAACCATAAGTCACACATGCATAGGTTTTCACCAATTGGTGAAAAAAAAAAAAAAAATACAGTACCAGTTACTCACCAACAAATATTTTTCCCACAAGTCCTGGGATATTTTGCAAAAAATAAAATTGTTTTTTAAGCAATGAGGACACATTTAAAATTTAAGAAAAAACCATGAGCAGGGAGAAGAACTCTATTTTACTTACATTACGAATATCCTGATTTTCAGCATTAAAAAAATTAAAGGAGGGGAGAATTTAATTTTTTTTTTTTAAACATAAATCCATTAGTTTAAAGTACAATTAAATTCATAAAATATTCAAACCTGTGTCTTCAATGTACTTGTAAATAGCAGCATAGTTTCTTGTTTATCTTTTAGTATATCGGCGTTATCATGCATCCCAAAAACTGAAGGTTTAGTTGTCAAAGGAAGTTGAGTTACAAAATTTATCAATGAATCATAAGATTTTATATCAGGGCAGTAATATAAATCTGAAAAAAAGATATGATTACATGAGTAATGAACTTATAAAATTATAAAAATATAACTAGTCTAATTATAAAAATTATAAATTGATCCTTACCGATATGACCAAGATTATTGGTAAGGATAAATTTATCTTCACCCGCAGATCACAGGAGGAAAATTTACCTTATAAAACCTATATATACTAATTTTAAACATTTGATAGTTCAATATCACTTACTTGATGTCGGATCAAAGTAATAAACTGAATCTTCATCCACTAGTTTCTGACAATAGTATTTTTGAAGAATAGTGTTGAGGGTTCTTCGATCCCAATCATCAGTCACACGCCCTCCATAATTACATTCACCCGTTAAATATTTCAGTGCTGAGAATTGAATTGTCTAATAAAACCCAAAAAATACATGAATGATTTAAGGTATTTATATTTTTCATTGAGATTCAAAGGATAAAAACTAAACCTCATATTGGTCCAAAAACATATGAAGTTGCATCACACTGATACGTAAATCAGTTTCATTAAATTCGTAACCAATATTCCAACCAAGTGGCCCAAATTTCCTTCTTTCCTGCACAATTGCATGAAAGAAGCAAAGTCCAAACAAAAGTCTTTTGAATGGTCTTGGTTGTTTGTTTCCTTCAAAAAATTCTAATTCACTTATTGGATCACTTGTTAATGATCTGCAGAAAAAAGTTTTAATTTTCAGGATTGTTTTGAACAAAAATAACTTGTTGTGATTGTTCACCTCAAAATATTAGATCTCAATCCCTTTGGAGGCTCATTAGTCATCTTAACTCCATTTTGTAAAATGTACACTGGAAAATGCTGTGCTGGGTAAGAAGTCAACCAAAGTCGAAAATCAGGGTGTGTAGAATCAGCACTTAAGGATTCACAGATCTAAAAAAAGAATTAAATCAAATTAGGCAGTTTTGGTGAAAGTTTTAATCCATTTTCATTCAACTCTTGAAGAAAGAAATCTACATAATTGAATATATTCTTTAAAACAAATATAATTTATTTTTTCCTTAAAATGTTACACATAAAATTACTTACTGATTCTAATGTAGGCATCCAACTTTTGGCTAAATGGCAATTTTGAAGTACAACCCATGTACCCATTTTCATAGCTTCATTAACAAGTTTCATAGCAATTGGCCCTTGACCCTGACCCAGAGAAAGAGAATTTAATCTTGCTCCTCCAAATCCCTGTAATAAAGGCAATAAATTGTATGTCAAAATTAATTAATCAATTTATTTATTTTATATAAGTTACAGTGTCTTCAGCGAATTTCAAAAGTGTGGCAGTCGGGTCTGCACCCGGGCTGAGAATGAATATCAATGGTATGAAGCACTGCGAATCCAAAAATGATCCTTGCAAATCGAAAGGTGGAGGATCGATGAACCGAGGACCGAGTCTTGCTGTAGATAACAGGTTTCAGTAGTATTTAAAATGATCCTGTCGAATAAAACAAGTTACCTTCAACAAGTTGTTGAACTGCTGGAACTACCTTGTCCGGTCTGATGCAACGTAGAGGAAGCAATTTTTGGAAATGTGTCAATTTTGTTTCCCAAGGTTCTGGAAACTTCATTCCGTGGGGTTCCAAAGAATCAAATATCTCTTTCCAATCATTTTCATTGGTTTTGATGTGATTTTTTATGCCCTGTGTTATAAATACAAGTTTTAGTCTTTGAAATATTTTACAACAATAATAACCAGTTATTTATACATTTTTTTCTTAATAATTTGCTACTTTAAAATACACTATGCTAAAGTGATTACATTTTATTTATTTAGTTTCCAGCTCAATAAGTACATAATATCAGCAATGTAACCAACATTTTACAACATGTAACCCATTTTAACCAACATTAACAATGTCATAGTAATATTAACTTTAACTGCAACTTAAGACTTAATTACTGTAAAATGGTCCAAGTTATCAAGCCGACATATCTCATCCCAAGAAGATGAAGGAAGCCATGTCGTTGGATTTGGATGAGGATTTCCCAAACTAACTCCACCAGTTAGAAAAAACATCCACTCATTTCTATCCAACTCATTAGTATCGAACATCAAATTTACCGTTAATAGGAGTGAAAAAAGTAGTTTATCCTGTCAAATAATATTGTTTAGTAAAAAAATAGACATTCACCTAGCAGAAAAAAAATTACCTTTTCAAAAAGACTTCTGCAAATGTTAACATAGAGTGAATATGTAAAATAATTTTTCAGATCTCTGAGTCTGTCTTTAATTATTTCACTCTTTTCAGTGTTATCAATGGCAGATTTAAAAAGGTTCACGAACCATGCCAATGAGTATTGATACATAGGATCGATATTAGCCAAATTAGCTAAATATAAATAATTAGTTTAAACTTGAATGAACTATAAGTATAATTATTTGCAACTTACTTATACTGAAAAATAGGATTGTCGAATGTACAGCAATTGGTGAGTAAACAAGCCTAGCATTGTCAATATTCTTTTCTGTGATTTCAGCAATGGCTTGCTTTTCAGTAATTTCATTTGATAAGACTTTAGAAGAGCTTAAGTCATTAACAGCCTCTTGATCTTCCAATATATTTCCTTCAGAAGTTGATAAAGTTTGAAGAATTTTATCTTCAAGTTCTTTTAATTCTCTGAAAAATTATTATTTTTTAAATTATTTACTTTTCTGGCAGGCAAAACAAAAAATTTGCAATATGATACTTTTTGTTTGCTGCTCCTTGGATAATTAGTTGATTTTTTTCTGCTTCTAAGTCAGGTCTATCTTTTGCAACCACTATTCCAAGCAGTTGGTCTTGTAGACCGATCTGTGTGATCATAAAATTAAGTAATGTCACTTTCACAGCAATTTCCGGCAGATAATGAGGATTTCGCAACTTTGTTGTGATGTAAAATCTAATTGGCAATAAAAAATTTAATAAATAGGAGTATTTAATTTACTAACACAACAAATTCAATATAACTTACCTAAAACTAGGTGAATACTCAACAGTCGAATCACCTAGTTTTATACATACAGCACCACCAGCTTTGAAAGTTTGTTTTAAAAGTAGAGGTTCTAAAAGTGCATCTAATTCTTCCTCAACATTTTCCATTAATACCTGAAATTTCAATTATTTATTTAAATACTAAAAGAAAAAAAACACCAATATAACTTACTGGTTGGCCATATTGAATTGCATTTTCTAATATTCTGACATAATCAGATTGTGTCATACGTATCACACTTAAATTATTGGCTTTTTCCATATTTTTAATCCATTTATTAGCCTGACTTTGGGGATCAATCATTAATGGGAAGCGTCTTGAATACCTTATTTAAAATATAAAACAATATAGAGTTGAATTATAGTTAGCCATGATCAGAAGTTAACAGTGAATAAAATTTCTTTTACTTGACAATTATAGCATTCTCAACTGAGAATGCATCACTAGGAAGTCCATAAATATTCCATGCTCTTATTTCAACAGCATCTCCCAATACACTCATCAATGAATAGTCACTAGTACACACGATTTTATAACTTTTTACTTGGCGGACCCAAGTTTCTGCTTGAGAGTCCCTAAAATCTCTTGTAAAAGGTCCAAGATAGGCAATAATGCCAGCAGCGATCAGAATGTCACCTTTAATTTGGAATATTTACAATTAGTTGTTCTTATTTTTAAAATTAAGTAAATGTTACAGTTACCTGTTAAGGTATAATAGCTTTCTCCTAATTCTTTTGCTAGGGCTGACCATCTTGTTTGTTCTCCACCAAGACCATGGATTAAATCTTCTGCTCTTTGCAGTTTCAAAGTGCACAAGTGTTCTTCCTCTTGCAGTTTATTAAATTCAGCTTTATGCTTTTCCAGTTCTTTTTCTAAATCAGCAAACTTCTCTCTGACTATAGCCAGCTCCTGTTGTTTCTTAGCCAAAGCAGCCATTGCATTTTGATATTCCGCTTCTGCTTTTGCTAAGGCAACCTTTTTGGGCGCAACAACTTTTGCCACCTTGTCATATTTTGAAATGGCAATTACCCATTTACACAAACCTGTATGGATATGTCATAACACTCAAAATTAAAGAAATAAGATTTATATGAATCGCTACATGCCTTCAGCAGCATTTGAAGCTGTTTTCACTTTTTCCGGATCAAATTCAGGATTATTTAGAAAACGGTCATGTATGGTTTTCATTATTCTTGGTGCTATATTGTCTTTGTCAAAATTAATTAGACCTTCTAAAAATTTCATGTCACCCAATACTCTTTTAGAAGGACCCCAGTAATCTTCTACCATTTTACCACTTCCATCAGGATCAGGAATTCTGTCTGGTTTAACATCCTTAAAAAATATATAAGCTCTTTTCAATAGTGAATATTTTTTACTATTTGATAATAATAATTAATAAGAAAATTTACTTTAACCACACAAATTGCCTCCATTACTATTTTGACACCCTTAGGTGGATTTTTCATTGATTTGACTACAGTTATATCATTTGGAGTCAAAGTATTTAAGGCTGCCAATGCAGCTTCCATAATAGGCATTGCTTCTGCCAAATCTTCATCGCATTCTTCTTTTATAGCCTGGGCTGCAGTTGCTTGAGCATTAGCTAATTCCTCATCTGCTTTGACAATTTTCTCTTTCTGTAAGATACAAGATTGCAGTTATTTTACGTCTTAAATGTAGCTCAATTACAGCAGAATTTATAATTTTACATTCGTACCTTAGCAACATCTTCAGATTCTGCTTCTACACGAGCAACAGTTTCTTTAACTTTTATTGATGCTTCCTGAATTGCAGGCTGGAGTTCTTTCAATTCAATTTCCATTACAGCAATTTGTGATGCAGCATGAGCAAGTTTCTCCAAACCATTTTCATACCTTCTTTTGCCAAGAATAATTTCTCTACAAAAATTATACAAGACGAAAGATTTTATAATCAATTATCAAAGGATAAAAACCTTTGTTTGAGTTATTAAGTAAATTAATTCTTACTCTCTTTTTCTATTAAGAAGTTCGATAAAGGTGTTTATTAATTCAAGATAAGAAGTTGGTGTGACATATGTATATCGCCCAGTGAGTGTATTAAACTTAAGGGACAGTTCTTGAGTTGCAGTATGGAAACTCTGACACATATCGATGCACATTTGTCTTTCTTTGTCTATGAGTTCAATGTTTGATAAAAATTTGGTCGACACAGCTAGTAGTGCATCTTGTGGCCATGCCTTTAATTTTGTTTATAATTAATCTTATTCTTTTAAATTAGTATTCTTAAGGACTTACCTGGAACCAGTCAATTGTACAACAGTTCACAAGAGCAGGGAATTTCCTTAACCTGACTCGGAATTCATTGCCGATCGGGCTGAAAGCCAAGACTATGTGCAATTGGTCTCTTACAATTTGTAAGAACAAGTTGAATAAAGCTACTGGACTTCCATCAGTCTATGTAAAAATTATACAATTATTAATTAAAAAATGCAATGTATGTAAATAAATTTTGATTCATGAACTTACTTGCATAGATTTTTCCTTTTGCCTATCAATTAGCCTCATTTTTTCACAAATCTCTACTTTTTCATCCATTGGAAATATATTTGGCACTTCTCCAGAATTTAACATGTTGTTAATATCTTCAACAAAAGACTCTTCTTTTATCTTCATAAAATAACATAAAACAATAAATAAACTTTATTAAATATACTTTTTTTTAAGCAAAAAGATAAGATCAAGGGAAATATTAAAGGCAGGTGTAATTTATTGGCTTTAATAATTTAGTTTTTACCTGAGAATCTGAAAACAAAAATACGACATGTGTGTCTGATCCACTGCTTTTCTTTAGTATTGTTTTAACGTCATCATACCATTCAACTTTTCCATAAGATTTACTTATTTCAATCTGTAATAATTAAAAGAAGGATTTTAAACCTGTTAAAAAACCCAATGAGGAATGAACTTACTTGGAATAGGTCATATTCAGAAATATGGGATGCCAATCTTGTGAGTGATTGCCTTCCAGATCCTCCGACACCAACAAGAAGTGCATGACTTCTGGGTTGTTTTAAAATTCTGCAAATTCTTGACAGATGTTCAATAGCAAAACTGCATAAAATTTCCAAATATTATTTTATGCAGTGAATTAAGAAAAAACAATGATTTTATATATATCTAAATACTTAGCATTTAATTACAAACCTAAACATTACAAGGTTCATCGGCTTTTTACTCATATTATTATATTCATTTAAATATCCTTCCACTATATTCCTTAAACTTGCAATATCAGTAACTTCGATATAATTTCTCTGATCTGCTTTAGGATTAGCGAAGTCACAATACATTAATTTTCTTAGCTCATTATCTCCAACCTAAAATATATCAAATAGCATACACTAAAATATTCCAGTAACATTTATTTTAATGTTTGCCTTTTTAACGCCGCGTCCACAAAGATGACTGAATAGCTCATTCATATCTTCAAGTAAATGTTGAATACAAACTCTTTGTAGAGCTTTTATCAACCATGATCTGTCTACATCATCAACTAGCCTATCGTAGTAAACTCGCATTACTTCATGAACCCATAGTCTCTTCATTGCCTTCAAATCTTCCATTGCTTCTGGTACAGAAAGTAATACTCCCTAAAATAATAAAAATGGATCAGTGGATGTCGATAAATTATCATAAAGGGTTAATTTTACTTGAATCACTCTGGAGAAATCTCTCAAATTAAATGTATAATGAGATTTAGCAGGGGTCGGAAGAAGGTTAGCCAAACTCATTGTGTATATTGCAAGAGTGGCTCCGACTATTTGTTCTATACAAGGATCAAACTCTTTGCTGAATCCTCTAAACATCAAATTGGTTTTTTAAGAAGTGTTCATAATTTAGAAGTATGCAGATATAAAACTTTATATCTAATACCTAGTGTCCAAATGCCAAAGCATTATTTTACTGAATATGGCAATCATGGTATCATGGTTAAATTCGTTAATAACAAATATATTGAAATGCCTCCAAAATCTTGGGGTAACTGTTTTACCACCACTTGGAGGATCCATTGAACATATTAACTAATTAAAAAAATAAAATAAATAAATATTAAAAATGAAAACACTGTGGTACAAGGATAAAAGTAATACCTGTATGTCTACTAATTTAATTGGAACGACTTCTTTCCTGTCATACCAAGTCCAGTGATCTAACCATTGTCGCAAAATCTCAATTGGAGGTTGAGCTCCAAAAACCTCTTTCAGTGGCATGTTAACATCATCAACAAAAATCACCCCTTTTTTACCAAGCGGGGGTCCATAAACACCTTAAATATAAAAAGTATTGGATAAAAAATTAATTTTTGACTAATTGAAATAATTTTTACCTTTTCTTCTTTTGTCCAGTTTTCCCATTATAATATCTTGCGTTTGATTAGCAGATGTCTGTGCCGAAAAATTAATAAACTGTGGTTTGTAAATGTCAGATTCCATTTTTTTCAACAAAAAGTACTACAAAATAATTTAGTTATTTAAATGTAAAATAAATATTTTTTTGTTACATACAGTCACATAGGATGACTTTCCTGTGCCTGTCTGCCCTACAAACATCATATGTTTACTATGCTGAACAAGGAGTTGCATAATGGCCATCATCCGTATTGTTTCAATGGTTGGGACAATTATTTGATTCACAGGAATATCTCTTGGAATAGGAGGAAGCCCTGCAAGATCATCAGACCACAATTTCCATTTTCCTTTTCCCTACGGTAAAGTCCAATTTGAAAGAGACTCAATAAATATTAGATCATTGCAAATTTTACCTCTTTAATATATCTATAATCAAAAACTGATCCTGAAGACGGTGGCACAAATATATAATTCTTCTTCGGAGGTTTGGTCAATTCAGCAGAAAGATTGTACTTGCTTAGTAAATCAACTGGGAAATCCTTCTTGAGAAGACCTTGGAAGACCAAACTGTAATGTATTCTGCTTTCTGAATTTAGATGTGCTCCCATTCCCCAAATGCACGAGAAGAAAAAAACACCCTGTTATTAAATTATTATTGAAAAGTGAGAAAATTATTGATAAACAGGTAAATCATTATATTTCTTACTTCAAGCTGTGCTCTAATATCTAGATCGCTCAGACTTTCAACATATTTAATATCATAAAATTCATCCATAAAACAGTCATAGATGTTTGTCACTGCACGAATAAGATTGGACTCAGAGCATGGAAATACTTCCTAAAATCAAAATTTTACTTAAATACAACTATCTAAAAGTATTTAAAAGTATTTTTTTTTAAATACATTTACAACTAACTCATTCATACAAAATCAATATTTCTTAGTAGTCATACATTATTTGTTTTGCTAAATTCAGTTAGTTTGGTAATAATAAATATGGCTACTTTGTTAAATCAAAATATTATTATTATTATTATTATTTGTAAATACAACCATTTCTCTTTTATTTTATTAATTAAATTTGATACAGTCTATTACCTCATACAATTTGTAATTATTGTGACATTTAAATGATGGAGTATGATTATTTCAGAACATCCTTTCTAACTTGGTTATTTTATGTCTCTAAGTAAATACTGTTGTAACTTTGATTATATAACAATTTTGTCATACCTTCATCTTATTTTTTGCAAAGAACTGGAAAATTACAGGGCAGAACCTAAAGTAAAGCTGTTTTATCAACTGCTTATTTTGTGCATGTAAAGTCGATGGTAAGGTGTTAAGCCATGAATAAATTAAGCATTCCCATCCGAGTGAAGATGGCTCCATATAAATCATTCCACAACGTGACACCTAACAATTATCAGTAAATATTATGTTTTCATTTCACTTTTAAGTGAATACTGACAGTAGCAGGGGAAGCAACTTCCAGGTCCATAGGTTCAAAAATTAAATTGGTAGTTTTAGCCAATTGTATAATTTCTCCTGACATTAAACATAGTTTCTTATTATCATCAAGGACTGTATTCATATTTTCAATCCAAACTGCATCAACTGGTCCATCAAAAATGAGCCATTTCCTAAAATTTTAATTTTGTATATTTGTTGTACTTAATTTTTATGTCCATACAAAATGTTACTGTACCTATTCATGTTAGTTGACATCGCAAATTGTCGATAGCTGACAGCTAAAATTCCATCTGACCATTCATGAGAAACATCATCAAACTGGCCGTACAATTGACCCATTGTTATAGATTTTGGATTTATGACTATTATTTCAACCTTGTGTTCATCCATCTCTTGCTTAAATTGTAAAACAATAATTTAATAGTACTACATTATGGCAAAAATATCAATTATTACTCGTTCTTCAATAATTTCTAATGCCGCAGCTAATGCTTGGTATGCTCGAGTTTTCCCGCTAAAAGGTAAGCCGACTATCATGAAACCATGTCGGACAATCATCATTTCGTATATCTGTTGTATCTTTTCCAAAAAGAATGGTGTACACTGCAAGTTCAAATTTACACAGGCTTCTTTAGCTGCCCTGTTTAGAACAGTGTAGTCAGGATTAGGCAATGAAATCCCAGGAAACAAATCTGAAGCAATGCCCTGTAAATAACAAAGATGTTAAATAAAATAACTGTAGAGTACTATAGGGACTAACAACATGTTTTAAAATTATACAAATTTAGAAATGGATAAGAATAATACCTGAAAAAGGGGTAAGTCATGATTGAGAAATTTGGGAAAGTTGACATCTTTAATTGATCTCAACATTAAAATGTCTTCATCCTCATTTGGATATTTCAGTTTCAGATTTCCAGCAGCAGTGAGGACAGTTTTAACAGCTCTCATACCTATAAATTATTCTAAATACATAGAATTCATTAAACCAATCAACGTTACCATACCATAGTCATAATGATGTTGTGAAGATAGCTGTTCTGAGCATAATTTGTAAGTGGCAACAATCTTAACAGCAAGAGGTCTTGCATTAACAAAACCATGAGAATACAAATTGATCTCAGATATCATAGCATAATCGGGCACCATCATAGCAACAGGTCTGAATAAAGCCTGCAATTTTTTTGTAAAGTTTGAATAATATAGAAAACTAAGTATTAAAAAGGAATGAATTTACTTTCAAGTTATCTGGAAGCTCGGATCTTCCAGCATATCCAGGATTCATAGTTATAAAAACTGCACATGTCACATCTAAATCCAGTTCAGTGCCTTCAAATAACAACTTTTGGTTGCCAGACATGATGCCTCTTTGGATGGTAAGGATTTGTTGAGCAACGACAGACAATACTTCTAGATCAATACGATTGAATTCATCAAAACAGGACCACGCTCCACAAGCGGCCAAACCCTAGTCAAACAAGTTAAATAAAATCTCAACAAAAGTCTTAGATTATTGATTATTACTTTGAAAAATTTCCCTAATGCAATATAGTCCAACCCATCTGAACAGTTAAACACAACACACTGTTTTGCAATCGCCTTTGCCAAATCCTTGGTTGTTTCTGTTTTTCCTGTTCCTGCGGGACCTTCTGGTGCACCTCCTAAAAACAAAATTTCATTTAGTTAAATAACTTCTTTCTTTTTCATTAAAAATCAATCAGCACAATGAACATCTCCTTAAATTATTATTTGCAAATTAAACAAACAAAAAATCACCTAAATGAAGCAGTAGAGCACCAAACAATGTTCTATAACAGCGATCAGTCAAAGGAGTTATGACTAAACGGTCTGAGTTTCCTAAGTATTCATAACCATATTTTAAAGAAGAGTTAATCATTGATGCAATCAAATTATTTTCCTACAGGATGTAAAGTATACCAATTTAACAATTTCAAAATAAAATTAACGTGTATTGAGCCTTACGGTCCAATAATATCTTAACTGGCTGAGCCAGAGGAAGTCATCATCTTTACTGACTTTCCTCTTCTCCATTGATACGACAACATCCTTTGCATGAATGTCTATTGTGACTAATGCTCCTATAATGCAACAAAAATTGATTATATTTTGAAGTAATTATGACTGTTGTACTCTATATTATTATAAATAACAATAATAATCAGTCCTACCTATAATTATAATTACAGTTTTTTTTCTCACCTAATGTTATTCTGTTTTGAATTTCTAATTGCCCTCTAACCAGTTCAACAATTTTTTCAATTTGTTGAGTACATTTATGCCTATACTTGCTTAAGCCATTTCCTTTTTTGTTAATGGCTTCATGCACATCTGAAGTCCAGTAAGTACTGGAAACAGCCAAAACAGTCTGTCCTGGCCATTCTAAAACCCAAACATGCCTCGGACTTTTTGGATAAGCTACCATTGCCTCTTGGACCATCTAGATTATAAATTAATGAATTTATTTAAAAATTATTTAAATTATCAATAATTAGCATACTTTGTGAACACTTTTTTTCATATCAGCTTCCAATTGGATAAGCCACTTTTCCACCTGACCTCTAGCTTGAACAGTATTTATTATATCAACCAAAACAACAATTTCACCCTCGCTAGATTTCATATGCGTGACTTCAAGAGATTCGGTGAATGTCAATCTTGCAATACCTTCAAAGCATTTTTTCAAATGCGGCTGCACTCTAAAGTAGATGTCAAGAATCACCATTTGAACTATAAAAGTTTAGTCCTTCGTTGAATTTATACCTGGTCGGATCTTTAGTTTCGGAAAGAATTTCTAACAATTCATCGTTAGATAGAAAGAAGAATCGAGGGAAAAATATCCTCTTTTTCTCCAGATAGTCATTCAATCCACGTTGGATGACTTCCAAAAGTGTATTTGATTTTTTAAGCCTTTCCAGCATTTTATCTATTTCAATAACTGACAAAACATGAGTATTTTGGATCACAGCTTTCATTATGTCTCTCCAAATCTAGAAACACCAGCAATGTAATAAGTTGATAATATAACCATCGTTTAACATAAAGTAGAATAGGAATCAATTTAAAAGTTGCATTTTTTGTTTTATTATTAAAATTTTAGTTCAATTTTCATAGCATTATTACCTTATCTACAGCACTGAATTTTCTCCCTTCCTCCGGCATTTGCTGTTGAATATCTGGCGATGAAAATATAGGTTCAAGGTAAAGCCATGTCATTTGAACTTTAAGCCATTCGTCCATTATTTCTTGTAGAAGCTGCAGTTTAGCCTCCCATTGCCTATTTTGTACCAGTTAATAAAACATGCATTTAAATGTAATTGTGTATTAGTTATTGACGACTTACAAAATTGTCGACTCAAAAGGTTTGATGTAAGGTGAATTCTTCATTGTCTGCGTCTTTACGATGTGATCATCAAGAAGTAATTGTATGTCATCAACACTTGCTATTATGTGTGTTCCACTGTCTCTGTAAAATTCAAAAATTTATTTTTTCAAACGACTCTTAATTCATGAATATATAAACATTAATGTGTTACCTATAGCTGTGAACTGTAAATTCCATGTCTACCCATTCATTCATCATCTTGGCTAGAGACTTTTCTAAGTTATTCTCTTTAGTGGCTGAATCACTTATAGCTTCAAATTTAGAATTGTATTCTTCAAGCTGGTACTCAAATACTTTATCTAATGTTAGATCTTTTCCAATCATAGGAAAACCAACTATTTCTGATATCATTTCCCAATGTCTTTCTTTTAACCCTGGATTTCCTAGAGTCATGACAATTGCCAAATGACTTCTAAATTCTTCAATTTTTTCTCTGACCTAAATATTATTTTAAAGGAGATGTAGTGTAAATTGTTCACACAATTAGTAAAGAAAATTACCGCAATAGCAAGTTTTTTAGGCTCTGGAAGTTCAGAAAATTGTTTTTCAAGCTTATAAATATTTCTGTAGTACTGAGCAGTTTCTGACTCTATGTCCTCTGGATCAAATGAACCAATTCTTGAAGTGGTCCAATTGTTATGTTTACTAATAAATTCGGTTGCATTGTCATACAATCGTTTAAAAGGAGCTAGCTTGTCTGCAATCTATGGAATGATAGAATAAGTACTATAAATCTGTGAAAATTTATATTATTGCTTACTTGTTTGCGCTTTGGATAATAGGATTCATCCCAACCGAATGCTCTTTCTTCTTCATTAAACTTATCAACTATGGTTATAGCTTCAACAATTTTATTGTCCAAATCAGTGGCCATGCCCTGGTAAAAATTCAGTTTACTTATGTCACCAAATGTTTCAAATGATTCCACGTCGCTCATCCAAGCTTCCAAAGATTGAATGAAAGTTTTCATTCTTTCCTTTAAAATAAAGTTAGTGATCAGTCGTTATAAAAAATATTTATAAAATAATTTATAAAATTAAAATAAAACCTTCAGTTGATCCTGGAACTCTATTGATTTCTTTTCAATCAAAGATTTATTCTCTTCAAGAATTTCATTCATTTTAGTATACCATGTCAGTGTAAATGTGTTTTGTTTTGTTTCTTGAGGAGTTAATGGTGAGAAGTCAGACAGAAATAAAATATAAGCCATGACATCTCTCAATTTATCTTCCATATCAAAAAGAACCACATTTTCAATATTTCTACTGTACCCTTTCAATTCCATCAATTCAGCAGTGTCCTTTGGCACTGCCAACAGTTTATCAGATATGGACTTGTAATTTTCTCCAAGGCTAAAAATCATATTAATAATCAGCATAAAATTGGCATAAACTAATAATTTTTATTCGCTTACATTCTGCACATTTCTAAGTAATCGCTGACAAGCCGTTTTGTCAGTAAACTTTTCAAGTGCTGTGCAGATTTCATGAGTGTCTCTATTATGTCCTCCCTTCCCATGTGGTACAGCCCTGTACATACTACCACATCTAAATTTGTTGGAATTTCTTTGGTTAGATTGTCATATTTGACTACTTCTCTTTGATATCTTTCAAATGTGTGGTCTTCTTTCAAAAATTTGTTCACTTCTTCTAAAGCCTTAAAAGGAAACATAGAAAAATTGACAAATAAACTAAACTTTTAATACTAATTTACATTAGAAGGAATACAGAAATAACAATACATTTTATTTTACTTGGAACTTATTTAGCAAATAAACTGCATGTTTAAAGTTATGATTCTTTAAATTTGCTTTAAGATCCTTCCTATTTTAAGTTCATTACTATTATCTTACTAAAAATATTTTTATGACAAATATTGATAATCGTTTTACTGCTAAAATGTGGCTTATTTCCAATTTGATGTAAATGAAAAAAAATTAAAGTTTGAACAATCCTCATGATGACTATATGTTTGCTCATTTTACCTCAGAAAGAAAAATTATACAATATAATACAACAAATTTTGGAATGAAAGAATTTCCAATAAATTGCTCAAAAGAGTGACCGTGCTAGCAGGGTGGCCAACTTGTTAGACTTTTAGCTTATAGACCCCAAGGGTTTAATTCCCACCATCGCCCTTAGCCTTTTTTTTATCCTCAAATATCATATTGCTGCAATACACTGCTGTGGCAGCTAATATGCAAGTAAATAAAAAAAAGTAGTAATAATAATGCTCAAATTGCTGAACACACCAAAAATAAGTGAGAAATATTTTCAGCCTATAATCAGTTGCTGAAAAAAGTTTCTACTTTTGTTTGTCACTTATATTTATTTATATTAATGCCAGAGAAACTTCTGTTTGCAAACTATAATTAGTAATAACAACTTCGCAATAATAATTCTAAAAATATCTATTTTATTTGGCCACAGTTATCAGTTAATAATAAATAATAAAAATTTTCATTGCAGTATTTTGTTAATATCATATGGTAATAATAAGCAAATATAAAATCAGATTGTCATTTGTTACTAAGCATTCACTCTACCAATTCAATTCTCATTCAATGTCCTCAATTAATCAAAATTAAAAAAAAAATGTTGGCTTACATCACCATTGATCAGATTAATGTACTGATCAAAATCCTGGACTCTCAACTCTGGGCCAATTCTTTGCTCTTCAAGAAGGTCCGCTACCTTTTTCTTGTTTGCTTCGACGACTTCAGACAAAATTACTGGCTGCATATCAAGAAGAAGAACATTACCTAAGGGTATGTCTAATATCTCAAGATGGAAAAATATGAATTACACTAAGGTATTGGACATCATCATCAAGGTCCATATACAGGGTATGTTCCAATCTTGGTACATCCAGTATTGACTCTATCATTATGTCGTAAGCTTGAAGAATAAGCTCCTCAAAGCTGGGAAAAGGAGGGTCAAAAAGCAGGAGTTTATTTTTATGAATGAGTTTTATAGAAAATCCAGGATTAGTGCCCTAGAAAATCGTAAACAGCAATGTTATTTCAACATGTGTAGTAGATGATATGATTTACTTCTTACTCTGATATCGAAGATGAATTTTGTATAATCTGCAATTGACTCAAGACACAGAGACTGCAAGTTAAAAGTCATTATTGCATCCACAGAGTTATAGAAATGCACCATTGCTTTGGCATTTTTTGGATTTGGTAGAAGCCCTTTTTTCGCACCCTGGAAAAAGTAAGTCGGACAAAAGGTTTCATGAATAAACAAATTCATAAAGCAAATTTGTTTTTAATTATTTTACTTTAAGAAAAATTTCCTGAACTGCAGGTAGCCATTCTGTGTTTAAAATTTGTCTTGTAATTTTTATTTGCTCCTGTACTAAAATTCCAAAGGGCTTTAATTCAAACATTGATTTTCTGCCTACTAATGATTTTATGTCTATCATCCTCAGGTTGCTAAAATAATAGTTTAATTTGAAAAATACAGAACTATTTAATAACAATGAAGAAAAGTTTAGGTAGACTAAATTGTCATTGCAAATTATGAAACCTGTAAATTATGTTCAGAAAACACATTTCAACACTAATTTCTTATAAGTATATTAGACAGGTTGAAAGTATTCCAATATTACTCACCTAAAATGATCATTCCAAAGGCTCAAAATCTGAACCATCACTGGATTTACAGCATGTAGTCTTTTTAACAATTTGTTTCCTGCATCATAAAAGTTGAGCCGTAACTGAGATGGACTTACATCTTCAATTTGCAACTTTCGTTTGGCATAATCTCCTGGTAACATTCTATCTGCAGCATCTTGGAGGACAAAATCCACAATAGATTTTTTAACCGTATACATGTAATTTACCTTAAAAAAAAAGTTTAATCATACAGAAATTCCTAACTATTTATTTACTGACTTCCATCTCTCGAAACATGTTCATTAGAGTATCCACATTGGTTTTTAAATGAATCGGAATCAAATTAATAATCCTTTCAATCCATTCTAAATTTATTGGAGAAACATGTTTTGTGTCTAGTCCATATTTAATGTAGTAATGGTAACGGAGGAAGTCTTTATTCCCAGCCTCTGTGCAAGACCTGCTATCCTCATTTTCATTTTCTAATATCACCTCCACCAGCCTCTTCCGAAAGGATTCACGTTCCTTTCTCAGTTGTAGATAATAATTCTTTTTACTCTGGCAAACATTAAAAAAATGTCAGTTTTAAACTAGAGGTAGTAACTACTTTAATTTTAAAATAATTATTCAACTGGCATACCACACTTTTTCTGTCTGGTTTTGTATCCTTGTGCTTTTCAGTTTTTGAAGTAAAGTAATTCTTTTTATGCAGGTCTTTAGGATCTATAACCAGTTCTTTGGGCAATGAAAATAAATCCATGTCGATTTCAGGATAACATTTGGCAAATTTTCTTTTCTCCCTGGAAGGACCTGGTTTCTCATCAGTATGTGTTCGTTTAGACATCTTGGATCAGTTGGTAAATCTGTAATTTTTAAGTTATTACATAGGATTTTAGTCTTACATTAAAAGTTTAAAAACCATCTTTTAAAAGACATTTAGTAAAATAATTAGATTGAATGAAATAATCGTAACAGCATTTAAATCTCAAACTATATACTTCCAATACAATTGTACGCAAAAACTATTTGTCAGGCTTTAATGGAATACTTCCCCTTATCAGGATTTTGAATGAAATTATTTCTAATGATTTACTGGTTAACAAATATGAACATCTACAAAGGAACTGAGTGTTTTTCTTTCTTGATATTTTCCATATCGCTGATCTTATGTAGACAAATAAAACTGATATTAGTCACATAAAAATTTCAAATATATGCTACAATGTTGTTACATTTGAAAGTGACCAAATTTAAAAAAAAATTTTTTTTACAAAGAATCCTTTAAAAATTGTCTTTTCAAGTAAAAACTAAGTCCTGGATAGTAACATACTAGTACACTTGTATAGATTACAAGGGAGATGGCTACAATAGTCTTGTACATATATTACTTTTCTTCACTTACCTGTGTGAACCAATAAATCAACAGAAGTCTCTTTGATGTTTATATTGACAACAAGCAATCCCCTTTGTATTTTTAAAACATTTAACAATATATCACAACTATGTATAAAAAATCAAATATGATAAGTAATTGTAATAATAAATCAGTTGTAGAATACTCCATACATTGCCATATTGAAAAATTTACTTATACCATTAATAAATAATTCACTTTATGTTAAAATCTAAACAAGAAATCATTAATACAACAAATGTATTTTAAAGATATATTCCTTATGTACTGAGTAATAACACTTTTTGATTTTTTTTTAAACTTTTTATAACTGAGATAACACTTTTTTTTTTTTTAACAGGACATATTTTGTCTTTTTACAATAACTCTCTATTTTATACTAAATTCAATTTCAAAAACTTGTCTCAAGAAATTTATTTATATCAGTACTCCACCATCCTGAGGAAAGATGTAAATAAGAAATAATATATTTAAGTGCAAGAGTGTGACTGGGCTTGGATTTAGAAACTGATTGCATTGAGGGCTGAAAAGACTTAGCTGTTGTTAGTACCCCAGAGTGCAACCTTGGTGACTAGTTGGATAAGATCGAGTTCTTACCCAAGACTGCCAACACCCGGTTGGTGATTCTTGAGGCCTGCCAGTAGTTCATTGTAGTACAAAAGCAGAAATTGCTGGCGGACTGTGAGAAGTGGTAGGCTTAACTCTGTACATGTATGTGCAGATTTGTGCTTATATAAATCAGCAATCAACAATATAAATTTTTCATAAATAATTTAAACCCAAACTGACCAAAAGTCAACACAATCTTAAGTCTATAAATGTGGTTTTATAGATTTTCATAAAAATTAGTTACACTTGTTAATTTAACTTCTCATAAATTTCAAATGTTATCTAAAATTTATTTGCCTACCTTAGTAATAAATTTGTTTATAAAATTTTCCAGTCTGCCTGAAATGCTCAGAAAAAATGCAGTGACAACTGTTGTTTACAAAACTTGTTTATCTATTTGAATCTCCAGGCAGTGTTTAATCAATAATAGTAAATTCTTTTAGGATATCAATAAAATAAAAAGTTATATTACATAAGGAGGCATAAAAAGCAATTTATGAAAAAAAACTCATAAAATACATCTAGCAGTCTTGGGCAATTAATACTTCAAACTTCTAACAAACATCCCCAAAATGTTGAGAACGGCGCTTTGTTACGCTAAACCTGCATAACTGACTGTCATTGTGGGTTAAAACTTAGACAATTAAAAATCAACTCTAAAATGGTTGTTACTGATCATCATGGTCTGACTATCCTTGCTTGGTTGGACTGTCAGACACATTTCGGTATTTCACCCTCTTCTTTGTGTTTGTGTAATTTTTGTGAAGACAAGACTCTTTTTTATAAGACCGTGAGGCTTGGAGTGCGTATGTCGGCGTTATGTTATCTTTGTTGGTCCCTTCGGTGAATTAAGTCCAGTTTTTTATTGTTCCAAGTATTTGATCGTAGGTCCTTTTCCTTTTTAGTTGGCTTGTTGTTTTGAATGGTGTAATCAAGCATGTATGTTGTATGTGAACTGCTGTTCACTTGCGTGTTTGTGAGTTTTTCAGTGTTGTTTGTATATTTCCAAGTTTTCAAATATGTTCATTTTTCATTATGTAACTAGTTTTATGTCTTTATTACTGAAGGTTCATGTCTCATGATGGTTTTATGTGAGGTCTGAAGTAAGTCAAATTGTTTGATTTTCCATCATAGTCCATCGTAGGTCCTTTTCCTTTTTAGTTGGCTTGATGTTTTGAATGGTGTAATCAATGCATCGTATAATTTTATTGGTTTGTCTATTTTAGTGATTGAACTGTCAAATAAATATGTATACTGTATAAATTGCTCAAATACAGATGCATCACAATTTAAAATCAATTAATTCATGATACCCAACAGGTGTTTTAATGTTAGCCCTCCTGTTTGATAGAAATTATTTTACTTTAACTTTAATCTATTAAAATGCCTTGCTTAAAAGAAGTGTACGTGGGATTTCTTCCGTGAGGAGAGTCAAACCAATTGCATGATTTAAGTTTTAATTTTAAAAAAAGTGTTTTTAATTGCAAAATGTAGTGTATATTGTATTTTGGGCATCCTCCCATTTAAATCAATGACTGTCTAAATGAATTGAATGGAAAAAAAAAAAACTCGCATATCTTCTCTGGTTCATGGAAAAATATTGAATCATGTAAATTTTTTATGCTTTTATGCTTGTATTGGTAAATTGAGCAACATATCCACATAAAAAGTGTACAAAATTATTTCGAATTTGAAAAATTGTATTATGTTAATGTTATGTTTTTCACATAAAAAGTTAGTTTTATAATAAATAATAAAATAATTTCATCTTTTAGTAGTTTTTTTTATCTACACGCTCACATCCAATTTTAAGACATCTGTAATGTTGATGGTGGATGATCAGAAGGAACACATGTTGGATTGGCACTGGATGACTTACTAGATCTGTCTACATATATATAAGTACACATTTTGATGTAGCATATATGTACATACCCATTGGAGAGATCACAGAATCACTTACCTCAGGTTTGGGCAGTCTGTAGTCAGACCTTAGTCTTAACTGACAAATTTATGCTCTAGTGTTTTCATCATCATTTCAGCCCCCAACGCATGTAATTTTTAAATCTAGACACTCTCATTCATATACACTCAAATTGGGTAGTGAAGTACACAACAGCTCTCTATCACAGTTTACACATATTGTACAACTAAATTGAGAGTTAATGGGATACTCAATATTCCACTATCAGCCTTTCACTCAACACATTTATGTTAATAAATACATTCACTCTCAATATACACAAAAACCAACACAAAACGAGATCTGTTGTTAAAATTTTCCACTAGTTTTGATTTTGTTTTGAAAGGTTACGATGACTAGGCCTTAAATAGAGTGTACAATAGTTTCTGTTTATTAACATGAAATATTGAACAAAATAAGAGAAAAATGCAACTATTCTAAAAAAAATCTATTTTATTAAATGTACATCTATTTTCTGAGCTGTCTCTATGTACTACCATCTTTTTAGGCCCATAACTTGCAATCTTTAGTAGCTTGCATTGGTAATATCGACTAATTCTAGGGCTAAGTGATTTCCTTTTATGTACTTTATGCCATAGGAAGATGTAAAAATCCTGAAATTTATGGCAATTAAATAGTTAATAGAGTACCAAAAGCAAAAATGGATATAAATATTTTGTGAAATCAAGTACCACCTTATAATCAATCATTGTAGACTGAGAAGACTTGCAGTGCCTCGTTTAACCCAAAATTCACTTGGCTCAGATCCACATTTAAGGTCTATTGTAACAACATAAGATTCTTGGTGCTGGGAACCTGATCTTATTGGATAGTAATATACTGGACATTCATAAAGTCCTAAAAAAAAATTTCCATTAAAATAAATCACCAATTAAAATATAATTAAAATGTACAAATATTACCTTTAGGTTTTCTTTTTAATTGCTCACAAGGTTTAAATAATATAACTGGTAATGGACAAACTAATTCCATTATAACAGGTTCTATTAAACAGCAGTCTTTTTTATTCCAACTTCCTCCTTCCAAAAACATCCCTCTTACATAAACACCATCCTGAAAATAATGTAAATAAATAAAAAGGTTTAAAAATTGTAAAATTTTATATTGTAAACTTACTTCAGGAGGGAACAATATTTCTTCCTCGTATGACTTTTGAGGGACAAATTCGAATGTGAGGGTGTCAACAGACTTTGACTCTTTTCTGGCAGTTGTCTAAAATTTAAACAATAAAATTGCTTTTAAAATGTAATATAAAGGAAATAACTGTAATTACTTGTAGAACGGCAGTTAAAAATCCGGTAGGGTGGATAAATGCAGAAAGCCAAAATAGTACTGGCTGTCGCAGCGTTGAAGCCCATTTGGCAAAATGTTCAACTCTTAGTGTCAAATCACGAGACCAAGCACCGAGTTGAAATAAAGATGGATATGCTGAAATTATTATTCTCAAAATCACACACACTTTGTTAACTAAAAAGAAAAAGGTGTTGTACCTTTTAGCCAACTTCTAGGTACTCTTCCCTCATAAATACAGACAAAAATCTCTTCTAAATCCATTGACATTACTATAAATCCTTTAATTGCTTTTTGAAGCTTGTCAAGAGAAATCTTAATGTCCTCTAATAATATATTATATCGCTGGATCTAAAAAAAAAATAAATAAATAAATAAATAAATAAATAAATAAATAAAATAAATAAATAAATAAGAAACAGACAGATTTATAGTGAAAGTGTTTACCTCTTGCAGTAGAACTATGCTCAAAGCTGATTTATTGTGTCCAAGATTTTGGAAAGTTAATTCATAATTGATGAACGAAGGCAGTTTTGTTAATACATCATTAACTAATGCTAGGACCTTAAAACAATAATATAATTTTAATTAAATTCAAATATAAAAAAAAAACTGTTTCAAAATATAATACTCACTCTTTCCTCTTTGGCTGAATCCTCTGCAGAATCTTGTACTTGAAGTGTCATAAGTGTAGAACAAAATGAACGTGATTCAATTATTAAAGATGTTATATCAGCATTTGGGTGTTGACCGAACAACTCTGGTTTATCAAGAGCAGGCAGAGTGTTAACAAATTCTCGATAATTCCCTAGTGTAGTATCCAACGGGATCACGTAATGGGCCACAGGAGACAGCCTGAAATTTGAAACGAAAAAATATTTTTTGCCAATTTACAAACATACATGGAGAATTCAACATGCCTGTAGCTGTCTTCATTAATGACATCATCATTAAAATATGAGTTGATGTACGTTAAAAGAAGCCGTCTATCCCATTCATCAGTTACATGTCCTCCGTAACAAACTCCAGCGATCAAGTATTTCAATGCATCCCATGGAGTTTCTTCATATTCATCAAGATAAATAGCCAAAAGGTTGTGTGAAACCTGAATTTGATTTTTAACAGTCAATTTAATAAAATTAGCTATTAATAATTTAATGATACAATTGAAACGTAAATACCTCGAAGTCAGAGTCATTAAAACTGTAAATAACATTCCAGCCTAGCTGTCCAAATTTCTTTCTTTCTAATATGATTGCATGGAAGAAAACAAGAGCAAATAGAAGTCTTTTAAACTTTGACTGGCTTTTACATGCACTAAACTGAGCATCAGTTATAAGATTGTACAGCCTTTTCATATTTGCTTTTACACCCTGGAATTCAAGATAAAGTATATTTTTAGATGTACAAATCAAACCTATTAGTAAAAAAACAAAAACAAATAATTTTTACTTTTGGAGGTTCTGTTGTCATTTTTAAAGATGATTGCAAAATTGACAGTGGGAAATCTGGATGCGGGCTTGAACTAAGCCATAGCCTAAAAAAATATCAAAAATTATGAGAATTCATCATTATAAAGTATAGTTTCTCACCTAAAGTCTTTATGAGGATCTGAGTTTTGTAATTGTTCAACTAATTTATCCAAAGCAGGCATCCATGAAAGTGATAGATGACAATTGGCTAAAAACACCCAAAATCCTAGCCTGATTCCTTCTTCAATTAATCTAAGAAAAGTACAAATAAATAATATAAATAAATAATTAAAATGCACTATAAAAATTTATGAGCATACTTTGTGGCTACTGGGGCCTGTCCTTGACCGAGAGAAAGAGTGTGAAATTTTTTTGTCATTTTACATTTTTCCGCCAATGCTGTTAAAGAGCTTGAAGGATCAACACCAGGGGACAAAACAAAAATCAAAGGAGTCTTGGAGTGTGAATCCTCTAGGACTTGGTTTATATCAAGCACTGGTGGTTCGACATAAGGTGGACCCAAAGTCATCTGGATAAAATTTATAATGCTGAATGAAAGCCTGTCAGCTCTTATACTTCTGACAAGTAGAAGTTTCTGGAAGTCGGAAATTGTGTCATTCCATTCACCTGTAATGATTAAAAGACAATATATTCAGATATTTGATCTAAATGTTTATTAGACAGGATGAAAAAAAGTCCTATTGCTGCTTAAAAAGTTTTAAACTTGAGAACTAATTTCATCCAGTCTCCTGTTGGTATCCTATTATGAAATTAATTCAATACCAATTAAATTTTTGTTCTCTGGCTCAGCTGAAAAGAACCAAACTCTCCAATCTCTTGAATACTGTTCAAACGATTTAACTATTCCATGAAAACCACTAATTTTGTCTAATTCTGATATGTTATCCCAGTTTTCGCTAGGTAGCCAATCTAAAAGTAATGAAAGATTAGCAATGAATTGTTTTAACAACATATTTAAACATTTATCACCATCGCAGGGGTTTGATATTTGAGCATCACGATTGAGAACTACACCTCCTTGTAGAAGGAATTTAAAGTGTTCTTTCTTCAATTTTCCTTGTTCGTCCAAAATTTTGGAACATATTAAAAAGGAGAACATTAATTTGTGCCTTTCAAATAATCCACGACATGTATTCCTTTAAAAAAAAAAAATATTAATTAAATACAAATCATTATTTTTATTGGCAACTTACTTATAAATGAAGTATGTATGATAATCATTCAAATATTTAATACGCTCCACTATATCCTCTGAATGTTTACTTTTCTCTATTGCTGTTACAAACATGTTATTGTATGCTTCCAAAGAAAACTGGTACATTGGATCAATTAATGATAAATCCTTAAGGATAAAAAACAACAAGGCTGCCCTTCTTGCACAGGGACTGTAATTCTACAAATTTTAAAAATTGAGATTTTGAGCTATAAAATTAATCAAAAACAACATAATTCTAATGTATAAGAGCATTCTGGTATTTAAAATTACACTTTTATGCACTAACATTTCTTGCAGCATCAATTGCAGCTTCAGTAGTTAAAGATGTTTTCAAATGTTCATTAATCATAATTGAAGTTTGTTTTGATGATTCCAATGTTTCATACAGCTCATCATCATCTAATATTGAGCCTTTTGCTTCCATAAGCAACCTTTTATTTAAATTGTTATTATAATTTTTTAAAATAATCAGTATCCAACTAGAATAATACCTCAATAATTCATCTTCTAGTTCAATTAGCATCCTTCGTCCTGCAGCTACTTCTGCAGCCATTGCCTCCTTATCTTCTTCAAGTTTAGGCTTTTCCTTTCTAACGACTATACCGAGAAGCTGAGCTTGAAGACCTGCACACAAAAACACTTGGTATGCAAAAGAAAATTGGAGAAGTAAAATTAATTTGGCAAAATGTAGTACAAGTTTACAAACAAGAAAGCAAATGAAATTAATTATTCACTAGTTTGAAATATAACTTAACAATTGAGTTAATTTCAGACTTTTAACCATTGTTATTCAATTTTTTACTTTTATTTTACAATCCTAAGGTTCAAATAAAATGGAAAAAAATTAAAAGCATATCTCATAACTAATATTTATGATAAACAAAAAAGTAAAACTCATTAAATTGCTAACAAATTAGTACACAAAAAAATTGAAAAATGTATTTTGCTTTACCTTCTGTTTTAATCGCAAAATTCACTACTGTCGTTTTAGTACAAATCTCAGGAGGATAATGTGGATTGTTCAATTTTGTGGTGATAAACAATCGGAAATCGTGGTTGTAATCAATTAATTTATCACCAACTTTAAAGAAAAAGTGCTCCTCTGCAAGCAAATAGATTAAAACAGCATTTAAATAGTCCCATCATAATCCCAATGTTTTACCTTTCTGTACAATTATTTTGTGCATTTGGGGGATAACGTTTGGATCAATGAACTCTTGTGCATTTTGAATCAACACAGGTGATCCATATTTCATGGCAGTTTCTAAAATTTTTAAATACATTGGTGCTCCAAAGTCGACAATTTTTAATCCCTATAACAAAGTTTTATAAATAACCAAAGATAAACTTTTTACATGGTAGAAAATCATTCATACATTCTGTGCTTCCATATTTTTTATCCATTTCCAAGCTTGAGACTGTGGGTCTATGACAAGAGGCCACTTATTACAACTCGTGATAATTAATCCATTTTCAGAGCTAAAGTTATCTGATGGCAAGCCTTGTTTGTTCCACTGATGTATTGTAGGCTCGTTTCCAATGAACGATGTAAGTTTAAAATCAGGTGAACATGGCAATTCTTCTTCATTTATCTATTACAGCAATTTTTTTAAAAACATTACCTAAATTAATTTAAAAATGTAAAATCAAACCTCATTAATCCATAAATCCAAGAGTTTTTCTCTATAAAAAGATAGGAAAGGTCCCATGTATGAGACAAAAGCCGTTGCGAGTAAGCAATCTCCAGGCAAGAAATTAAATTTTATATCCAAAGTTATTACACTTGATTCCCACCTACCACGTTCACCAGCAAGACCGTCAACAAGTCCTGCTGCTCTTTCTAGTTTTTTTCTAAGTTCTTCAGCCTAAAAGGAATATAATTAATTTTAAAATAGCTTTAAAATGATTTGTATAATGATGTGGTTATTGTTTTAACCTCTTTAATCAAATCTTCTTTTTCATTCACTTTATCTTGGTATTCATTTTGCAGTTTGTCTAAAAGTTCATTTAGCTGTTCCATTTTTTCCCTTGCATCAGCTAAATTTTTTTGTTTGTCTTTAAGATTAGCAGTGGCATCTTCCAATTTTGCCTTTTTGGGTGCCACAACTCTAAAAAATTAAAATGAAATAATGCAATTTGTAACATTACTGTGGTATTGTAATAATCAAAGTTTATATTGTAATAGTCAATGTTCCTTGGATTTTAAACTTTTATACATCTACTTTCCATATTTTTAACCTAAGATGTTTGTAACAAAATAACCTGAATATTTTCCATATTGTTCAATGGCTTTTACCCATTTAGCATGAAATACTGCAACTTGTAATACTACTGCAGTATTATAATATTTTTAATCAAAGTGCAATAAAATATATTACCTGTATATTTTTCCATATTGCTCAATGGCTTTTACCCATTTAGCAAGGGATTCGGCAGCAAATGACACTTGCCCAACTTTCTCAGGGACAAATTCTTCATTATTTGTATATGTCCCGATTTTTCTCAGAACTTTTTCAGGTATGTGATCTTTATCAAAATCTCTGAGCTGTAAGTGAATATTTTTGGAAATTAAAAAGAGTAAGGTGTAAAAGAGGAAAATATAAAAAAAAAATCCTGTATTGATTTAATTTCTAACATTCATCAAATCATTATGAACTTAATATTTATAAATAATTAAGGTTTTTAGTTGAGATGAAAAAAATGGCACGAGAGGGATTCGAACCCACGACCTTCGGCTTGATACGCCGCTGCTCTACCACCTGAGTTATTGTGACCTCGATCCACTTGGACATCAATTCCCCATCTCAACCCCACATGAGTGAAAAATGGCAAAAGGAGGGAAAACTCATAAGGTGGGGTTGAGATGGGGAGTTGATGTCCGAGTGGATCGAGGTCACGATAGCTCAGGTGGTAGAGCAGCGGCGTATCNAAAACATTACAATTAATTAAGGTTTTTAGTTGAGATGAAAGTGAGTGGATCGAGGTCACGATAGCTCAGGTGGTAGAGCAGCGGCGTATCAAGCCGAAGGTCGTGGGTTCGAATCCCTCTCGTGCTATTAACTTTTTTTCATCTCAACAAAAAACCTTAATTAATTGTAAAGTATTAATTGATCAAGCGGACCACGAAATTAGTGAACTTAATATTTATGCTGCTACTCCTTACTTAAGAAATCACTGCAGTTGAAAACAAACATTAATTTAAAATATAATCCCCACATATTTCTAAAATTACCTGATTTAGAAAATTGACATCTCCCAGTTGTCTTTTTGCTTCTGTCCAAGTGGGTTCAGCACCTTTAAGAATCATGACTGCTTCCAGTACCATTTCCACTTTTGCAGGAGGTTTGCCATAAGATCTCACCTCAGCAATATCTCTTTTATTTAAAGCATCAAGAGCCTGGAAAAGCCATTATATGTTATTCATACTCTTTTTGAAATATCTACATCCAATCAGACCTTCATGGCTTCTTCTAAAGCAGGCAATGCTTCATTGAGATCAGCCAAAGCAACTTCAGCAAGCTGCTTACAGTGAACCTCTTCTTCAGCTATTTTTATGCTACGCGCTGTTACTGATTTTTGTGCTTCATCAGCCTCTTTCTTTTGGCTTAAAATCATAACTAGATAGTCATCGCATTCTTTGCTCGTTTGATTTACTATAATCATAAATTGTTTTTTTATATAAGACAACTATTGTTTCTAATTGTGTAGTGCACCTTTTTCATTTTTCTCTTCTAGTTCAACCTCAAGCTCTTGAACTTTGACACGAGTATCATCTAATTTAGACAAGCCATTTCTAAGCTTGTTTGCTTGCAATGATATATCTTCCCTTTTTTGTGACAGCATTCTTTAAAAATAAACATATTTTTTTCTGTCTTTCCTTATTTTCAATACATTTAAGGATAGATTTATGGTTATTGTTTTTGTTTACTTACTTTTTATAACCAGCTACAAATTCTAAATAATTGTTTGGTGTAACATAATTATGCCTCTTCATTTCAGAAAGCATTTGTCTTGAAACATCTAACACAGACATGTGAATAGTAGCAAAAACTGAAGAAATAGAATGTCTAAGTTGTTCCTAAAGAACCACAAAAGTTATGAATTATACTCATGAACTATTTAACTTTATTATTTAGTAGTTATATAAAAAATACTTGTGTGGGTTTTGGCTTTCCACCAGGATCTGGCACTTCAGTCTACAATTGAATGGATTGGAACATAAATGATCAAATTTTGCTTCAAAAACAGAATAAAATGAATTAACCCACCTGTGGTTGTATCCCTGAAATTGTCTCAGAAAAGTTTATTCCTGTAAGAGAGCGGTATGCGACTTCCAATAATGCAACTTTTGGCCAATCAAACAGCCACATTATCGTGGTGCAGCTCACAAAAGACGGAAACTGCCTCAAGCGAGTCCTATAACAAAATATAGTATGAGACCATTTTTTTTAAGCATATATAACAAATACCTAAATTTTTCTCCAACTGGGCTCATACAAATCAACAGATGGAGGTTAGTCTTGGCATGATCAAGTAACAACTCATAAATTCCTTCTGATGAAGGAATAATATTACGCCTCTTAGCTTCATCTGCCAGTGTTATTTTGATCTTACAGATAAATAAAACATTAAAATAAATTTAAAAATGTACACTCTAAATTTATTTTACAAAAAACTTACTTCATCAAGTTCTTCAGGCTTGTACAAATTAGTAACTTCACCTGTGCTTAATATGTTATTAACAATTACCAAGATAGAATCATCGTAAACCTTAAAATGAAAACATGATTTCAAGTTTGAAGTGATTTTAATATTTGTACTGATTTTACATTGGAATGATAATTTAAATATTTACCTGGCCATCATTAAATGTGAATGCAGTAGGAATATCTTTGACACCAGTCATATAATAGAGCCTTTTTAAATCTTCTTTAAATTCCCCAACTCCATATTTTTTCGATAGTACAATTTTAAAGTTGTTAAAATTGCAAAGGAATGAAGCCACTTTGCAAAACGTAGCTCTTCCAGCTCCTCCTGTTACCAAAAATATGTTGGAACCACAATATGATACAAATTTGAATTTTGTTAAAATAATTAAATTGACCTATTCCGATTAGTAATGCATGTCCTCTTGGCTGAGATATAATGCGACATAAACTGCATATATTTTCTATAGCTTCTCTATAAAACACCATATCCAGTTTGACTGAGCCTTGCGTTTGATTATACTCATCAACTTGATTTATTAGAAATTCTTTTAATTTGTTTACATCGTGTACCATCTCATAATATCCATAAGTATTCAGAAAATCGCCTGACATTAATTTTTAATTAATATTGATATTGCAATAATTGCTTACATGATTTGTTAAAATTATGTTGTTTTTATAAAAATGATATTTACAAAATATTGGTACAGCCTTATCATGGCATAAATGGTGGAATAAGGTCTCAAAATATTGTCCTAATACTACATTTATTTCATCTAAAAACCAATTTCTGTCCCTGCAAAAAGGGAATGAAAATTCAAAAATTTGTGTTATATGCAGGAAATCCTTTTGATATTTTACATTTCATCTACTAGTCTGTCTGAGAAAACCCTAAAAGATTCATGAACCCATAGACGTAAGATATCTTCTTTAGTAGGTTGTACATCTTTGTTACTTCTTAACAAACCTTGGAAAACCTGAAATATTAAGAATAATTAACATAATTGTCATTATAAGCTGTTTTTGCTTTTAATTTGACAATTATTTCCTTACTTTTGATATATCTCGCAAATTAAACAAATAATGAATTTTAGTTGGTGTAGGAAGCATTTTTTTAACAACATTCTTGAACAGAGCTATCGTCATATGGGTAATGTCTTCACCTGTAAATTTAAAACATAAATGTTATTGTAATAGTGTTAATTCGTTACTTCTGTCCAAAATATATTACGTGCTGCTATAATAGATTTATCGGGGAAATGTTGGAGATGACTTCCCAACATTGTACCATATATTCTTTCAATTTCTTCATCAGTGGGGAAAGTCATATTAACAATGGAGAATTTTGAAATTAATCTTTTACTTATAGAGTTTCTTCCTCCACCAGGAGGTCCCATAGCAGCCATCAGGGTCATGTCCTTAAAAAAAAATATATATATATATATTTAAACCAAATTATCTAAAAGAATATAAAAAATAAAACCTTGATGATTGTAACAAGTTGTGTTTTACGATTGTACCAAAATCCATAGTCTAACCATTGTCTTATTAGCTCTAGAGGTGGTTGTGCACCAAATACCTCTTTTGCTGGCAAATTGAAATCATCCATGAAAGTAATCATCAATTTACCTTAAAAAATGAATGTAAATCTTAAAATTTATTTGGTTGTTTAAATAAATCTTTAATTCTGATTACCTCCAATTGGTACATGTATAGTCTTTGTGCGCTTTTCAAATTTACTCTCAACTGTTTCTTGTACAGTGTTTGATGAAGACTGAAAAATAATTGTTTAATATTTTTTTATACATTACATAAATGAAAATTATTAAGAGCACCTGAGCAGAAAGATTAATAGTAAGTATGGAATAAGTTTTTCTATCAAAGTTATCCAAGACAGATAAGGCAGTGGATGTCTTGCCAGTACCAACAACCCCTAGTATCAAAACTGGATGGCCAGCAGTCAATAGCGCTGAAGTCAAATAATTGTACCGAATGGTATCAACACATGGAACTGTTATTTTGAAAAATGGTACCCTAAAACAAATATGTATATATTTTTTTACAGTAATTTAAATTAAATGGTTTGTACTATAAGTTTAAAAATAATTGTTTGTACTCTGGATCTAAATCCCATTGTTCTGGTAATAAATCTTCCCATAATTGCATGGATCGATATTCTGGATTCACAAAGTATTCATATATTGTGTCTTTTATTGGAAATATTCCTTCCATTTCTCTAAAGAAAACATCCATTTTTTGTCTACCTGCTTCATTGACTGTAGCACCCACAGACCAAGTCAAGCTGAAAGAAAATAAAAATACACTTCTGTCTTCACCTATGATTTCTTTAAGGCAAAAATGTACAAACCAGAATAGAAACCAGACTTTGGTCCCATATCTGAGAGTTTCATAATCTTTCTTTGTTTTATCCCAGCATTTGTCGAGCGGTGCAAGTATTTCTAAAAGTTTACAAAGAGTCGCTACTGAACAAATATCAGGAATGGGTACTGTTTCTGTACAATGAGTTCTCTTAAATTTTATTAAAGTATTAACATAGCGGTCAAAATGCATCTTCATCTATTTGATAATTTTAAACAATCATATTAATTAATCAAATTAAAAATTGCAATGCTGAGAAATTTGCAAGCTTACAAAATTTCTATACTGTTGATTTGGTTGGTTTTGCAGCCAAGATTCAACAAAAGGTTCCCAAGAAAAGTCTTTACTGTCATTGAAGACCATGCCACATCTTGAAACAGTTGCAGGTGATGCAACTGCAAGGTCTTCCACTTCAAACAATAATGATACCTAATAAAACCAATAAATTAATATTAAAATCGGAAAACATGTAATATAATATTTACTTGTGGAGGCATAGTGATTCGATCACTGTTTATAAGTGTCAAGACTTTGTTATCATCCATCACACTGTTCATATTTTCAATCCAAACTGCATCAACAGGGCCGTCAAATAGTACCCACTTTAAATCCGGTGTCTCCTCTGAAAAAAAAAAAAATGTTAACAAAATATTTAAAACTTAAAACTAAATACTCTATACCAGCACAAACTCCTCTCATTATATTTGACAAAACACCATCTGCCCATTCATTTGTTGCTAAATTAAATTCTCCATACAATTCTGCAAGACTGAGAGCTTTGGGGTTGATTACATACTCCTGAAAAATAAATAAATCTAGTCAGTCAAATGTGCAACACTGAAAAAATTCTTTTTGTACGCATACCCTGGCCATCTCAAAGCCAGGCACATTTTTCTTCTTAAGTAAACACATGCTGTCCCTAAGTGTTTTCCAAACTGTTGATTTTGCAGCACCAGCTGCACCAACAATCATTACGGAATGCCGGGATTCTTTTGTTTCATAAAGTTGGATGATTTTATTTAAAAATACATCTGGCATCTTAAAATTCATACAGTATTAGCATAAAAAGTAGTTTTAAAATGACAAAACTTTTGAATTAGAACTAACTTGTTAAGTTACTAATATTTATAAAGTAAGCATTTGCATTAATGTTTAAATAAATAAATGAATAACTCTTGGTTTCTTTTATTTTCTGGTTCCTTCTATCCATCCATGGTCATTAGTGGTATTTTATTTTATTTACGTTTTTTAATTAAAATAAATTTCAGGCTAATTCCAATAGGTAAGCCTTCTTCAGCTGAGAGAAGATATTGGAATTAGCTTGAAATTAATTCATTTTAATCAAAGAAAAAATACTAATAAAATACAACCAATCTCCACAAATAAATTATTAACATTTACAAATATAATCACCAATTAAGCGTACATAAGTAATAAAGCATTTAAAATGAATAAACATTTTAAACATCGTCATACCTGTTTGTTTTGTGCCTGACATATCTCTTTAATTGCTGCTTGAAGTTGCTCATATTCTATTACTGGCAGACGGACTGAAGGAAATAAGTCATTTGTAATAGCAGTGAAAAGTGGTAGATCGTCAGATGTAAGTTTAGCTACATTCATGTCTTTCATTGCCAATAACACAATCTATAATAGGGAAGATGTTGAATGAACAATGCATTCGATTATAATAATGAAATAATGATAATAAACCTCTTCATCAGGAAACTCTGGATACTCTCTTCGTTTCCTGCCTGCATACCTTAGCAAAGTGACCATTCCTCTTAGACCAAAATCATAGTGATCCTGTTTACTGAGTTGCCGTTTGGTCAGATTGAAAAGAGTATCAACCTAGAGTGAAACAATGCAAAATTTATATGTATTAAAACAAAATTCTTTATTGCTTAAATACCTTTTTTGCCAAATGTCTCGTATCCTTAAAACCTTCACCAAAAAGAGTAATTTCAGCTATCAACATACTATCTGGCACCATCATAGATATGGGGCGAAACATCGATTTCAAATTATCTGGGAGTTCTGTACGCCCAGCATATCCTGAAGAAAAAAGTAAATAAATAGTGGTGGTGTGGTGGAATAGAACTTCAATGTGTAGCTATGTAAAAAATAAATTCTTTTTCATTTTATTTTTCCAAATTTAAATATTTTGTCAAATTAATTTTATTATTATGTAGTCTTATTCTTGACAAGCATGACCCAATTTTTCAATTTTAAAATTTAAATTATGGTGAATATGCCCATTAATTTATAATTACACGAACATACAAATTTGTTACACTTTTTAATAGAATTTTGATTCTTAGAATGTGAAAACAGGAATTTGTAATGCGTTTTTAAGAAATAATCAATGTAAAGTTACAAAAATCATATAGAAAATTTAATCATTTTAAGTTTAAAAAACCTCTTACCAGGATTCATGGTAACAAAAATACCACAGGTGGACACTAAATTTATGACAGCCCCTTCGAATGAAAAATGTTTTTTCTTATATGATAGGGCAACCAAAATTGACCATATTTGTTGAGCAACAACAGACAATACTTCAACATTAATCCTGTTAAACTCATCAAAGCAACCCCAAGCTCCTGTTTGGGCAAATCCTGGTACAAAAAAAATAAAATTTAAATTAAACAATGTTGGTTTGTACTATCTACTATCAAATTACCAGAAAACATTTTTCCCATAGTTTTAAAGTCGAGACCTTCTGAGCAGTTGATAACAATTACATAATATGCCAGCGCTTTTCCTAAATCTTTTACAGTTTCAGTTTTTCCAGTCCCAGCAGGGCCTTTAGGACTTCCTCCACGATATAAATGCAAAGCAGTGGTCAAAGTAATATAACAACTGAAATATATTTAATCAAACTTTAGTAAAATTCAAAAATTGAATAAAATAAAACATTCTTACCGGTCAGTAAGGGGTGTAATTACAAGCCTTCCAGAATTTCCCAAATATTCATAGCCATACACAAAATGTGTATTTGTCTGCTTAACAATACAATCATCTACATCTTTATCCCAATAAAATCTCAGTTGAGAAAGCCATTCAAATGATGTCATATCCATGCAGTCTGAAGACAAATTATTATTAATAATTTTACATTGGTTACAGTTAATTGAAAAAATTACCATTTTTATATAGTTTGTCAATAACGTCTCTTGCATGTATCTCAATGGTAACAAGTGCAACGATCTTCAAACGTTGTACCTTAGGTAAATTTGTTCTGATGGCTTCAGAAAACTTAGACAGTATATGACTCTTAAAACAATCTCAATTTTAGTACATAAATCTAATAATACTTATACAAAAAGCCTTCCCACCTGTCGCTTTTTCACTCTTTTAAGTGGAAGAGTTTTTGACAATATTTTGCAATGCATCAGAGCTCTAGTTGTGTCAATTGTCCAACGTATCTACATTAACATTAAAACAATAACTTTATCGATAAGTAATTTTTAAATTTAAAATTATAAATGTAATTAAGTGTGTATATAATTTTACATACACTTTTTTTTTTGTCAATAAAATTATTAGTAATTCAGATATCGTGAGATGCGGTCGGGTGTGATGCAGGTTTCAGAAAAACATTTACTTTATTGTGCCAACGTTTTGATCTTTTATTGAGATCATTTTCAAGAGTCAACTCTCAACACGACACACAAGGATGGCACAATTACACAGAAGACAAACACTTTGAGCCCTGAAAATGATCTCAATAAAAGATCGAAACGTTGGCACGATAAAGTAAATGTTTTTCTGAAACCTGCATCACACCCGACCGCATCTCACGATATCTGAATTACTATCGATTAACAGTCACTAATCTCTACACAAAATTATTAGTTTTAAATTATAATGTACTTAGTGAAATAAAATTGCCTGGGTTGTGAAAATATGTTAGCATTTTAAAATAAATATTTAGCTAAATGGTATAGTATATATAGTGCACTTTATAATAATTTTACACTTTACACGGTTAATAATTATAAATATGCATGGAGAATTGTAAAGGTAAATAAAAATACCTGAGATGCAGTAATGCATAATTGCCCTGGGTTCTCTTTTAACCATTTATCTCTTTTTGCAAGATTCTTCATTAAGGCTTGTCTTACAATTTTCAATTGATCTCTTAAAGTCGTGCGCATGATACTTTCTAAAAATTAAAAAAAAAAAAAAAAAAAAAAAAGTTATTTAAGGTTCACAAAAGCAGAATTTTTTTCTGAAAAATTACCAATGTTGTTCAGCCAAATTTCAACTGGGCCTTCCAAATGCAAGACTTTATTCCAAGGTATGTACTCTCCCTCAGCTGAGTACATCCCAGAAGCTTCCATTCTAGTGTAAATATTCTTTAAAAAAATGAGAAAAAAATTAAAAATGTACTTGCACTTCACAAGTAAATATAATATTTTGAACTTACATGTTTTTCCATGCTAACTTTAACGATGTTATCAAACAATTTTTTTAAATGCGGTTGTATAAGTTCTGGTTTCTTAGAGTTTCCAAGGATCTCCAACAAATCGTCATTTGATATGAAATAAAATCTTGGGAAGACATGACGTTTTGTTTCCAAGTATTTTTCTAAAGCTCTTTGTATGTGCTCTAACCCATTAATAAGCTTCGATAATTTCTTAAGTAATCCTTACAAATGTAAAGTTCATTAATACATATTACACTTTTTATATTGTCATCAGTGAATAATTCGTTAAAATTTTCACCTGGATAATGAGTAGCCATAAAAGCATATTTGTCATCGTACATGTGCTTAGTTATTCCTTTCCAGTCAAAGGTAATTCTATCAAATAAGTCAGATTCTTTTGGTAGTTGTTTTCTTATATCTTCTCCCGAGAAGATGTTCTACATAATTTTTAATTTTAGTATTGAAAATTAAAACATTTTAGAATTACATTAGTTTTTGAAAAAAAAAAAAAAAAATCAACAAACTTCTAAATAAAGATATTCTTTTTGAACAATGAGCATTGTCTCTAAAACCTCTTGGACAAGTGTCAAATTTTTTTCCCAGTATTCTACCTCCTCTAAGTATGGTCTCACATATCTATATTAAATTATTATTATTATTATTTTGCATTTATAATTTTGTAGATATATAACTGATAAATGTATTGACCTTGTCCCTTTCATTCCACTGAGAGCAGTCTGATGTTCATCAAGTGTTGCAAAGACATTATCAACGCCTCTCAATCTGTAGATTCCTTTGTCTTTGAACGGCAGAAAGTCAAGTTCAATTGTTTTCCAGGCGTTTTCTATGCCTTTCAATGTCTAAACATACCAAAACACATTAGCATACATAATAAATAATAGTAACAAAAGTTACAATACAAACATTGCCAATATTAGCTTCCATAGATGCAGAACTTGATATTTCGCTAATTGCTTCTGCAAAATTTTGCATATTTAGTTCAATTACAAGTTCTAATGTAAAGTTTTCGTCTGTCTCATCAAAATCCCTAAAAACATTTTTTTAAAAGCTTAATTTTAAATTATTTTAGCTGTGTGGTGTATCACAAAAGATACACATACCGTCCTATTAATTCTTTGATATCATTCCAGTGCCTAGGAAGTAAAGCTGGGTTTTTCAGATCATTAATTAAGGGTAAAACTTTTTTTATTGTTTCAATTTTCTGTTTTGTATTGTCAATTATAGTCCATCCTTTTCCTTTATGCTCTTTGAAAAAGTCATTAAACTTCCTGAGCAAAGTATTTGCTGTTAAATCCATTTCAGTAGGGTTAATACTCCAAAACAAATCTTGTTTAAAGTGGTTCCAAGCTTTATTCCACTGATCAACACAAGTCCAAATATTCATTAAGGTATTGAGTTCCTGAAATATGAACCAAAATTATATTTTTATGAGAACAAAATTATTACATAATAATAATAATAATAATACATTATTCAATATTGGCAATGAAGGGGATGGTGTGAATGCTATATTGAACAACCCCAACTTCATTTTGACTTCTTCTTCTTGCTTTTTCTGAATGTTATACTCATTCCTGTAATCTTTCAAACAGGCAAATGCATCTGTGAATAAGACAAACGAATTAAATGGATGCATTTAAGACAACACAGCATAACAAGCTTAATCAAACTTTAACGTATACTTTTAGTTGTCCAATCATCAGTAAATGGTCCATTGGCCATAAATTTGGCAAGTAAATTGCTATTTTCAGTTTTAAAATCTGCAGCGTTTTCAATAATTTCACCTTTAAATTTATCCTTAAAAAAAAAGGATATTATTTAAATGCTTTACTCAAATAAGAAATTTTAACTGTTGAGCAATGGAAATACAACTATTAAACATTACCTGTGCTGAATCAAGCATTTCATGTGTTTTATTTAAGACAAGTAAGTAGTTGGCCCATAGAGATGCAAGGCCATACTGTCGTTCAAGCAATTTCATGGGAACATCATCCTTGAACCATACTGTAAAATGTTGTTTAATTTTCCACTTTATTACAACACACTAATAAAATGATGTTTCAACTTACGCAGCATGCTTAACTGTTCTTGAATGAGGGGAAACAGTTTTTCTTTTTCTGAAACATCAGCTCTCAGTGTTCTGTACAATATCATTCTTATAGGCAATTGATCAAGACTTGTTGGTTCGATTACAAGCCTATAAAATAAATGTATTTATTTGCTTTGTACAACCATGACAAAAGTAACACTTACTGTTTCACATTCTCTGTACAGTATTTGTAAATTGCTTCTATTTGCTTAGCTGTCAGTTTCATAAGTAAATAAGTCAGTCTTTTGTGCCAGACTGCACAGTGCTTAATCAGTTTATCCTTAAGTTCAAATGCATTTATATAAAAGAAATGGACAAAACTAAGCGGCTCAATATCATTTACTTCATCAGCCAAATTAAAATACCTGAAATATTAGTTAGCATAAAAAGACGCCAGATTATATATTAAATCGCAATATAAATTTAGCTTAATTGCCACAAGATGAAATGCTGAAAAACATTTGATATATAAATCCAGCATGGAAATAAATTGTGAAATTTTCTCAAGGGATTTGTAGCATGGTGATGAACCTGTTTATTCATTTCTATCATTTTGGTCTGATAGACCAAGCATTTCAGCTTTTCACCATATTCAATTATTAACTCATTTGTTTAATAAAAAAATAAATAAAAATTTAAAACAAAGATGTACTTATTAATATCTGCTGAAATAGTTTCACAAGAAGGATTTCGTCTTTCATATCTCATTATGAAGTGATCTTTATCAATTTCCCAAACACCTTTATATTCCAACCATGAAGCCAGATAATTCTGAAGATCTATGTATGCACTGAATATTTCTAAAAATAAGATATACTCCCAAATAAATAAATTTATTGTCCCATGTTGGACTATAAATTACAGACCATCTTCCATTTCTGAGTACAATCTCTGGCACACTTGGTCTCTTATTATGGAGGCTGCATATGGTGGAATTTTAGCTTTTTGTTTGATTGAAAACCGATCATAGAGCCTTGGAAATACTTCTAAACCTGTTACAAATATTAAAAAGACATCCTTTATGGCAAATGCAATCGAAAGGACAGAAGGGGCAAATACAATCTGAAAAATAAATGAGCTAAACATAAAATGTGTTCTGGATTGAGAAAATGTATATTATTTTTAAATACTTTGCGATTTTTAAGACTGATACAGAGTCTTATAAAGAAGCTCCTTCCACTCTTTTGTTCAGATTTGAAATGGCTGTAAACATATTCTAAAGACCTTCGAATGCACATTCTAAATGAAAGTTCAATCAAAGCATCTATTCTCTCGATGTATTTCACCCAATGTGCTCTCATCTGTTTATTAAAAAAATGTTAAATTAGTAATCAAATTAGACAATATTTAAATTAAAAAGTAAAAAGAAGAATTACTTTTGATAAATGCGATGAAAATCCATCATACACTACAAGCAGGAAACTAAATATTTCTTTATATTTTGCTGAGAGTATTGCAATAGCTTTTTCACTAGAAGTGAAAATCAGTAAAAAACATGTTTTAAACACAAGGCATTTTTTTATAAACTTACTGCTCAGTCTTTAGTTGGGATACAAAATCTTCAAGATCGTATTCAACAGACATTGGAAAAGAAGCAAGATTAGTGCATGCAATTTGATTGCATATATTTAAAATTTCCAAATTGCTAGCTTTAAATTCATCAATAAACTCTTGAAGCTGAAGCATAATTTTATTTTTATTTTTTAATTAATAACTTTTTCAAGGTAGTTTGTGTTTCTCTACCTTTGACACAAATGTCGCAGATTCATTAACAAAGCCAAAAGATGATTCCATTGCCCAAGTCGTTTTATCTGAGAATCCTGTTGAAAGTTGTTTCTCTAAATTTTTCAAATGCTCTTTAAAAAGTAGTTTCTCACAGTTGGATAATGCTGAAAATACAGTCAATTGAACTAATACAAAATTATGTCCTAAAAACTGAATATATTAAATAATTACTAGGTTTTATATGAAATAGCAGTTTGATGCCCAATGAGCATTCTGTTATATGTAATATATATATTAGTTAACTTATGTTTTGTTAAAGTGAATAATTTTTTTTAATAATTAAACAATAAATAACTCAACCTTAGTACCAAAAAATCTACATTATATACTTACAGGCAAATAGTTTGTTATTTTCTGTACATAGCGATTCTATCTGTTTGTTTAAAAATGCCAGATCATTGTAAATAAGCATGAATTTACTAACATCTGGTGGAATTTCCTTTCCAATGTTTTGCCAGTATTGATATTCCTTCCCTGTCTCCAAAAGCAATCTGAAAATTTAAAAGTTAATTACATGATTATTTGATATTGATATTTTTAATTATTAAATTGTACCTGTCTACATTTGAATGGATCACACTAACAGATCCTGAATCACTGTATAAAAGAGGGATTTGTAGACGAGTTTCAAACTCTGGTGGTAGTGTGGATAGCCATTTAGCAAATAATGCAGTAACAGTTCCTTTTAAAGTTTCATCAAGAGAGAAAAACGTTTCTCGTACTTCGTCTTCTATTGGACTTTCTGGCAACCAATCAGCCCTTTCTAAAAGCTGATACAATTTTTTTAAATTAATATTTTAAGCAAATAAGATTAATTTAATACACATACTTTGTATATGGCACCCAATCTTTTTCTTTTCTGGTGAGCAATCATTGCCCTTCCACCATATCTTGGGGTACCCCTTAAATGAGAACGTTTTTCATTTATGCATTCATGTTTTGTTTCAACTACTTCTTTTAAAAACATTTTGTATATCTGAAAATTAATTATTTTATTAGCTGAAGAAAACAAAATGGGGCTTGGAAAACATTGGTCTATATTTTATAAACTTTTTAACTGTACATACATAGGTAGTTTGCCTTTCAAAAAGAGCATACAAATTTGGCCGTTTTGAATATTGATATAAAATCTGAAGAGCTTCTAATCCTTCTTCAACATTACGAACTGTTTCAAATACACACTCCATTAAATTTTCAATTATAACTTCTATTTCTCTCATCCCTTCTCTGAATCTGTAAATAATTAGTCAAAACTTGTTATTTTTGTTGAAAGAGTTTAATTTGTCTGTTGTACAATGCCATGCATGTTGGCCAATCATTTGAATTTAGCTGAAGAAGAGAGTCCTGAACTCTTTGGATGTCGTGGAAAAGAATTGTGTACTGGTTTTCTATTTTATCAACAATAGTTTCAAATTCGGATGCTCTTGTCCAGCCAAACTGCGGCTTAGGCACTTCACAGCTTTCATCAATTCTAAAAATCAACAAAATTAATATAGAAACAAACAATTCAATTCTGATATCCCAAACCTTCCGAAAATTGTCATAGTTTGACAAATTTCCACCATATCTACACATCTTTGCATAATTGTATCAACCTGATTGAAAACTTTTTCTTTATCAATAATCCAAGGTTTTGGGTGGTTTTTATTATGAAGTTCAATTGCCTGAAAATCAGAATAAAATTAATAAATTTAAAAACCTACCATTACAATTTTCAGTGTTAAAACTCACTCTATCGTACAACAATTTATAATTGGTGCAACAATCGATGGCATTTTTAAACATTGCTATTCCCTGTTTGGGTTTTCCTTCAAAAACAACTTTTAAATCCAATGTGCTTTGACACAGTGTGACAATTTGGTTGCTGAGAGCTATGCACTGAGATAAAAGTTGCTCACTGTAAAAAAATTGTTAATATTTATTCAAATTCTTGTTTATTGTTCTAAAAAAACATTTACTTTGTATTATAATATTCAGAATTGACCCAGATATATCTAATAATGAATAATATTTTTGGGATAAGAGGCGTTATGTCTTGTGGCTCTTGCACTCTTGCCAGTTGTCTGCATGGTGCAACAAGAAGGTGAAGATACTGGACACAACTTCTAGCTTTTATGATCGCTTCCTTTGCAAAATAAAGGATTAATTTTGTTTTTAACTGCTATTATTGTTATAAATTTTTTATTTTTATCAAGGTAAAGTTTACTTTTAATTCTGCAATCAAGTACAAAAATTGTTTTATATAGGGTGACTGTGCTGCAATTAAAATTCTGCAGATGTGACCAAGATGTGGATCTTTCAATTGTTTCCATAATCCACAAAGATTTTCCACTGAAAAAAATGTTTTAGTAACCATAATCACACAATTTAAAAAAATTACATCTCAGTTTCCAATATTGGTACTCTTCAATTGGTATAGTCGCATCCATGGGTGATGCTTCATTCATGTCGTATATCGTGGCCCTTACTTGTGTTATCCATTTCAACACCACAGCTTAAAAAAAATAGTGATTGTAAATATTAATTAATAGTTTTATTATTACAGTGCATCCTTACAATCCATTCTTGTTACTAAAGCAGTGTCCTGAGCAGCTTCCTCCGGTGGTAAATGGGAAGCTTCAATCGGAATGTACAATCCGGTAAGACCTAACATGTTGTAACGTAATTCGGCTAAGTCTGATAAAAAATTTGTCACTTCACTGCACAATTTGTCCTTTATGTCTGTCAAAAATTCATTACTAAATTTCAAATTCTGTATTTTTTGGGAAAACATACAAAAGAAATCATACTTCTTGGCCAGCCCTTTAGGTTGAACATCAGGGGTGCGTAAACTCTTTCTAGTATGGTGTACATGCACTGTTCTGGGTTAGAGTCCAACGTTCCCCAAACAACATTTTCTCTGAAGTTTTCACCAGTAAGTTCATAAACAGATTGAGTTTTGAAAAAATATTGTAAGTCTAAATAACGACACTGAGGGAATCCGAGGGAAGCTCTCAGCGTGTTTTCATCAAAATATATTGTGAGCAATTTTGCTTCTTGTTTTCTGATAAATTTCTCTATAATTCTGAATACTCTTGGTGTCCAGTCTTTCTCTTCGAGGTCAAATAGTGCCGTTAAGCCCTGTATTAGTAAGCACTGAAAGAAAAAACAATCATTATTGACATGAAATAATTGAATTATTTTTTATCATAAAAAAAAGTTTAAACTTACAAGTTCTCCAGGTTTATATCGGATTTCTTCTTCCTCAACCATCTCTTCCTCAAAAATTGGCTCAGCTATTAAAAGCATTTTAATATTGAAATTAGAAGGGGAAAAGTTTAAGTATATTTTTTATTAAAAATTAAGGACCTAATTAATTAGAGTTTTTAATTTTTTTATAAAATGTAAAGCCTGTATAATAAACAGTAATAAAGTAGGAAAGTTTTAAGCTCTCAACCTACAACTTTTCAAGTTTTGTTAAGTATTTAATTCTCATCTTTTATGGATGAATTGAATGGATTTGGATGGAGAGAATGGATTCAAATTAGGTAATTTACAATTTCAAGATGTGTTAAATTAATTGCCATGTAATGAATAATAAAGAAATAAAAATGCCATTCAGTTGGATAAAACAAATAAAATGCAAATATTAAAACATTTATATAAATATATAACTAGGTATTACTCCTGCTGGGCTAGGGATCAACCTAAGCATACTGTTTAATATTGAACAGACAAATGAGCATCTTAGTGTTATAACATATTTAGAAAGCACATAGTTTCTACATGAAAGCAAAATAATGTGGATGGATGGCAGTTGTTACCCAGTGATCTTTAGAAATTTGAGACCTCACCTATAGTGCTACAATTATGAAGAGCCAGAACCTTGCAAAACATTAAAAGAAAACTTGATGAAATCTAGAGTTGAAGGTGTTGACACCACTTCTATGAGAACAATTCCTGCCACTAGTTTGGAAAAATATGGGCACTAACTTTTACCTTATTGACAACCAAGCACTGACAAATTTCTTGAGATACTAACAATTTGGTGAAAATATAAAATCTAATCAGAGACTATTAAAAACATTAAATTAGGAAATAATTTTGGGGAAATCATTCATCCCAAATGAAGGATTTGTTCTTTTCTCATTTCAGATCATCTTTGTTTTCCTATCTTTGAAACACATTAGTAAGTCAGATGCATTTTGTGATTAATGAAAACAAAATCAAGTTACGAAATCAAACTCTACACTCTGGAAATGGAAAAAAATAGTGTTTCTAAGGAAGAAAGAATTAAAGATAAGAATAGGCAGATACTTTTATGACAAGGAACTGCCCCTCTGGGAACAGATCCTTAGGTGACCTCTATTTTATCCTGTCACAGTAATTTTTATATCTGTTTGTTGAAAAATTCGAACACCTGTAAACCTTAAAAAGTGGTGTTTCAACTATCATCCAGGGAAAAAGCAGACTTCTTGGAGTGAATTTGTATAAAATGTTGAGCCAATTAACTTGTAATTTTGCTTTATTCGTAGCTATCAACTCAGATGAATTTATCACTCCCTTCAAATAGTTAAAAATGTAAGGTAAATCTAATTTCATCAGTTTTTATTCTCCTCTTCTTTGTTCCTGGTTGTTGGCTTATTTTGAAGATGTTCTCAAATGTATTTTTCAGTTGCATTTTCAAAAATGAAACGAGACTATAAGGGGAGGCTGGTGTCCCAAAATCAACATCACTTCAATAAAATATGTTGAATAATTTTATTGGGATGGTTTCATAACTGTTTATATAATTGAAATTGATAAAAATCTTTTGTGCATGATATATTGAGCAATTTCAAACAAATCTAAAGCTTGTTTGGGGGTAAAAGTCATTAAAGAATTTTCAGACCTCAAATGGACTGAAATCATTGAAGATCAAAAAGTTTCTTCTTTTAAATCCATAATAACAAATTTTTGATCAAGCTTTTAGTCTTAAAATAGCTGATAGACTGTACATCAGACTTATATTTTATAACTGTTAAAAAATTTTTAGATTTCTTTGTAAAGATGGATGCGTCAGCCTTAGAAGATACTTAACATTTACTTAAACATTGTTAAATATTTTTTAGCAGTGTATGTTAATAATTGTGTTCATAGATTTTGTCTCAGCAACATAGAAAAATTCTTGTAAATGTTAATTTCTGGAAAAAATTTGTGCATGCTGAACTAAAATTCATAATGGAACAGGTGTGAAAATCTCAAAATCTCAAATCTCAATTCTCTCTCAATCTCAAATCTCAAATGATCAATTTCATCAAATAAATCAACTGTACAAACAATGCCATTGAATTGTAAAAATATATTTGTTTAACTGTTTTTAGATGACTTATTTAGATGCTTTATTCCAGATTGCAAACTTAATTTTAGAAAAATCTTATTTCTTTTGTTTCACACATGGCAAACCATTAATAATCGTGAAGACACTCATAAATCAAAATTTTCAGTTAGTTTCTAGTGATTTGATTTACATACTTGACAATTCTGAAAAGGGCATGAAATTGTCTGTCATGTTTGAGTCTGCAGTCTGTGAAACGGTCGGCGTCTTAGTCTGAAGAACCTGAGACTTCCTGGAAGATGGCCTCCTGTCCAGTGGCGCTGAATGAGCTGCAGCCTTTGCCTTCTTTTTAGGTGGAGACATTTCGAACTTTAAATTATTCTAAAATTGTTGGCCTAAGTGTGATAACTAGAACAATGTCAACAAGCGAAATGATCAAGAATGAAGTTAAAACAGTGACTGTTGCCCGTAACAACGAAACATATTTTCTCACATGCCAAATGTAATAAATTATTATTCACAGCATTGTTGCTTTTTTGTTTATTTATTTATTAATATGATCATATTTAAATAGTTTTAAATATAAATGGAAACATAACTATCGTTTGATTTTGTTTATTTCACTTTGAAACTAAACAAGATTAATTTATTTTAAATTATATTGGGCATTTTGGGAGGATGCTTTATGAGTTATAGCATAAAACATATACAAAAAGTTCAAACTTGTTTTTTATTCTATCTTATCATGTATAGGTTTCCTATAAAAAAGTAACTTGTAGGCATCAACTTAAGAAAAATGTTTTAATAAATGTAGCATATAAATACATTCATACATAGCACTCATTCTGCCTAGTTGATGGGATACTTATTATTCCTCCATCGGCCCACCCGCTGTATTAAAAGTCTAATCCAAATTCGGGTCGATTTTGTAAATTGGGTACTTTTATAAATGTTCTGCCATCTACCCTAAACACACCACTACTGGAGGGTCAATTGTGATGCTATATTTCACCATCACCCCTCACCAATCGCACAAATAAATGCACTCCAACAAAACACATAAAACATATCTATGAATTTATGAGCATATCTATATATAAACCCACATCCTTCAAAAAGTGAAAGAGGAGACTTAAATTTGGCGGCATGCTTACACACTCTCTGCAAGGAGTCAAGTTTCTATTTGTAACCTTGCTCTGCAAGGGGGGCTTTGACCCATGAGTAAGTGCCCGGGTGTCAACTGCTTATGATCTATGGTCCATCGGGTAAACGATTCCTCATTTCCGGTTCAGGTTCTCATGAGATCATCTACAGGTCAGGCTCTTAATATGCAAGAGGCTCTTTAGAAGACCCTGCACACTGACATCTTTCTTTTATCATATTTTTACTTATTCTGCTTAGTGTCAGAAGACGTGATTGCAATGGTCCAGTTGGGAGGGTGGCACTCCTGACTTTCACCACTTCGTCCACAACAACCATTGTTTTACTGAGGCATACAACTTGTAGTAAAATCAAAATCAATCAATATTTTGTGGATTACGAATACCACAAGCAAAGAGAAATGGTGCATAGTATTTTTCATTCTTCAATAATAATAAAGTATTATCGTCACAGCATTTGAATAAAAAAGTTCTTTTGTAAAATTATCTTTGGAAGTAAATGCAGAAAAACGATCACAATTAGAATCCTTTTCTGTTAATAGGGTATGCATATAAGTGCCACATTTCAATTTATTTCAAAGTGACAATGTTGTGTTTTAGATTTCATGATTAGGCCTAGAGCAAAAAATAAGATAGGATCAGGACAATGAGGGTAGAGACATTTGAGTCTAGAGTCATTCCATGAAGATGAGAGACAAAAAGAAGTGGGCGATCCTGAAAAGAATTTAAAAAGTGTTGGATTCCCTAATATTGAGTGCTTCGGTCAACAGCGGATTGTCTGTAAACAGTGAGTACACATCCAGCCTTGTTCCAAATGGTCTGGCAAATGGTTTGCATGAAATTACTGTTTATATTTGGGGCAGTCTTGTTGAATCGAGAACAGACCGTGACACAAGTAAAGGTACAAGAAATATATAAAAACAACTTTTAAATATTTAAATTGAAAATTGTAGGAAATCAATTTTAATGTATGTACAAATAATTTACATAGTAAAATACTACATTTACACAACATTAGCATACAAAACTTGTTTGTTTTCTTTATCACAGTACAGTAGTAATTTATAAAGATATTTCATTGCAATTATAATACATCTTGGAATGAATTACATATTATCCAAATGCTTAATCAAATAGTTGTAATTTAATTGAAGATTATGCAATTTAAAAAAAATTAAAAATGTCCTATTAACAAATAAAATAATCAGATTTTGTTTCCTATTTTAACTGTGTCATTTTTCAGTTTACTACTGATATTCAATAATCAATTTAACATATGGTTGTCGTTTGTTGCAGGGCTTAGAATTTGACAAGCTGAAATTGGGTCCCAAACTTCAATTGGACGAGCGAATGTGATGCCAGAAGACGTTTGATAAACTTTAAAATATTGGTCAGGTCGGCTGTCAATTATCTGGCTAAGCTCAGCCAAGGTTTCTGGCGATAAATCGGCTGACAAAACCTCTTCCTGAAAAACAGTAATTTATATTACTAACGGATGTAAAAGCCATGTTTAAAAAAAATTATACTTTACCTTTACAGCTCGTTTTAACGAATTAGCATCAATTATAAATTCCCCCTCAGAGAATACTCTATTATCTCCTAAAGATAATTCAAAATCTAAAAAAAAAATTGTAAAAATTAAATTTGTAATTATAGAAATACACAAGACAAAAGGAAAACATGCAGAGGGACGGCAATGACCTCAGCTGTTTGTTGGTCTATAAACTTCCCACTTTATTATTATTATGTAATTATAGAAGAAAAATTTTCACCCTATGATTATTGAACATTTTGTCAAAAATTTGACCATAAAATTTTTACAGGAAAATAAATATTTAAATAAAAATAATCACCTGTCATATTTGCATCTAAAGGGTTTTGCAAGAAAATGTCAGACGGATCTTTTCCTACATCATCTCTAAAAGAATCATTATCCTCTTCACAATTTGCTGTGTTCCTCTTGCTTTTTAATGGCACCTGCATAAAAAATTATAGATTTGTAATAAAAAAAAAAAAAAAATCACTACACAGAGCCATACTTGTAATGATTTCGGAAGTAAGTCTAAGTGACACTTTCTTTGGTGATTCAGGAGTTTTCCCTTGGATGCGTATTGTTTATAACACCACTGGCACGATTGTGGTTTTTTCATAATGCTCCCTACTGTCTGGCAATATGTATTGTTAAAATTGTTAAAATTATTTCCAGAAGATTCCTAAAAAAATGGGGCATTAATACAATAATATTTAACAAAGTTAATAGACACTCACAGCTCGTCCATTACTCAATGGCAATTTTTCTCCAGGGTGTGCTTTCAAAATGTGAAATTTCCGTTTTGTACTACTCATATATTTCTGAAGTGATAATAAAAAATTAGTGCCAAAAAAATTGTCTACATATTTTATGAATAAATTTAAAAACAAACCTTATCACAGTATTGACAATAATAATAAACATTATCTTTTAAAATTGGAAGATTTAACTCTGGAAGAGATTCAGGAGGTACTTCAGGATGCATTTTTGCAAGGTGGTTGACCAGCATTCCTCGTCTTTTAAAACCGATCACACATATATGGCACTTGTAAATGAATCCACTGTATTCTGAAGAATCCTGTTGGAAGGGGTAACAAAAAAAAAGAAAATGTTTACACTAATCATAATAATTTAAAGTCCTGGAATAAACTAGTAACCTACAACAGTACAAGGCACCACTTTTTTTTTAGTTTTAACTTTTTTTGGATCACCGTTTAAGTGGATGCGTTTCATATGCTGCACCATTTTGTCTTTTCTTTTAAATTTTTGCCCGCATATAGCACAAGAGAAATTCCTGTGATCAGAATGTCTGGAAACATCAAGCACATTTTGAATGTCCTACTTATATGTTTTTTTTTGTTTTGTAATGAACATTTCGCATTTGGATACCTTATTAAAATATTTAACTGAAAAAAGTACTTTTTTAAAGTATCACATGTGTAAACTTTTCACCCCCTATTTCAATAAGTTAATTATTATAATGAATGTAATATAATATTTTGATATCATACCCAACTTGATGTAATTTTAGTTTAGCCATATTAGGAAAACCTTTAGCGCATATTTGACAAATACACTTTCTTTTGCTATGATAAGTCCTTATGTGATTTCTTATATGCTTGTACAACCTGAATTTCTAAAAATAATAACAATTAAAAAAAAAAGATATAAACCCAAAAAATAAACCTTAAACTACCTTTGGGCAATGAGGGCAGCTGTAAACCCCATTGACAGCATGTTTATGAATATGATCTTTCAGTAATAACAAACTCATAAAAATGCTCTTACAAATTGGACAATCGAACATTTTTTTCGCTGAAAAATTTAATTCATAATTAATGCTTTTATTTAAAACATTCAGTAATATTTGAAAACATACAAGAATGCGTTTTCATGTGGCAACTCAACGCTGTATTACTTGAGAAAGATTTCATGCAAACTTTACAAAAGAAATTTTCTTCCTGCACTTGTACAGCCTAAAAATATAAATATAGATAGATAGAGAAATAGAAATGAGTAAGTGGAAAAAGATAAATAAATAATTAAAGTCCATACATTCACATTTAAATGACAAATACTAACAGGATTTTTACTCACATTATTATTAGCAAGTTTATTTTCATTATAATGATAATTTCTATTAATTTAGTACAAATTAGAATCACTTTATTGACATAAAATAAATCTTCATTATTTATACCTTAGGTTCAGTCATTAGATTTTTATCCTGTGAAACTTCGTTGTTTGCAAATAATTCTTCTGTTTCAATATTATCTGCTGCATGTGTAAGCACATGCAAGTTAAGAAGTGTTGCACTTGAAAAGGTACAGTTACACCTTGAACATTTCCACTCCCTAAAAAAAAAGAAAAAGTTTACACTGATCCTAATTTTTCATGTATTTATTTTTACCTAAATTTATTTTCTTCATTAACATTATTTAACTGTCGAGTATTTTGTTTCGCCAACTGCAGAATATTGCTCTGACCAGACTGTATCACCAAAACAGGCCTCCGTTTCTTCTTTGGTGGTACATAGCAAGGTAGGTTTCTTAAATTGGCATAATCTGGTTCGTACCAGACTCTAAGTTCTTCATTTACTTTGATCGGTTTTAGCGTGCTAAAATACAAATTTCTACCATGTTGATAAACAACTAGGTTTTGATCTTCTAAACAGGTTGCCGGCCGCACATATCTCATCCAATTACTCAGTTCTAAAATAATAAATATTAATAAACTTTAAATATTAATTTATTTTAATGGAACATTTTATGGGTGGAAATGACTTACTTTCATTTGAAACATCTAGCTTTTTAAAAATTCCATCGGTCGCAACCAACAGTTGTAAATTCTGTGTATCGACTGGGCCTTCATGGTTGACCAAAGCACCTTCCATGGGACCAAAGAGAGTCTTTTTAGGTAATTCTTTTTTTACAAATACACCATACTCTAAGAAAACTATTTTTTAGAAAAGGCATTTTCACATATATACTTAAATTTTTCAAATACATATAGTATTACTACCTCCTTTCTTTTTGCGATTTTTGGCAATCGTGTCTATGTAAAGATATTCTGCGGGTAGAGTCCCTCGAGCACGACACACAACAGGTTTATCATAAATGACCTTACAAACTTCTTCATCATCAGAGCTTGAATATGCATCTAATTCTAAACAATTAGTTAGTAAAACTAATTGATACTACTAATACAATTAAACTAATAGCTCACCGAAAGTTCTAGCACCTAAAACTTCATTTTCTAATTCATTAATTCCTTCTAATAACTCAGCTTGGACTGTGTTTTCTTTCTGGCTTTCCTAATTAAAAAATAAACATTTCAAATTTTAAAAATGAATCAAAGGTGAACTTAAGATACATACGAGTATAGAATTAACTTCAGCATCTGTGGACGATGAGACCGTCACAGTGGAGTCGGGAACATTTGCAACATCTTCAAAGTCTTTGGCTGAGACAGTACAAATATCGCTCTTGGGTAATGACGCAAATAAAAAGTTGTTGAAAACTGACCTAGGATCATCAATCGATGTTTCAACAATTTCTTGCTGCGCTATCTCATTCTGAAGTAGTAAAAGCGGATATGAAGAATTTTTATCGCAAATTTGAATTCCTCCTTTGAAAAAGAAATAAAAACTTGGTGTGATTAATAACTATGGAATAGTTGTATCTGATTTTACCTTGATCATTTATCACATGGGCATTACAGTCGAGGACAGAATGCGGAACTGATTCGACTGTATTTATAAGTGTGCCATCTTGAGAATCAATGTTGGCAAAACTCACTTGATTCTCAGTAAAATCATTCGGTAAAATTTCATCATTATTAGTTGCCAACTCTTTAGAATCATTTGTAGGATATACCTTTCAAAAATAAATAAATTGACTGATTAATTTTAAAAAAGTGTGGAAAAGTAATGGGACTTACTTTTAAAAGAAAAATAGAATTAGGTTCATATCCAACATCTCCAGGTTTCTCCTGGAGAGGATTTGTAGGATTAAAAGACATCTAAAAAAAGCAATATTATTTAATGTGAATTTTAATTTACTATAGTAAAAATTAACAAAAATCAAACAATATTGAAGTGCCGACAGGCACAAAAAATTATTTAAATGTTTTGAATGTTTTATGTGTAAAATATTTGACTACAGAGAAAACAAATAAAATTTGACATGTCTAGTAAAAGCTCACTCACTGATCATAGATCAGTAAAATAAATAAATTAAATTACACAATTTATTTCCAACTTTATCAGGTGCTGTTCTGTGGTGCACAGTGGCACAAACTTCAGCAATTAGACTTTCTTTTAAATAATTTATAGCATGTAAATACATAAAACTACATACAGCAAATATGTAAGTTTTTTTTCACTGTAAATTGACACTATACCATCACTACCCGGAGTACACAGATTAAGAGAAACCAGCCACCACTGGCAATCAATATGAGAAATTAAAGGGTAAATGAGGCCATCGTCATTTAAGGCGACATGGCGGGTTCTTGGGACGGAAATGTGGAAACAAGTAGCAGTAGGGTTAGGAGAATTGAAAACTTATTATGGAACTTTTGGAAGCAAGATCGAATCAGTTTGTTGACAAAGGTGATGTTGATGTCATTGAGGATAGTAAGGCTAGTGACACAGTAAGGAGCTTTTACAATTTCTGAGGATGTTTGATTGGAAGGATTGGACTTGCTGGATAATAGATGGCTTAGTTGAGTTTGAATGGCCAAAACAAATTTCAGTCCTAACAAATTTTGTCTGTTTTCTATCAAGCTGTTGTCTCTTAAGTCAAGGTTCCTTGTCAGTCTGTTGTGGTGCTAAATACATGATTTGAGATGTCAGAAAATCCTCGTTGATGATGTTCAGAGGATGGCAAGACTTTTATTAAAAATGTAAATAAACACTGGATACATTTTCCTCATTCATTTTGTCCATCAATTTTGGCACTTGTAGTGCCAGTGACAAAGTAGACTCAATGTGTTCTTGAATGTAGGAGGTTGCTTGGATAGAATATCATTGTCATCCGCTTAGGTAATAATAATGGTGTTGCAATGTATAGGAAAGTATAAATTGAATACAGGATGGAACCTAGAATGCTCCCTTGTGTGACACCTGCTTCTATTGGACTGATATATGACCTATTTATTGGCATACTTCTCTCTGAAGTGGCAGTGAGACAAATAAGATTTCTGTAAAAGGTAATATGAGTTTTTAAGTTTATAAGGATAATGAACCATAGTCTATCAACAGTCTGGGCAATCCAGGAACACACTGAAGTCATACTATTTTGTCCTCTAGAGCGAAGGAAATGGTGTCAACAACTCTGAAACCTTGCTGGTTCTTGGGGACAGATTCCGTGATGGTGAAAAGGAATGATTTTTTTATGAACCTAAGGCTGATTAATGTAATATATTAATATAATTTAAATGTCCTGTTCATATGTTTTTTTTTGCTTTTAAATAAATAATTAAAAACGTAAAAATTAGGAGTATTTTGTACATTTTATTTTGATTGCTCATTTACTTTGCAAGTTGAAACTTACATGTCCAAACACCTAACTACTGTCACTTTTTTTTTAACGAGGGTTTGCAACAGCAGAGGTTATATCAATTCTCGGAGTACCTGGTTTTTGGGTACCTATACTTGATCCAGGGCCACTGGATTCGAACCCGGGACCTTTACCTTACAATGATGAGTGCCGGGTCAATGCCTGAACTGTTATGACCACTTATTATTATAGTTACACATACAATACTGTATTGTACTATTGGGTTGTCCGGAAAATAATGCAGGATTTTAAGTTTTCATTAAAAAAAATCTATATAAAATATTCTGTTTACGTTTACAGGATTACNGGGAAATTATTTTGATTAAAGAACATTGCTTTAAAGTAACTAGTTTCTTTTTTTTTGTTTAATACCAAAATCCTGCATTATTTTCCGGACAACCCAATATAAACAATTAAAAAAAATATCACAATAATAATACAAATGATGAAACTTCAGCTAATATAAAATTAAATAGCTAATAAAGTTGCAATTGATCACACAATTAAGGTTGGTTAAGTAAACAGTTCACTTGTTGGCTAACCAACAAATTTGACAATGTATAAACTTTGACTATAATGACTTCATATTAAGAGTATTAGAGAGTAAGTAATAGTAGAGTAAGAGCATGCAATAATATAAATATATAGGAAATCAATGAGGAAAATGCTGACATGCCATCAACACTTGTGCCTTAGAATATCTTAAAAGAAGCTACACTGGCAAAAATTAATCATAACGTAAGTCAAGTAGCCGTTAAAGCATTATCCAAACTCTCCAAAACCTGGGTTAACAACCTACCAGGACAAAAGGGGGAATTTTGGGTAATGAAAAGGTAGTTACATGAGCCAAAGAAGGCCCTGAACTTGAGATAACTAAAACAAACGAAGAATCCTTTTTAAAAAGATAGTTCATGGATAATTGAGAGGTATTAAAAACCAGCTTCTCATCTGAACGTCGCAATGGCCGGGGTCTGGGGGTTCAGCCTTACAATTCATATCGAGAAATGTGGTTGTAGAGCTCCTTCAACCTGATGAACTGTAGGCTCAAAATCTGGATCGTTGAAAACAACTTACTGTGAGAAGGAACTATCTTTTTAAAAAGATTGAACAATACACTCAGTCCTCCATTTATTTATTTTTTTCACCACCATTATTTTATTTTTCTAACAAAGAAGAATCCTCTAACAGAGTGGATCAGGCACAGTAAGCAGTAAGATGATGCTAAAAAAATTACCTCATGCTAAATATAGACAGGGCTAAACTCAGAGGAGTGATAGGACTATTTACACGTCACTGGCATTTGAGAAAACATCTACACAAATGGGCAAATTTAATGATGACCCTATATCATAGATTGCAAAGCAACTGCTCAATGGATATACAAAGAAAAATCAAAGGAACTAGGCAAGTACAATAAGCCTGAAGGCTGCGATGCTTGCGGAACAAAACCCTCACTTCCTAGTATACACATAATCATCCAGGTAATATAAAATTGCTTTAACAGCTAATAACATAACAAACGGTCGAGAAGAAAATGCTTCAATTTGAAATTCGAGGTGTTTCCTATTATATGAGTTCTCATTATCTGCAGGAGATACGAATCAAGCATCACCGCTGTGTAATCTGTGCCACAATAATAATACATGTAATAAAACTTAATACAGCTAATATAAAATTATTTTAATAGGTAATAAAGGTGCAATTACATAAGTTAATGTCTTATCGCACTGATCACTTCTTGGCCATCCAAGATATTTGACAATGTATAAATTTGACTATAATGACTCGTATTAGGATTATTTCCATCCAATTAAACCAGCATACTGGAAATCAATGTAAATAAAACTGGAAGTTTTACAAAGGAAAGAGTGTTGCAGAGCAAGAGACTAGATAAGGCAGAAAACTTTGACCATTTTGTTAATAAATTCTCTTTAACAAGTAAAATAACAGAAATAATATAATTTTACAAATAAAATAAAACACTTAAGTTCCAGTCAAATATTAATCTATACATGCAAACAAACCAAGGAGTCCATAAGTGTCTGCCACATGGTGGTATAGATTATTTTCTTTCTATAACTTACTTTTTCATCTGGTCATATATTTCAAACGTGGATATTTAAGAAAGGTCAAAAATGTAAAATTGGACGAGGATCCTTTCATAATCGTCCGGTTTATTGTTAAAATAACTGAGAGGTGAGGCTGCTGTTAACTAAGCCCACTGTCTTTCCAGTTCCACCCACTGTCAATGATGACGGTAACGTTTTTTGACATCATAGCATGGGAGTTGAACTTGGTGAACATGGATCCATTTTCTCACAATAGTTTCATTTGATTTTAATATTTGAAATGTTACTATATTAATAGTAATAATAATAAGTCAGTGGCTTATTAGAGGTTATTTATACCCAGAAACGGAAGGATTCATCTTCGCAGTTCAGGATTAGGTAGTCGTTAGTAAAGTTTATAGGAAGTCTATTGCAAATAAGAGAAAAGTGCAAAATGTATAATTCCACAACGGACAACATTCAGCATATTGTAGCGGGATGTCTGTGCTTGCACCGAAGGAATATCTAAACCGACATAATAACGTGGCTAAGATTATCCATAAGGCAATATGCCGAAAATATCAAATGCCACAATCTGGACGCTATGAACTACCCTATTACCGGTATAAACCACCAGCACATAGAAAAGGTGACACCAAAATATATTGGGATGCCCAAGCAATAACAGACAGGACTGTGATTCACCACAAACCTGATATATTGGTATGGATAAGAAAACCGGAACGTCATATATCATAGATATGTATGACGTCATATATATGTCATACCTAATGACGGAAACACCCAAAAAATCCGGGCTGAAAAAATTCGGAAGTATCAGGCGTTTAGCTTTGAGCTGAAAGAAATGTAATTAAAGTGATGATTATATCAACTATAATATGTACAGGTGGTTTGGTACTTACTTAAAGCAACACTGACCAGTATTAGCAGTATAAGCCGAGCGAACTTGTTACGGAGGAGCAAAAGATAAGAAAGTTCTTAAATAGTTAAGCAGTTATATACATAAAGAAATATAATTTTAAAACGGGGTTGTGACAAATCACCCCCTAACAAAACTTTCCCTAAATAGATGAATATATTGAAATAATGATAATAAAGCCCTTCTCGGCAGCAGAGGGTTCATGGTAGTCATCCATGGTACCCACAAAAGATTCGAAAAGATAGTCGGGGGACCCAACTGTGACGGATGAAGGATTTGTGGCTTATGGATATCTGGAAACGATCGGGAATATTTAGAGAGACAGGTGCATAACAGTGCAGCAAAGATCACTAATCTAACACTGGCCAAACGCTCGAATCTACTGCGAGGGTGCATCCTTATTTCTGTTACCTACCCCAGGCAGTATTATAAAAAAGATAGTGGTGAACATGTCTACTGGGATCGCACAGTTCTCACAAACAGATCTCTTTACAGATCCTTTGTAAATTCCAGCCCGATATTATCTGGCGATGATAGAGGAAAGGTAAAGTTTTGTAATAGACATAACCTTGCCAGATAATAGGAATGTAAATCCGCTTATTCAGAAAAATGTAGAAAGTACCAACACGTTTCTTCTGAAATTGCTGCCTATTGGAGGCAGGTAAGCCGTGTGGAGAGGGTTCTTCAGGTGATGTCAGCCTCGGGCATTATTAACCACGTTTAGAAAAGGTCTGGATAAAGTGGGAATTCACCCCTGGAAAATTCCACAGGTACAAAGGGCTTGTACGGTATGATAGCCCGAATACTTACTCGGTTTCCACTATTTAAAGTATCTGATGGTTTCGATATTGTAACGGTAAAAGAACTCAAGTGTTATTTCACTGCCAAAAAGTTGAAGACACTCTCGTGACTTCGTGAATTACACAAAAGCACGATCCATACTTTATTTGTCACCATTATTTAAATTATTTTAAACTTCACATCTAATTCTGAATAATCATCAAAAATCTGATAAAAGGAAACCACCAAAGTTGTCTGAAAATGAAATAACTCAGTGCAGATCACACACAAATTTAGGTGTGCTGAGGTTTGAAGCAGTGTAAGCACTCTTCTCGGTGACTTTCGGTTATATTTTTAGCGTGTGTTTTGAGGTGCCCATGCTAACCTGAAAATTGTGCACATGGTATGATATATTTCTGAAATAAGACATTCCATAATTTAACCTTCAACTTAATAGGCACAATTTCCTGCAATATAAGTGACTTCCATGTTCTATTTAAAGCAAGTGTAATAACTGTAACAACCTTGGTAATGTTAGGACTGAATCGGTCTTCAAGAAAACTTGAAATCGCCTGTAAAAAAACAAATATGTCAATCTGTATACATATATAAGGTTATTTTGCCCTGATGATGGCCTTAAAATAAGTCGCAAGCTTGGCAGTAACAACTGAATTTGCTTTTTTCTTCAAGATCATGTCTTGCTCCAGAGTGTTCGTGAGTGAAAAATTAGCCGATACTTCTATTACAGAAAATAGAGGTTTTCTACCTATTATTGGGGAATTTTTGTAAATTTGAAAAACTGTAAATATCAAAATTGGTGAAAATACACTTTTTCAACAAACTTCTAGGACACTCCTATTTTTTTATGATAGCCATTAATTTTATCGTATACGATTTTATAAACTTTCTTGGTAGCAACAAATACAAACAAAAACATGTTTTAATTACCCTGATTCTTGATAAAATGATTGGTTACTTATTACGTATTTACTTTCTGTTGTCCACTAAAATTTGTCCCTTCTTTTTGGAAGGGATATAAAAAGTTTCATTATGTACTTTATCGACAAATGGCCTAATTTCAGAGATTTTCTTTTACAGCCGTGTACAAAACTGCCCGAAAAATATCTTTCAACAAGTTTTCTTTATTGTTTGATTTTTCATTAGTCCTATGGAATGATAAACCTATAGTTTTGTCTTTTGAGGTCGTTTGGCCTGCCTATCCTCGCTTGGTATTTCGACTTGTTTCGACTTTTCAAATTATACACGTATTAGGAATTTAGGATTATAAAAAGGGCGAGAAAAAAATGAAGCGAGTTTGCTTGCTGAAAAAAGAACAACCCCCTCGTCGGCTCTTCTCTTTCAACGAGTTGTACCTGAATTATTTTAATATATTCTTTTGCGTCCATGTTTGTATAAAAAAAATTAATTTTTTGATAGTACCCAACCGTATTCCAAACCATTAAACCTCCACATATTGGACGTTTGTTTAAAAATGGATTTTCTTTGCCTAAGTCATGAAAATAATGTGAAATCCAACTTAAAACGCTTTTTATCATTCAAAAAATTTCTTTTTTTTAAAACATTTTTCTTCATGAGATATGTTCAGGTAAAAACGTTTTGCATGTTTTGCAGCATTTTTGTCCTAAATTTAGCTCTGCTCTTCTTCGTATGATCCCTACTTCCAATAATAAAAAAAGTTATTTAAGTAAGTTAATTGGGAAGTTGTATAGTTAAATAGGTTCTTGAGTTTAATTTCTTTAATGATAAAAGCTCGAAGAATTTTTGAAATCGCCCATCTGTTTAAATCTTAATAAATAAACATTTTTCATTTTTTCAATAAATAAATGGAACAAAATGTCTGTATGTGTTATTTTTGATAAATTGTAAATTTTTGTAAATTACAAAAATAATAATAACAAAATGGGGTTGGAGTTTGTCGGATGAAGTGGTTTTACTGGATCCGTCGGCTTTTATACAAATTAGGTATGTTTTTAAATTTGTAAATCAATCATGATTTACCTTATATTGTAAACAAACCATTAAAATTAAAAACAATAGTAAAGCAATTCCTGTGATACAGGAGCGCTTACCGTCCAACAACCAATACTTCTTCATATTCTCAAATAAAAATCCATGGGTTGGACACCCTCATTATCCCAACCCCGACCTTACGACTCTAACCACTCGGCCACCACGGTCCCTAATTAAACCATCCTTAATTAAAAATAATAGAACTATTAGCTATATTATTATGCCANGGGACCAGGATAAGGTGTGGGGTGGGAAGAGGGGTAGGTGTTGGGTTTAGGATTAGGAGGTGTCAGGTCCAGCTCCTGTCCCTCCATACCCCTCTTTCCGTTTGTTAGTTAACAGGGTACACCCGCATAAGCTTCGTGAAGGTGGAAAGTCGGAGTTGGGTATTAGAGGCTATTGGAGGCGCATAGTACCCGTTCGTACCCCAGGCTAGATCATAGATTAACACTAGTTTTATCTATTCGCCGAACTTTCTTCCTAGTTTCCTTAAAAGTGATTCTATAATTAAACGTATAGTCGAGTAAACTGTAGCTTTTTCAATAACGGTCCTTTGATCGTCGTTGACCGGGCATTATTCCATTAATGTTGTGTTAGAAAGTTCACTGCTCCTCAACAATTTAGACATTGAAAGCCTCCTTGTTAATGATATACTGGTTTGGTAAAGAATGTTTCTGATTTTAAAGAGGTTTATATTTACACTAAACTTCTAATTTCCTGTAAAACAAGTTAAAGGAATCTTTAACCTCAACAGAACAGATGGTTGTTTTCCCCTTTAACTTGTTGGTATAATGGATATTTTCTCCTATAGAATGATGTACAGTATGTATTACCATGTAATTTTTTCAATAAACTGTATTATTTATCTATATCATGTATATTTTTTTGACATGAGCAACGTTTTCAGATTCAATCTAGAGCTTACATTTTATTTATAAAAAAAGATTATATCAGTGATAAGTGGGTAGTATTCTTGGGGCAAAATCTTATTGTCAACATAGTTCGAACTCCACTTTCACTTTTTAGGAATTTCTTGATATTAATTTGGGCAAGATACTTGTTGAAAGATCGCTTTGGGGCTTATGAAATATAAGATTAGAACAAACATACAATTGAAAACAAATATGGCTCAAGACTAAGCTACGTTTTATCAATTTTAATAATGATTTACAATATCTACTAAAGGCTAACTGCTATAAACGTGTCATCATAATTATTTATTTATTAATTATAATAGTAAAAACTATTTAATAATTTTTGAATAAGACATTACAAAAATAAAATAATGGTCATTTTTTTGGGAACAGACTTAGAAATAAGCACACAGCAAAATTATTTAATGCTCTCTCCTTACCTTTCTCTTTCTCTCTCTCTCTCTCTCTCTCTCTCTCTCTCTCGGCATGTAGAATGAAAGATTGCTCGAATTGTTCTCCTTATTTGAAGCGGGTCATTCCTTGGCTCCATATAGGGAGCGTATGTCATTCGATATGAGAATTGTGTTTGAGCACTTCAGCGAATATTTGGATCCCCTGTTCCAATTTTTGTAGGAAACATAGCTTTTTTTATTGAATTAGAACAGATATTTGGTTTTGTAATCGATTTTGGGCATATTATTATTGATTTGGGCATTATTGATAGTGAAAAAGTATTTATTAGCGTGAAGGTGTAGTGTTAGAGGGATGGTGGTTAAATGTTGAATAGAGGAGGTATTGCCGGTTAGCGGAAAGTGGGTGAAACCACTTGTTTTATATTTTACCAATTTTATAAAATTATGGTTACAATAAAAAAAAAATTGATTGTAGCAACTGAAACTAAAATAATTTTCCTACTGAATCACAGTATTGACAACTTTCTATCTCAACCAAGGAACGTCGGGCAATGTCGAGAAATTAAGTGACCCGCAATACCGAATATCGTTCAACCAGCCTACTTGAATGAACTGTATGTAAACAAATGGAAAAGAATATACTTAAGAATGAGTGGAGTGCGAGTGTGCCTAGATTTAAAAATTGCATGCGTTGAGGGCTATCATAACCCAGCTGTTGACAGTCCCTGGAGCCTAACTTCGACGGCGAGATGGATGACCTGAGGCCTGACCCCGACTGCCAACATATTCTCGGCTCAATTCTGTACAGATAGTAATCCTGAGTGTTGAACTTACCATAAATCTCTCTCTCTCTCTCTCTCTCTCTCTCTCTCTCTCTCTCTCTTTCTCTCTCTTTCTATCTCTATCTCTATCTATCTATCTATCTCTTGTTCCTGTTTACCTGTAGTACAAAAGAGGGATTAACGTTCCCTTTGGGAGTCTCGTACGAGGTGTCAAATCACTTTATAATAATTTTTTCATATAAGTCTCAATTAAAAAGACGATTATTTCATATGTGACGACTGATCAATAAGTAATATAATGTCTATATATTTCTATGTAATAAATTTATTTTTACTTTTCATAACTTACTTTACTCTTCATTTAAGAATGGAATTTAATATGTATTTATGATGTTTCGGAAGTGATAGGAGAATTGAAGAGCGCTCAGGGTCGGAAATAACTTTAAGTGAAACAATGTTGATGTTATTTATAATGTGCTACATGCAAGGCCCCCTCCGCTAGCACCCTTGCCGGAAGCGATTCGTAGCAACGAACTAACATTATTGTTTTGACTTGGCAACATAGACTTAGGGGATGGACACAATGATCGTTGCCCATTCTTCTTGGTTGTTTGACTGTCGCAAGGTTCAAAACGCGAGCGTGAACGTTATACGATGTTTAATGTTTGTATTAAAAGAATATGTTCATTTTCGTTCATATTTGACTTGCCCTGATTGATATCGAACACGTGAACCATATGGTTTAAACTCGATTTTTTTTCACTTCACTTCCCACAGCCCGAGGAAGTTTTGTGAAAATGGACAACGCGCAAAGGAAAGAGTACATCGACATGAAACTGAGCAAACTTATTTCTGCGATACGAGACAATAGGAAAGCGTCTTGCAACAACAAATTCTGGAGCCAGAACTTGATCGAAGACGATGCGTTTAAACACTCTCCGCAGTATAAGTTCACATCGAACTACGAGCACCGCTTTTTGGCCCAGAAGGAAATAATCAAGTGTCAGAAAGGCACGATATCCATGCAGGAAAAGATGATAGAGCAGATGCAGAACGAGATACAACGACAAAAAAACGAGCTCGCCTACTTGAAAAATAACGAAACCGGTAAAAAACCCATTTCGAAGTTCAAAGCCGCTCCTGCACACCCAGCAGACGCCAAAGTCGATTCCATCGAGAAAACGAATTCGAGAAATTCGACGCCGGCGAAGTTTCCCGACGTGCTGAAAGGCATGAACCAGAGGCACGAAGAAAGGCGGCAACGGTGGAACGTGATCAAAGAGCAAAAGGCGTTGAAGGAAAAGCAAAGGATCGAAGAGGCTGCCCAGAAACAGCTAGAAAATAAGAAGCTCATAGCCGAGCAGAAAAGGCAAAAATTCAAAGCAGTCGCAAGAAGAATGAGGGAAATAGAAGAACAGAAAAAACACGATAAATTGCTCAAAGAATGGGCCCTTAAATTTTACGACAAGTTTTCCTTAATGATTTACTTTGCGATATGGTGGATTGAAAGCCGAGAGACTAAAGCGAGACTCCTGACGGCCACTTACGCGGTAAATAAACATTTAATGTCAGTAGCATTAAGAAACTGGAAGATTTCTACACAAATATCTGTAAATTTAAAACAAAATGCTGCTGAGAAATTCTACAGACGTACTGTCATGAAAAGACATATCGTTATTTGGCAAAACGTGAGTTTACTTCCTTTGCCTAAACTTGCTTTGCACTTTTATTAATGCACGTGTATGGGCACAGAATATTTAGATAATATATAGTTTAAGATAGTCTCATAATCCATTAATGATTTAAAAAATCTTATAAAATATTTTTACCACGAAAACATAATTTATATTAACCCTAAAAATACCCAATATTAGTTAATGATATAAATATAATTAATTATATTAGTTTTTACGTAATTAAATAAATATTAATTATAGTCATGGTTATGTCGATTTTCATTTCATAAACGGTTACACAGACGTAGCATATTATTATTAATAAATAGATCATATTATTATATTAATATTAATGATTGTAAATGAGAATTAAATTATAATTTTTGGCCTTATGCTAAACTAACTATTTAATATAATTAATTATATTAGTTTACTCCAAACATAGCATATTAAACCATATCCAATATTATAATTTAAAGGGTGAATTAAGTTTATCGTTCCAAACTGTTCACAGATTGATCATTAAACTATAAAAATATGGCAACAGGTTACAATTTTTAAAAAATCATCGTTTGGAATAAATATAACAAAAATGAATTATTTATTCGTGTTATGAAATTGACCAAAGATTTTGGTCCTTTTTTAAAATATTGCTTATGTTAAATAAGTGTGATAATTAATTGTTATATCATAATTTAGGAAATAGGTAGGACAGACTAATGAAATACAACTTTGTCGATTAAAAATATGGTTAAAGTTCTCTCACTCTCTCTTTCCATCTCTATCTATCTACTTACTATCTATCTGTGTATCTATCCATCTGACTATTCTTTTTCTCACTCATTCACTCACTCACTCTCTCTTTCTCTCTCGCTCTCTCTCTTTCTCTATCATTCTCTCTATTTTCTCTATCACTCTCTCTTTTTCTCCCTCTCACTCTCTTTGTCATTCTCACTCTCACTCTCATTCCTACCCACACACCATAACCCGTTCTCTATTTATCTTCCTCTCGATCACAGTTTAAAGATTATTACGACTGATATCAATATTGTTAAACTAAACCGTATTTCCTGGTGTCTTTTTTTCATTTCTCTCTCCCTCGCTTTCTTCTCTCCCTTTCTCTTCCTCTTTCTATCTCACTCCTTTTTTCCCTCTATTTTTCTTTTTCTTTCTTCTCACTCTCTCTCATTTCTCTCTCCCCCCTCACTCACTCTCTCTTTCTCTCTCTCTCTCTCTCGTACTCTCTCTCTCATTTCCTCATTCTCCCACTCTCTCTTTTTTCCCTTTTTGACTCTTTCTTTCTCTTTCGTTTTTCGTTGTCTCGCTCTATATTTCTTCCTGATTATCTCTCTAGTCTCTCCCTTACTTTCTTTGCTAACTTTCTCTCTCTCTATCTCTCTCTCTCTCTCTCTCTCTCTTTTTCTCTTCCCTCTCTCTCTCTCAAGATAAAGACACCTTAAAAATAAAGTTATTTTGACCAATTGAATTGTGGAACGTATAAAGAAGAACGTCCATTGCAAGGTTTTTTGCAAAAAAATATTTGGTCGAAGATTAATCAAAAATCAACGTAGTTTTTAGCATGTCAATATTGTTATCTACAATGTAATGTTTGTGCTAAACAGTTTTATGTGGCTGTTTTGTTAAATATATTTTGCTTATTTTACTCAGAGGTAGTTTCACTTCTTCTTGGTCAGTCTTGCCTCTCTATGTTTAAATTTTTAATTGACATGTAACATGACACATAAAACGCTTTCACTGTTACAAGCTTACAGAAATTACACACAATTGTTGTGCTTGTAACTCGATTGGTTTATCACTTTTTAGTACACCCAGCAAATGCAATGTTACGACGAAAGCGCTATACGCATATATGAGAAAGAGTTGATGGCTTCCGCCTTCAGGAGGTGGCACATTTATTGCCTCAAGAGCCAAATAGCCCAGGAGGAGAAGTACCAAGCAGCCCGAGCTATTTATTTAAGGTTCGTTTCAAAATTACCTATAAATTATTTCCAAGTCTGATTTGTTCGATATTATGTCCGTACAGGAGCATGTACAAACACTACTTCCAAATGTGGAGAGAGCTGCCAAAATTGAACTACGAAAAAATAGAACAGGAGAAGAGAATAAGAGATTGGGAATCGTCGGTTCAGAAGATTATCCCCGATTTTCAAATTCAGGAATAAATCCTACCGTCAACAAAAAAGTGAGGCTGGTTTGTTTTTAATATAAACTCAAAAAGTGTCGTTCAATTTATTTTATAACTTAATTCTTTAAAGTTGCCCTTGTGAGTTGAAAATATTTCAAGTTAAATGTTTATAGAGGGGTTTTTGCTAATTGCACACCTGATTACATCAGAACACAGTTGCAAGGCAATTAGTTAAAAACCGAACAAAGGTATTTTTGGTTAAACGAAATGAAAATAAACATTATTGATTTAAACAACATGACATCACTAAAACCATACCATGACAATTCGACTGACAGACTAGTGGCTAAACTTTATTTTTTCAAAATTTTACTGAAAACTCTAATTAATAGATTCTGCTTGCTTTTCACAAATTAATTGGCCTTTCAATCCAATTTGATTAATTTTATATAAAAATAACATTTGAAACGAATGAACTTTTGGGAAAAAAACTTTTTGAAGGGTTGCAGGTTGAGATGTGGAGTTGGTGGTGTCCGAGTGGATCGACGTCACGATAGCTCATGTGGTAAAGCAGCGGCGTATTTAGCCGAAGGTCGTGGGTTCGAATCCCGCTCGTGGCACTAGCTTTTTCATTTCAACTAAAACCTTACAAAAAAGATTAATTAATTGAAAGAAGTAATTTGGTCAATATACCACTAAATATTTTTTGAAAGATTTTTGAAAAAAGTGGTAGTAAATCTGCTTTATTAATAAAATTAATGTTTGTGTTGTTGTTCAATATTCTCAACACTTTTTTATGTTCACGTTAAGTAACTATGAATAAAAAAATACGCTAATAAAAAAATTTGTTTAACAACAGTTATAACTTTTTTGTGATTATTCAGGTGCGTTTTTGCTCATAACACAATCCGAAGATGCCTGCCTAAATAATGAGATTAGTTGGAAAAAGATGATAAAAAGTCTTTAATCTACAGAAGAAAAAAATCTTTAGCTTTATTGTTTCTTAAAGGATTTTTGAAAGGACATAACAACTGGCAAGATAATGACTCGTTTATCATCGATAAAGATCACTTAAATTTGTAATTGCAGACCAATCAGCAGAAATAGTAAAGCATTTCTGTCAATTTACAATAAATAGAACAACTTATACCTATTTTTAATATGTCCAATATTTAAAGCAACAGTTCGTTTTTAAATAAATGGTCAATTATAGTTTAAAAGCTGTCAGCGTCTAATACGATGTAGATATTATTTTTTATTTTTTCGTATTCCTACATAAGAATAATATTGAGAATAAAATAAGATAATAGCTTAAAAACGTGTGTACATGTAGCTCAAATTTGGTTTAGTTAACTTGAATGTTTATTTATTTTTTGCTAACAAGAAAGTAACTAATGATTAAAAACAAGATAACGCAAGTGGAAACTATTTTCTTAGCGATAAAGAAATATATACCTTATAAAATAAATGATATAACAAAAAATTGCATATATCATTTGAACGACGTCAATATACAAAAATCGGTATTGTTATATAATATACATTACTTTAACTTCTGGTTTTGAAAATGGACAATTATTTCGCTGTTATTTTCACCTCGTGTTTACTAAGTCCACCCGCTTCTTACTTTTCGTGCACGCCCTGTCTCCCTTGGGGGAGAAAGTCGGCGGAAATATATTTAAAACTATAAACAAATAAACTTATTGGGAGGGCGGGTAATGCCGTAAAGTCGTCTTAAGGTTTACATCAAAAGGATACGGGGTAAAGGTGTCCTTGAATCAAGCGCTTCCTCTATTTAAGAAGGAGTCTATCTTAGCCAACCTCATTCCTGGGTAGTCAACCGGACAGGACTGTTCATCGTTTGGGTTTTTACGTTTTGACTTACTGTTTCGACTTGTTAATCTAGATTTTCGCACAAAAAATTTCTTCTTCACAAAGGAAAACGTGCGTTTAATTTTTTTTTAATATAAACAAAGGTGCGTATAAAAATCGTATTAATTCTTTATTTAACATACATGACCGAAGAATCTCTTAATTCATTACTACAATTATTGAAAAAAGCAGAAGATGGTTGGTTCTAAAATAAATACTCTAAAACATTAAAATATAATTAAATGTATTTTCTATAGAATTAAATTAAATAAAATTACATGTAAGTACACACACACGCGCGCGCGCACACACACACACATTTTTATACATAAATTATTAATTGATATAATTAAAATTATCTAAACAAAAGCAATTATGTTATGTGTAAAACCAACAAAAATGATATTCATAAGAAGAGTTCAGTAGATGAAGTAAAGCAAATATTTAATTAAAACAAATACATTTTCTCATTCAATTGAACTTATACCACTACAATTATCGAAAAAACAGAAGATAGTTTTAAAAACATTTAACGTTTTAAAGAAATGAATGAAATAAAATTACTTAAAATTACATTCCCTCACTCTCGCTCTCTCTCTCTCTCTCTCTCTCTCTCTCTCTCTCTCTCTCTCTCTCTGTCTGTCTGTCTCTCTTATTATTATTATTATTACCATAACTTATTACCATCTAATGAACCAAAAAACCTCAGAGAGAGAGAGAGAGAGAGAGAGAGAGAGAGAGAGAGAGAGAGAGAGTAATTTTAAGTAATTTTATTTCATTCATTTCTTTAAAAGTGTATTTAATTATGTGTTAATGTTTCTAGAACTATCTGCTGCTTTTTCAATAATTGTAGTGGTAAATGATGAGGTTTTTTGGTTCATTAGATGGTAATAAGTTCAATTGAATGAGAAAATGTAGTTGTTTTAATTAAATATTTGCTTTACTTCATCTACTGAACTCTTCTTATGAATATCATTTTTGTTGGTTTTACACATAACATAATTGCTTTTGTTTAGTTAATTTTAACTAATATTCACTCTTTTATACACACACACACACACATACAGAGAGAGAGAGAGAGAGAGAGAGAGAGAGAGAGAGAGAGAGAGAGAGAGAGAATAAATGATTAAATTTTAATTTAAAAAAATAAATACTTAAACTAAAATAAGTTAAATCAACGAGAAAATGTGGTTGTTTTCATTTTTATTACATTTATTTTTGTTTGTGTATTTGTTTTTAGTATTTGTGGCTAGTTTACAATTTTTTAGCAGTTTTATTATACTATATAAATGCTATTGCACATTAATTTTAATTTATATCAATTGATATTTTATATGTAGACATTTGTGTGGGTGTCTCTCACATATACATATATACAGAAAGAGAGAGAGTGAGAGAGGGAGAGAGAGAGAGAGAGAGAGGGAGAGAGAGAGAGAGAGCACGCGCGCGCGCACACACACACAAATTTTTATATATAAATTATCAATTGATATAAATTAAAATTGACTGTACAAAAGCATTTATGCAGTATAATAAAACTGATAAAAAATTATTTTTTTTTAAAACTAACCACAAACACACAAACAAAAATAAAGCAAATAAAAATGAAAACAACCACATTCTCTCATTGAATTTAATTTATTTTAATAAGGATTAAGTCTTTATTTTTTCTTAAAATTTAATCAATCTATAGATAACGAATAGAATTTCAGTAATCAGATTTTACTATAGGGGAGTATGGGAGAAATCCGTAGTATACTCTTTTTTTAGACCTTCAGTGGTTTCAAAATCGAATTAGAATGACTATTATAGTGTTATTTGTGTTTGTAAAACCGGTTTTAAGGACGAGGGTCAGTGTTCTCGTTCGTCTTCACTGATTTTTTTACGCCGACGTGCTTCACCTTCACCTTCACCTTAAAGACCGTATCATGGTAATTTACGACGGTCGTAATCGGTCGGCCAGCCAAAACGACAGAGTTTTTGTCAAAATCAACGTCAAATTTGAAGAATAGGGAGTGCGCGTTGCGCAATCCTGCGACCTTATGCACAAATATGCCGAAGGGTGGGTTTTGTAAATAAGGTATTCTTTGCCTTAATGATTGCTGAAGAATGTCAATATGCGCTTGAGTTAGAAATGGATTGTTGATTTTTGCTGTTAAGATGACGGATGTCTGATCAAATAATGTGCGGCTTAATGATGAACAAGATTGAATTAAAAGGTCATTCATCAGACCTTGGCAATATGATTTCCTCGAGTTTTTTTTCTTTATTTTCCATATTTAACATTTGAAAAGAAAGAAAGAAAAAAATCCTATTCTTCTTCTAAAAAATATCTCTTTCTCTTCCTTACAAGTTTATATATGGTCACAAGGTTTAAAGTACGGACGGAAAAAACTTCAAAGCATCAACAATTCTGCACTATATGAAATTTTCATTGCCATTCATGGTTCCGAACCATGTGCGTGTCAGCATTCACCGTATCATGCGAAAGGTAATCATAGAAAGAAACATACATGCATGCATGAGTATTATTCAGGTTCAAAATTGGAAAATTGCAAATTGGAACTTTTTTAAATTATAGCCAGTAAAAGTTATTTTCACCCCAAAAAGTTCATTTGTTTTATTAACTACAATTATTTTGGCATAAAATGAAACTGGTTTCACGAGATTCCGAGTTTTAGAAGTGTTTCAAATCATTTTTTGAAAATTAGGAATCAAGGGTTCTGATTCTTTTTTCTTACAATGTTTTAAGAATTGTCTTTTATATATATTTTCTGTGTCAAAATCGACGTTCCCAATTAAAACATCAACATCAACTCCCAACTGTATCATTTTCATGGAGTAAATTGGCCAGCATCGGGAAAAATTGGAACTTGATCAGGACATAACTTCTCATAAAAAGTTGTATTTTTTCCCTTTCATTCTACTTTCTACAAAATTCTTTAATATTCTGAAACTTTTTTTTTTAATTTTGTAGAGCAATAAAAGCCTAACAATCGTAGTGAGAAATAGTTTTATAAAAGCATCCACGAGTTGAGAAATAATTTGTTTTTAAATAAAAAAGTGAAAATTTTATCACGACTTTATGTTGTTGCTAAAATTAAATCTATCACCATTTAAAAAAAACCTGCCTACGAATTAGCGTAGCAAACTAAAAATCAAATAAATCAGATTTGTTGTAATATACTACTAAATAGATTTTTAGATAGAGACCAAAAAATGTCAACTTTATGGCCTCTTTTTGAAAAATTAATCGACCCTGAAAACTCGCTGAATACGATAAAATCTTAGAGTTTAATGATCAAACGGAAAGTATAGCCACTTCTAAAAAAATGAAAATTTAAATGGAAATTTATGTGTTTATGTGAAAATAGAAAAAAAAACCAGCTGTTCATCCGAAAAACGGTCGCTAACTTTGTAAATAAAGAACAACCTACACAAAATCAAAAATTGAAGGTGATTATTATTTGTTGAAAAGGAGTAAAAATTATGGACCGAACTGATTTTTCTAAACTGATACTGAACATAACAATCAAATAAATAAAATAATTGTAAGGAAAAATGGCAACATTCAGCACTAAAAATAATCTCTCTTATCTTGTTTAGCATTGAGAGTTTTTAAAATTGTATTTATGTAGAGTGCTTTATTTATATAATACTGATTTGTTTAAAAGTATAAAATGGTAATAAAGTTTTCAAGTTGTAAAAAAAATCAGCCATTTTAAAAGGCATTCTTGGGAGCGATCGTTACGTGAAAATGGAAAAGTACAGCAATAAAAAACTAACATAAAAATTTGGTTCAAAGTATAAAACGTCAACAAACAACGTTGTAAAAAACATACTTAATTATTTTTATTTCAAAATCATTACATATTAAACGTACTTACAAAACATTGGATGTCGATTATTTCATAATCATTATCATGTTTGCATATAAACTTGAAATGGATTTAATCGGACAAAATTTTCTTGACGTTTCTTTTTGATACACTGTTCAATGTAATAACTTCAAAAAATACCATTTAATAAATAAATAATAAATCTCATGTTTGGCCGTATTGCGAGAACTAGAAGTAATTCGGTGCATGTATAGAATTTGCATGTATAGAAATTTTTTTTTTTAAGATATTCCTCAATAAAAATATATCTTGTCAATGGTATGTTAAGATTGATTAATTTTTGTACTTTAGCCTAACAATAAACTCAAAATTCATTAAAACGTTCTTTATTTTGTTGTACTTGGGAATCTTCATAAGATCTTAGGGATGAAAAAGTAGTTATTTAGGGTTCCACCCAAAATGTGGAACGCTCATCCTGTACTCATCCTTGATGAGACGCAAAATCGTTAAGCGTTCCACAGTTTTCATTGAACCCTAAATTTTTTAATTGCTNAAAACGAAGATACCAATTCAAATTTCAAACTGACCACTTTAAAAAAAAAAACATTTTTTATTGATTTGAAGTGATCACAAAAAATGAAGTAACCACATAAATCTCAGTGTTGAAGTTTATCCAAAAAACGAAGATGCTAATTAAAAAGTCAAACTGACCACTACAAGAAACAAAAACTTTTTTATTTCTTAGAAATGATAACGAAAAACGAATTCACCACTTAAATCTCAGTGTTGAAGTTTATCCAAAAAAACGAAGATGCAAATTAAAAATTCAAACTGACCACTACAAGAAAAAAACTTTTATCTCTTAGGGAAATGTGGAACGCTCATCCTGTACTCATCCTTGATGAGACGCAAAATCGTTAAGCGTTCCACAGTTTTCATTGAACCCTAAATTTTTTAATTGCTAAGACCTTAGGAAGATACCCCAAGTATACCAATTTAATTACCGCGTAGGAACTACAAGTTTAACTTTCTTTAAAGTTGTCTCACAAGCATCATACTTAACATGAAGGATCGTTCTTAATTTATTTGATTAATTTCTCAATCATCTTCTAAGAATATAGCAAGATAAATCAACAATTTTTGGCTACTATGTTTTTATTGTTTCAGATGTCTTTCGCCGTCAAAGGAGACGCAGGTGTGACCAATGTTGGAGGTGGGTTTGTCCAGACTCTCGTCGACATCAACGAGAGTAAACCGTGCGTCAGCATAATCCATGCTCTTCCGTTCTTCGTCATGACGTTCCTTTTCATTTGCATGGGTGCCCTTTTCGGGCTTTACAGCTTCAAGACAATCGTATTCACCTTCTTTGTGGCATATATCTCAATGGCAGTTGTACAAAAGTTCAGAAAAGTGACGTGAAAATATGACATTGACTTTAAGTTTATTTTAAGTGAAATATTGTTAAGTATATAAGTTAAGTAAAATAAATTATTGTTTATACATTTAACTGCATTTTTGAAGCCATTTACTTTCAAAACATATTTAAAATGGTTTGGGATTGTCATACGTATCAAGATACGATAGATTAAGATTATGAAGAAAATCGAATATACTACTTAAAACTCAGGCTGTTCCTTTTTCAAGAAAAAATAAACTGCTTGAAAATCGAAGATTGAAGCTTGGACGAACGAGGAAAATACTATTTAATACTTAGAAAATTCAGTTCACATTTTAAACAAAAAATTATTAAAAGCAAACTGATAACTGATTAAATAAAAACAATTGTTTGAGTGATAATTGAAGATTGGTGTTTTTCTGAAAAACTAAGGAAAAACTAACTCTCAGACTAATTACTTTTGAAACGAAAAAAATATTCTTGAGAGTGACCATTGAAGATTGATGTTGTACAAAAATGCAGATGCCAATTAAAAATACACTGATCACTTCCCAAAAAAAGTATTTTTATTGATTTGAAGTGATCACGAAAAATGAAGTAACCACATAAATCTCAGTGTTGAAGTTTATCCAAAAAACTATGCCAATTAAAATTCTTACCACTACAAAAAAAAAAAAAAACTTATTTCTTAGGAATGATCACGAAAAACGAATTCACCTCTTAAATCTCAGGTGTTGAAGTTTATAAAAAAAAAAAAAACGAAGGCGCAAATTAAAAATTCAAGCACACCACTACAAAAAACAAAAACTTGTTTATTTCTTAGGAATGATCACGAAAAACGAAATAACCACTTAAATCTCAGAGTTATGAAAAAAAGAAGATGCAAATTAAAAATTCAAACTGACCACTTTACATAAAACAGTTGAAGTTTATCCAAAAAACTATGCTAACTAAAATTTGAAACAACACTACAAAAAAACAAAAAACTTTTAATTCTTAGGGATGATCACGAAAAACGAATTCACCACTGAAATCTCACTTATTTAAATAAAATAAAAAAAATAATAAAAAAAAAAAAAATAAATAAAAAAAAAAAAAAAAAAAAAAAAAACGCAAATTAAAAATTCAAAAAAACGAATTCGCTACTTAAATCTCTGGGCGTTGAAGTTAGACAGAAAACGAAGATACCATTTCAAAATTCAAACTGACCAATTTCCAAAAAAAACATTTTTTATTGATTTGAAGTGATCACAAAAAATGAACTAACCACATAAATCTCAGTGTTGAAGTTTATCCAAAAAACGCCAATTAAAAATTCGAACTGACCACTACAAGAAAAAAAAACTTTTATCTCTTAGGGATGATCACGAAAAACGAATTCACCACTGAAATCTCACTTACTTAAAAAAAAGAAAAAAAAAAAAGGCAAATTATTAAAAATTCAAAAAAACGAATTCGCCACTTAAATCTCTGAAGCGTTGAAGTTAGACAGAAAACGAAGATACCAATTCAAAATTCAAACTGACCACTTTCAAAAAAAAAAAAAAACATTTTTTATTGATTTGAAGTGATCACAAAAAATGAAGTAACCACATAAATCTCAGTGTTGAAGTTTATCCAAAAAAACGAAGATGCAAATTAAAAATTCAAACTGACCACATTACAAAAAAAATAAAACTTTTTTATTGCTTAGGAATGATCACAAAAAACGAATTCACCATATTCACAAAAAATTGCTCAGTGTTCACTGAAGATTGAAGCTTGGAGGAAAAACGGGAATACTAAACATCTGACGGTTCACATTTCAATCAAAAATGATTTAAAAAATTGTGTTCACTGAAGTTTGAAACTTGTATGAAAAACGAAACTATTCAAAATTCACAATCAGTCTGGTCACATTTCAGGCAAAAATAATTTTAAAAATTGCTTAGTGTTCGCTGAAGATTGAAGCTTGGAGGAAAACGGGACTGCTAAACATCTGATTGTTCACATTTCAAGCATAAAAACGCTTAAAAACAATTGCTCGAGAGTGATAATTGAAGATATGTTTTGATGAAAAACGAATATACCACTGAAATCTCAGGCTACTTTCTCTTCAAACAAAAAACCAATTGCTTGTATTGATCACTGAAGACTGAGATTTGGACGACAAACGTATACATGGCATCGACTGTACATTGTACAAACTCTTTAAAAGCTAATTGTTTTGCATTGTTCATTTAGGATACAAATGTAGACGAAAACAAAGATATCACTTTAATTCAGATAAGCAAATAAATCTTTAAAACCTTGCTCGGGAGTGATTAATGAAGATAACATTTAGTCCAAAAGTGAATACATCTCATAAAACTTTGACTAATAAACGAAAATTTTCCTTGTTTCGATCAGTAGTTAAATATAAAAAAAGACAAAACCAGCAAAATTATTATGTAAGTTGCGAATCAAAGATAAAAAATTACAACCAAATTTGTACCTTTAAAATCCGACAGCCATTTTCTAAAAATAATTTTCTACCAAATGAACGTCAACATTAAGTCATTAGTGGTTCAAAGATTCACAATGAGACTTCAACTTTGGAACAATTGACTAGCCTCTATAAGAGGAAAAGGAAATTATATAGTCGAAATTTTATTTAAAAACGAAAACTACGTTGCAACGTTCCGACTTTACAAAAGTAATCTTCAGATGGGTGCTTCATACGAAACTTTAAAAGGTGATACATACTACTAAGTCTAGTATTTCATAGCTGATTTTCAACTTCTCAAAGCTAATTCCATGCCAAAAATCTCGAGGTGTAATGATAAATAAATATATCAGTTGCACACGTAAACCTGCATCTTCGCTGGCGATTTTTGGACAGTTAACAAAGTCAATCATCCTAACGGAAACCGAAGGTCGACTCAGATGTAAAAGTTTTATTTTTGAAATATTCCGAAATGTTTTGAATAAATTATGGTTCCATTTATAATAATAAATCTTTCCACACCGTCTATTATTGCGGTTCGTTTATGCAAAAATCGATCTTTATCAGGCGCATAAGTGAACAATCGGTACGAGAATTTAGCAATTTTTCTTACTTTTACACTACATTCTTCAACACTTTCCCTTTTAGATTGTATTTTCAATTTTTTCTTTATTTTATGGTCGTCCTGTGCTTAATAAAAATGCAAGTAATTTTACTGGTACAGTAAATAAAATATACCAAAATTTATCTCCTAGAAAGGTTTTTCTTCAAGAAAATAGTTTGAACTTGTTTTTCCAGTCGACATTCTCGATGTCCTTGAATTCTTGCTAATCTCATTATCTCTTGCAAATCCGTTCTATTATTTTACAATCTCCACTTCGCACAAGCTTTAGTTTTTCACAACTTACAGGCAATTTTTTAATTCCCGATAGTATTAATGTAATAATTATTAATTTTTAATTTAACAGGAAAATAATAAATGTAAACTTTTCCTCGTCTAACAATTTTAAAAATTCGAAATTAAAACAAATTCTGCCTCCCTTAGGGAGAATAAAAGATTAAAATCTAGGTGTTTGATGCATCCTGTATATAAGGAGACTTCATGACGCCTTCGTGATTCCGTGACTTGTTAACAGGCGAACAATTGGAAGTTGTTTGTATCTGCTTGGTGCAATAACAAGCTTGGAATATCTTCCTACAAACTTTGAATCGCCCAGTATAAAAAATTATTTTCCACACTTAGCCTTGGTACGTTTCCATACAAAACTCGCGAATAGAAACAGAATCGCAAGGTCATCTCTGATCTCATTCTAAACGTACCGACCCGCACTCATAATTAACGTTCAAGCTTGAAGAATGTAAACATTTCATTGGTGCGTAGTTTGAATGAATATTTTAAAGATTTAAGCCTGGTTTTTAGGAAATACAGGTTTAATAATAGAGAAGTCTAGGCCACTGTAGATTGTACGTGACTTAGAAAACGTACTGTCGAAATGGAGTCAAAATTCTGAGTAAGTTTAGTCACACAACAATTTGCTAAATATTCATTAAGTGAAGTCACACTTAATACAATGGCGAGTGTTGAAAAGGAGAAGTGCAAAATCTTCAAACCAGTTATAATTTATGGAAATTTTTTGTTAACTTGCATAACATGTATTAGAAAAATTTTAATGACAATACACATAGACTTGCATTTTCAGTATTAGCAAAATATGATCATAAAATAAGCAAACAAGTTAAAAAATAAAATTTAAAAAATTTCATTTATCAATAGGGTTTTTGAGCTGCTAGTGACAACTTACGTTTAAAAGCTATTACACATAATTATATTACATCTTGTAATAAAATATCTTAAAATATAAATATAACTTCTTCTATTATATTATTAGATTATAAAAAATTGGTAGTAGATTATTTCGATTATTGATGCTTACAACAAAACGTAAATCGTTGAATTATAAATTATTAAAAAATAAGTTAAACTACATTTTAAGTAGGTACGATGACAATTAACAAAATGATACAGTCGATTTTGAAAAACTTTAATTATATTGGTGTTCTCTGGGCAAGTTTGGGCCCGAATCTCTGGAAGATGGGGACTTTTCCAGTAGGTGTTTTGTAAATGATTTTTATCTGCATTTTCGATGTACTCTCCAAAGGGAAAAAAATAAAAAGAGGCATAATAAAGAGACCGATGCCTTCTCCGCCGATAAAAAGGCCAGCAAAAGTTAAGTTTGGATTTTGTAAGTTTTGATCGAAACTTTCGACCCAGATGACCAAATCATCGACGCATACCGACATTGGACTATCGACAAAAAACCTTCCCGCTTTTGGTGGTGAGATACAAAAATAGTCCATTTTTAAGGTACACATATGGAGTGCCAATGCATGCCAATAAAGATTCAGGTATTCAAAATTTCTATTATTTAAGATCTTCGCTTTAGGGGGTGGCATTCAACGAATCACTAAACGATACCCATATTCGCCTTTTTATTCGTTTTATTTTCATTAAGTGAGTTTCAATGCCGTTGCAGTTGCGATCGAGTTGGCTGGTAGCACTGCGGAGCTCGATTATGACAGACATCAGCCCTGCGAAAACACGTAATGGCGACTACTTTTCGTATTAGGATGCCCAGAATTTTCCCTGGCCTT